TATATATAGTGTCTGTGTAGTTGCTGAGCTTTTTACTTAATGTGGTCACTTATTTACGCAACGTTGCCAGAGTCGCTGAGGTCGGCGCTCGGTAAGCCTCCAGTAGCGACAAAGCGAGGGAACGGGTGGGTTGAAGTCGACCCCAGTTTGTTGGCGTCTTCCTGTTACAATCTAGCTGCTACAACTGCTAGTAGAAAGACAGATGAAACGGAGACTGCCAAACAGATACTGTATACGTAGGAAATACCCGAGGTCTGCAGGAAGAAGGGTCGGACAGCGGCGGTCACAACTTGAACGAAGACGGCCAGGATGCATCCAGGCGCCAGGTGCATCTATTGCGGTAGCGCCTGTTCTGCCGCATCGAAGAATCTGACTCAAAAGTAGCAACGGTTATGCAGGCATACCAAGAAGCGGGACAATATCTATGTACAAAGTCACATTCAGCCTGGTGCCATACGCGCAAAAGCAGGAGCACATTGAAGTTGGAGTAGTTTTTCGGTGAGGTAGTCGCCATGATGAGGCCACGTTCATACAGCGGATTGGGTTTTGCTATTCCCTTTAGTAGGAAAGCACGTTTTTTTGCTTGTATCGATAAAACGCTTTCAGAAAATATTTCCGGGAATCCTAACAGCGACAAGCGCAGGCCGCTAGTGGCGGTTCATTTATGAAATAACAGTCGTAATGTCTGATAGTTGTAGGGGTAGTGGATTGATTATTTACTTCACTGTGTTTCGAATACTGACGGGCAAATTTACTTATATCTGAATTCCAGTCGACGTGAAGAGGGCCCGATTTAATGAAGATCTAATTTTGAATAATCCGGCATCACATTTTACCGATGGTAAGTACCTTTTAGAATGGTTTCCTCGATGTTTTGGTTTCGACTGGACCTGACTGCTAGCTATACGATTGTTATGCTAACATTCATTTGCAATTGCAGCGCTTATCTACACCAAGCTTGTTCAATTAATACCACCATCGCGTACAGCCGCAGCAGCGGCATTCTGGATAAGAGCCAACCTCAGCGATGTTAACTTTAGCTGTTGGGGAAGAGAGGCAGCGAGACGAAGGGAAATTTTGCTATACGATTCGTTGGCCAGCCCATATGTTCATTGCATCTAGCCTTTCTACTTGTACAACTCATCGACCTGATGCCGTATGGCTCCGAATAGTCGTTGTTGTTACTGGTACGAGTAAAGCTCGCTATAGCCGATTGAGAGCGATTCGGATTCGACCATTGTCGATTGCAGCGGCAATCTTTCCGTTACTGCGCTTCTCACTGAAATAACGATAACGATCGTATCATCTCGGCCGAGTGTCCGGGAGAGGCAACGAAGAACCGAAGCGGCCATCAACAGACAGAGCAGCAGAAGCACACGATCTTTCTGTTTCTATTACTGCTACTGCTTCGACGACGACGACGACGACGACAACGACGCCGTGCCATCGTCCCCGAAGGAACTGAAAGCTGCAGGCACACTCTGTCATTCTCTCCCTGTCAAAAGGAAATATGGAAGAGCGGTAGGCTGGCACCATCGCAGCAACTCCGCCTGCTTTCTTCAACATAAGCGATGTCCGCGTGCGTGAGCAGTATGTATGTATGTATGTATATGATGCTATGTGTGCGCTGCCATCTTCGTTGGCTTATCTGTCGTGGCCATCTCCTTCTCTTTGAAACCCGAGTCGACCTTATCCATACACATGGCCACGTACGCACTCACAGACACACTTCATCCTGGCTCAGGTTGAACCGGCACAAACTAGAGCACGCGTTCGCTCGACGGCCTGATGTGCTTGTCGTAGTCGGCGGCCGCCGGACGAGTCGTCTCCAGTCCTTCTCATTTCTCCTCGCGCGTGGCTCTCTCCATCTCCTTTCTCAATTGGGGGGGGGCCGCGGCGGCGGTACAGACGGCAGTACATGCAGCCTAAGCCAGGTATTGCGCTTGCAAAGAGAGCAGCAGGACCAGCATCAACCGGCTGCTGTGCCAATGCTCACTTTTTTGAAGGGCGCTCTTTTTCGTCCTGCGACAGTACCCAGGAGCGAACCGGCGGGAGCTGGGGTGCGCGAGTGCCCGACGATGAAATAGCAACGACGTAGGTTGGATGGGTGGGGGTTCCGCTGAAGAAACGAAGACTCTGAAGTCACGTGACTCGTCATTATCAAATGAGATGTTATCGTTATCGCAATGATCGCAACCATCAACAGTGGCGGCAGCGGGTACTAAAGCAGCAACAGTGCTAACCTCAGCATCGTCAATTCGGCCAAGAACCTCCTAAGCAGGGCTCCCAGGCCATACGTTTTTGATATCGTGCACTATGCCACCATTGCGAGACTACTTGCATTGCTTGGTAACAAACCGAGAGCACCCGTCGCCGGTGGTGCTGCCACGTCCCCTTTCTAATGTCACCATTATTGTACGGCGAACAAATGCGATTGTTGGATGGGACGATGCGCGCACTTCACTGGATAGAACAGGCAGAAAGTGGCGTGCAGGAGTACAACTTTGCAGCTGCTGCTGCAGAAGCACGAAAGACATGGCGCAGGGGTACGGGTTCCCGAGTTTGGTTTTACAGAGATAGATCCAAAAAGAAAGCTTTATGCGTTTTGGTTGGACAGTCAGCCGCGTTGAGGGTGGTCGTCTCGTACAACAACCTCATACGAAGTTTGCCTTACGGAGGTCGTGTCAATTCTACCTACATTTTATTTCGATTCCGGCTTGCGTCAGCGAGGATTAAACAGAGGCAACGTCGAACGCAATACCACAACGCAAAGATGCAGGAGAGCCTAAGATACTAAAGGGTGGCAAAATTTATCATACGCGATCTTTCATCTTGTTCGTCGAACTACCTGGCCGCCGTAAAGCATGCTTTATATCTGAGACGAATTTCATCTGAGACGTAGAACGTTGGATAGGTACAAAGTAAGGTTATCTTTAATTCTTGAGTCGTCAGCTACTTGCTGCAGTGGATCCGTGCTTTATCTCATCAATTGCTCTTCAGTTCTGCAAATATAAAGGTGTTACTTTTGTTAGTCAGACGCCCACCGTAAATAGCCGGAGTGGCATGTAATCACTTCGAGGAAACTAGTTCCCAGTAAAGTTGACTACTCAACTGGTTAACGCTAGAGTCGGAGCCCAAAAGCAAACGCCTTCCTACTACTTATGTGTTTGTACTCAATCACACCTGTCATCAACTCTACGTAAAAATTGACAAAACAATGCTAGAATGAAATTTTATCTAGTATTTCAAGGAAGTCGAAAGGAAAAACGGTCATTTTGTCTTCCTAATAGACGACTACAACGTCTTAATTCGCGTTCATCAATCACAACCTTTGTTCAACAGGGCTCTTTGTTTATATTTTTTGTTAAGCTCGCTTTTTTAACATAAAATTATACGGTTAGCATATTGTAACACTGCTTTCTTGTTAGCAGTATGGCGCTGTATCAAAGCGTCCTACGATCTTCTCATTTTTAAATCTTTACTAGCCAGTTAATCATTCTCTCTGGGGCAATTGATTGTTTTTGCCGGTAGCAACACTGCCGTTCACGAAGCTCATACGCCTATTTCCTAATCTAGTTAGCAAATGATCTGCATCGGTACTTTTGCATTGGCACTTTATCCTCAATTGCAGTTCCGTTCAGTTCGACGCCGTGTATCAAGGCGATCAGTCCCTCGGAGGGTTGGACGGAAGGTGGTTCGTCAGTGATCATCATTGGAGACAACTTCTTCGAGGGTCTTCAGGTCGTGTTTAGCACGATGCTCGTCTGGAGCGAAATGCTCACACCGCACGCCATCCGGGTACAGACACCCCCTCGCCACCTTCCCGGGGCCGTCGAGGTCACTCTCTCCTACAAGTCCAAGCAGTTCTGCAAAAGTGCGCCTGGTCGCTTCACTTACGTCTGTAAGTTCTCTATAGATATTTGTGCGAATCTAACGATAAGTTCTGAAATACATCTTTTACTTATTGGGCTTCGTTACTGTATTAACAATAATGAAGATTCAACATTTCCTTGAAACCCAATTTGAATTTCTAAGCGTACAATCAAATCGTAGCAAAAAGCCCTCTGTTGTTTAATGCGTAACGTGGCATTAAATTGTTTCTAACTATGTATAATAAGTAAATATTATAGGTACACGGGGAATTGTACTTATGTTACATTGTAGTTTTGTTTTTGTCATCCTTGCCGTGGCCGTCGTGGCTGCAGCCTTGAACGAGCCCACGATCGACTTCGGATTCCAGCGATTGGCGAAGCTGATTCCGCGGCATCCAGGCGATCCAGAACGCCTGCCCAAAGAGATCATACTGAAACGAGCCGCTGATTTGGCCGAGATGCTCTATCAGATACCGCGAAACAATCAGCTGGCCTTGGCCTCGCCTTCGCCGCGCTCACCCAACGGCCAGCTGCAGTCCAGCTTTAACGCCTATTCGGGTCAGCTCTCCGTAAACGTCGAACAGAACGGACAGGAGTACGGTAAGCACTTGATTTAAGTAGTTTCGACTTTCTATGTAACAGTAATAATAAGGTCTACGTTCATCCCAATGTTATCACTCACCTACTGTGTATTTATCTGATTAATAAAATGTGCACAACAGCTATTTGCTAGGCTGATCTAGTATAATACTGCATTCGACAGGCTATTGCTACCACTATCGAAACGGTAACTGACTATATCGATAATAGCCCGCTAGATGGGTTGGGCTTTCGATGCCAGTGGTAAACGGTAGAATGACGAGGTAAGAGCTTCTATCTATATCGGTTCTAACCGAGACGCGTGCTAGATCGCCTCGGAATAGAGATTGTTCTCATCTCGATACATTTGTGTTATACGTTGGGATTAATGGCTAAGATAAGCTGCTTTTTACTATTTACCAATAACAAGTAGTCGAAACTGGGTCTGATCGACTGTTACGGGCTGAAGCGGTTTGTTTTCTGACTTTTCGAATTAACCGCCGGCTTGCACTGTTTTTCACCAGTCACAACTTTTTTGTTTTAAGTCATACAGACCTTAGAGTAATCGATACATAAAATAATACGTATTACCCTACTATGACTATAGTCATTAATGCAGCATACCGAAGTAACTATATCAGTAATTTTCCAATGCTTTGTAGTGCATCGCTTCGTTGCTACGCCTAGTTATCGTTTGTCAAGAAAAACAGTTAGACGTATCTAATATCTAATATGCTACGGCAAAATTAATCTGCACGGTCACAGACCCCGCAAAAGAATTGTGGCTTTTTACTCCTTTGATAAGGGTTTAAAGTTGTGGTAGAATAAAGATCAGTGTCGTGCTCAGCTAGATCTAGTCGACGCTGCCATTAGCCTACAGTGGCTACATTTATAACACGACGCTTGGATTCTTAGTGGGCGTAAGAGGTGTGCCGAGCGTCCTGCAATACCTATCCTGAAGCCCGCTTAATGGCGAACGTGCGTTATATCTACCTTTGCAAAAAGCGAAAATCCACCAGGATGATTGATGCGTTCTGGAAGGCGCCAAGTCACGTAAAGCATTGTTTGCGGAGATATTATCGCGGTCGTCTCTAAGGAGAATCGATCCTGCTAATATCCTCCAGATGAAAACAGGGGACCAAAAAAGTGGTAACCGGAAAAAAATTCCACCGGACTAAAACGCAAAACCACTCTCTAGAGCCTATTCACAACAGACTTTATAGTGGTAAGTAGTATTGCTGACTCCTTAAATTCGGTTACAATAGTTCTGAAGGTTTTCCGTAACGGCTGTTTGACCGTTCGCACATATCGACCTTTCTAGATACCTCCTTCGGCCTTATAGACTCCCGATTGACGAGGAACTTTCGCGAGGACTGATGAGGTCTCGCCTTCTTGTATTCGTTTTTATCGGCTGGAATTAATCTGCTGTTTTCTGACGGCTGTAAAAGTATCGTTCGAAAATATCGTTCTGATTGATTGGAAACTGTTAGGTAACCTACGTAGGGCCAATAGGAATGCGTCGACGGTTATATCGGCTACGGGCCCTAAGTGGGTTGCGTGCGTATTTGCGCAGATATTGACATAGCTTTCCATCGCCGGTGATTTTTTTTCTACTTTATAAACCTGAAAAGTTAAGTTCTTGTTTAAGTGCGAGCAATACTGTGTCAGTTTAAAATCTGGGAGGACAGGAACGTATTCAATCGCAGATTTTGAGCGATATTTTTTAACATTACTTGTTAGCTTTTAGAGCTTCCTTCGCTGTTCATTATGCGTCAATGATGTGAAATGTTGTCCTAATTTTGGCGAAACAGCGTAAATATCTAACTGATCAGAAGTCATCAACAGCTAGAATTTGGGTAAAGCCTTCCTTGAATCTGTTTAACGTAATGTATTATGAAGCCGGGACTAGTATCGAAAGATGCCATGTTCATAGTGAAATAACTGATGGTGCATTGCGCTCTATTTATGGATGTTGTTGCAATTTTCGGCCCATACTTACACATATTTAAGCCTTTAGATCTTGTCCCATCACAGCTGTGCGTATTTAGCATAATTCGGCTATTGGAACGTCGTTTATCGTTTCCTTAAACGCAGTTGTTTTCTGTGGACAATTACAAACTGTAAGGTAGCAATGTTACTGATGAAGCCTTCGACCGGATTCAAACTTTCGTTACCAGATGTCTCTAAGTTTATAAAGTTTACTGCGTGTTAACCAGTTTATTCCACCGCAGTAGCCATTCTGTCCAAGTCTAAACCTTAAACCCTTAAACTATATCTATGTAGACTACTACGGAGTGCGTTGCTGCAACTATATCATACTTGAGACAAAGATGATATAATGCTTTTCTTTTTTTTAGCCTTGTTAAAGTTAATAGCGGCATATTGAGGACGCACAAAAAGCATAGACAAAGAATATCTGTCAGTGTTTGCCTGGCTAGCTTTTAGACATCGGCATGAACTTTAACTAACTTTGAGCGTTGGACGATATTGACCTTTGGGCATGCTTTCATTGGTGCTACCACTTGTGTAGGCCTATTGGCCACGCAGCTTTGTAGACTGTCTGTGAAGAAATGGACGTCATAACAAATTCACAGAAATAGTCCTTTCTATAGCGGTTCTCACGCTGCAACATCATTTTTGATACAGTAGCATGGTTTTGACATTTCATGTTTACTGTTCCAGGCGGAAGGCCACCATCGGAAGGTGTCTCTCCGCGAGGAGGCGGCTATGCTTCGAACGCGTCTACTCCTCATAGTACCTCCGCGAACAATAACAACGGCAACAACAACGGCAACAACTCCTCCGCTGCTACCGGGTCGCAGCCGCAAACCAACACCGGCTACAGTAACCTCGGGCACCCACAGTCCACCGGTTAGTCATCAGAATCAGTTCATTATTCAGGATTAAATTGAATATAAAGATTCTATATAAGAGCCAATAATTTAACGTGTCTTTTCAGTTGAGTGAATTCGATAGATTTTACCGAACTTAAATGATTCAAGACTAAGTCATTTCGTTCGGAAGAGACGAGACTGCCGATTTTGCGTGCGTCTTCATCCGTAATAGAGAGCAGTTTTCGTTTCTTTCGATCTTCTCTATGTATAGGCTAGCTGTGAAGGCTTCGGATTCGTTACAGCGGTCAACCAGACCCGTCGTGACTAGCTTATTTACTGCATAACTATTCACAGGCACTCCGACGCCCGGTGGCTACGGCAGCCCTACTCCAACAATGACCGGCACACCATCTGGGGGCTCTGTAACGCCTACTGGATCTTCGTCTCAGCAGATATTCAACGGTACGTTTTTCTATTCCATAGTTTCTATGCGTTCTGGTATTCTATCAATTCTTCTCAGCCCTTTCCTTCAGTCTTTAAATGGTTTGTTCATAAGCGCCTCCAAATATCTCAATGTCGCTTTCACTGTCGGATCAAGTTCTTGCCTCAATATGCGAGTGCCTAATAGCCAGTTTCTTCCGCCTTCAACATTTGGTTTCCGCTCTCCCGGTGGGTGGCAAATTGTCGCGTCCCGTACGAGTGTTTCTTGTTTCTCGCCGAAGGATCGGGAGGCCGATTCAGCCGACGATCAGCCGATCGCCCGCCTTCCTCCGCCTCACGCTTAAATGCGAACGAGCTCACTGTATCTGCCCTTTTTTCTTGGCCTCTGTTTCAATAGCGAGCTTCCCTATAACTATGGCGAAGTTAAAGCAAACGTACATGCACACTGACTAAGAGAATCGTCTGCACAGACGAACAAGAAAAAACTTCTCCCACATTAGTCTCTGGGAGCAGCAGAAGTACAGGCAACGAGTTACGCTACAGGATAGATGGTCGCAGAGAGAGAGAGAAAGCGAGAGTGAAAGATATGGTAGGCCTAGTAGTGATCGCGGTAGTGGAAGAAGGAAAGACATTCCCTCTACCTCATCCTTCTGCTGTCCCCCCCCCCCCTGGCAGTGGCTGCGTCATCCGAGTTTTGGGACGGCGTGCTCGTCTCTATGTACCGACCAACTAAAGTCGGAACTCCGCGCGACCGTTTTATAGAAGGACGGGAACAAGAGAAAGACAGAGAGAATATAGGAACTTCTCTCGCCATTGTTACCACTGCTGCTGCAGTTTGCGTCTCGTCTTAGATTCCGGTGGTTCCCCGATTCCTCCGGTCGCTTCTTCTCTACAGTTTCCCTCGAGTCCCCTCTGGAGGTTCGACGCCGTTTCCTTTGTCCAAGTGTCTTTCCTCGGCCACGTTTCCCTCTAATTCTCATTTCGTTCCTGGTACAGCGGTTCTGGCAGTACTATTGGCAGGGAGAGAAGAATGGACACTGTAATAGTTCACACAGTGATGGCAGCTGTTGGAACTGTAGTGGCCAGGTCAACCGGTTGGAGATAGGCAGAAGCTGCAGTTTCTGTTGCCTCTCAGCTAACGTAAAAGGGAAGAACGTAGAGCAGACCGCGTATGGTTGAGTGCGTGTGTGCCAAAAGTAGGGATAAAATAGGTCCTGCTATAACAGCGGCTGAAGAGTCGCCGGGTGGCCTCGCTTTGCGTTGTCTCCTGGTTGCTTGTGCTTTTGGAGCCGACGTGATTACCTATCTACTCCATCGTTGTTGGTGGGGTTCTGACTGACGTCTGCTCGGGCTTGCAGGCGACATAGGGGAAACAAGGGCCCGTCGTCACGAGCGGTGCGCGCGGGGGCGACTTCAGTCGTTCGACGCCGGTGTTGGAGACAAAAACAGACAGCACGACACCTCGAAACACCCTTGTATCGTTTTTTATTAGTCTAGACCCCTCTTATTTCTCAGCCTGGTTCAACTGTTTCGAGCAACCTCGATTGTAGACAGCCGCTCCCTATACGACCACTCCTGGTTGCCTTCCATAATACTATGTACCCGAGACAGCTATGTTCCGCAGAACGCCATTGAACTCTTACGGTCCCCATTCTTGCCCACTTGGCTATAAAGCTTCTAGGGAAAGCCATTCAGGATAGTCAAGGTAGAAAACAACGTCAAAGGCAGTCAAGCTCGAGATCCGCCCGTTTCCGCCCTTACTTGTCTATCCCGCGTTGTTTCGCGATAATAATGGACAAGCAAGAAGGTTGTGTCCGCATGACGAATTGTGAAAGCCGTCCACTTCGATTGCCTGGTTGTCGGCTCCGCAACTGATCACTCGCCTGCTGCCAGCTCGATGGGTGCTGCTTGTTGCCCTCCCGGAAGTCTAGTGTATCGGATTGGAGTTACTGGCGACGGAGCTTCAGCTGCGACAAATCCCTCTAATTCCCCGCAATAAGCCATAAACAGCAAATGAAATCCACCGTCACCTTCCACCTTCGAAGTTGTTATTTCCTCGATGCAGCTTTTTCTCTTTCGGTCTGTATCAAAACTGCAGCTCACGCAGTTCCCGCGCCATCATCCTAGCTACTATATTTTGTATTGTTTGTTGCAATGCGCAGTAGATAAGATAGTATAGATTTTCGCTTATCTAATGGATCTACCATTGTACGCTTTATGTCATTGTTGTTGTTCATTATTTCGATTGCAGGACTAAGAAGCGTCCCTCACCCTAGCCATTATACGGCGTTCACACCGATGACGCCTGTGCCCCCTATTGCGCCGGCCTAAGCACTCGCTGTCCCCGTCGGCCAAACGCAAAGCCGAGGCTAAAAAAGTCGACAGCAGCGGCGACGGCGGCGGTCATGTGCACATATGCTAACGTCAGGCCGGCGATTCACGCCTAATTGACCACAGCAAGTCCTCGCAGCAAATAACTTCGTTAAACCCGTGCCGCTTCGTAGCCAGCGATCGTCATCAATATGTATATAGCACACCTCTTTTCCATCAATGAATAAACATAAACAGAAAAGCAGAAGACACGGAACAGAAAGAAATAGTTGAAGTTAATAGGAGCAGACGACGACGACCTCTGGCTCGCTTCCACACACCAGTTCCCTGGAGTGCTTCACGATGTATCCTGCTCACCGTCAGGGGTCGCCACGAACACAGCACATGATATTATGCGATACCACGCTCGATTCGTTGTTGTGGCGTGCTGTGCATAGTGTTCAATAACTTCAGCTTGAGATGCCAACCAACCACGTAACAACATGACACATACATAAAGCCATTATGTTTATACATATGAGTACTCACACACTCACTACAGACAGTCACCCTGATAGTTTTCCATATACAAAGGGAGCATATGAAAGTGTATGTGTTGACGCCATAATACGGCGCCCCGACGGTGGGAGGTGTAAATATTTTGTAGTTGATCGCTCTGTATGTCTTGCTCATAAGGAACTAGGACCTATTCCTTGTCGACTTGCCCAACGGGGCGCCAGTCAGCAGCAGTGCCCTCAACACCTCGCCATATCCATCAATCGCAATCGATCCCTGTACAGCTCAACAAGCACCAGTCCTCATCATCATCATCAAAAGGCCCCGTGATTTCGCACTAGGCAGCAGCCTAATCCCACTCCTCCCCCCTCCCTCCCTCTCTCTCTCCCTCCCTCCCTCTCTCTCTCTCTCTCTCTTCCTTTTCCGCAACGCGATCGTCAGCGCGGCATTAGAAGTCCTTTTTATTTCCGAACAAAAGAAAAAGGCAAACCAACAAGAAGTTTCACTCTACAGTGTCTAAATGATACCAAAGTAGCAACATCAGTTGATGAAAACTGCATTTTTGCCATTCGATGATTACGGTCGAAGGGCAGGCTGACAAAAGATAAATAACGATTATCGTCATCGTAATGGTATTTGGTCACACTTGAAAACAGCAAGGTCCACGTGTACATTACTATTGATAATATTTTTGTCATCTTATTCGTTTTCCAATGTAGACGAGAGAGAGAGAGAGAGAGAGAGAGAGAGAGAGAGAGAGTTCAGTTATAGCTGACGTCCGATTTATTTAAACGAAGCCGATTTGAGGGCAAGTTCGTTCACTTTTTATTTCAGAACTAACTCTTATCAGAGCATTGTTCTCTCTGATCTCGGCTTCTCTCTTATTTAATTGCGACTCGTTATGTAAAAAGCAGAATCAGACAAGCAGTATCTCAAGGCGTTTTATAGCTTAATCTTCAATCTTCTAGCGACACTGTAACGTTTGAGACGTAAAATACAGAATGGCTAGTAGCCTCCTAGCTCCGTTGTACTCGAGACTGAATAACGAGGATCCTTCATAATCTAAAACACAAAGAAATAATTAAATAACAACTGCATGAGCAAAGGCACCAAAAGTTTTACCACTTGCCGCCACATCAGCACCACCTCGGTTTTCAGTGAACGAAAGGCTTCATTTGACAGCAACAGTTTCTGACCGTCAAGCAGAACGGAAATTTCTGCCCGCCCAGGCCTTTTCGATGCGGTTCGTTCATGCGCAGGGGGTTTTGTTCGCCGCGCAGAGCGAGAGACCAGCCCTCCTGGCAAGGAAAACCAGCAGAGTAAAAAAGGGCAAGCGTGTGACTGTTGTGTGCGCCTGTGTGTGCGTGTGACCCTTGCTGCCGCACACACACCTTTGCCCCCCACAGTGAGAATTAAATGGCAGTTTGCCCTACCTATAACCTAAGAAGCAAGGCTTCCACCCGAGGGTCGAATCTTACATATCCTTCTCTATATCAGTACGATCCCAGATTCACACATCAAGTAGATACCGCAAAGAAATGCACGTACATATTGTTGCCCAGTTAGATATTGATACTATTTAACATTAAGATGACTATTATTATTAGCATTACCATAATAATAATAATAATAGTAATAATTATTATCATTATTATGACTGTCATTGAGACTAAAGAATGACCGTCGTAGACCGTGCAGACGACGCGGACGTGAAAGCATGATGACGCATGTGGTCGAGTGTACGTCAGTTAGCAGCCGCCAATGATAATTACAATAATTATTCTTTACTGTCTATAAATACTATTAATAATGCAACATTATGGACGGGAGGACAACAACAAGTGCGATCATCGTCGAGAGAGGAGGAAAGAAATTAGCCATTATTAAACGGTCTGCTTAGAAGAAGAAGGATCAATTTAGAAGAACAATGACAGTACCATGTGCGTGTAGTAATTAAAGAAAAGCAGCTTTAATGATACGTGATGATTTTTAATACTTTCAACGAAGACAGCATCCACAGCGACAGTAGACTAGCGGAACACAAACGATGACAATGGATAGAATATTATATATGTGTACGATGATATAAATAGGAGAGGTGACTCTTCGACCGGTATACTCGTGCGTCACCTGCTGTTCGAGAGGTCAGTTGTTTTGGTTTTTGACGATGATAATAACGAGCACTGGAAGATACTCCAATTGATGCTGAGGATACTCGTGATCAGAAGGACGACAGAGTTACACTGCTAGTGTTTTTCCTTTTTCATTCGCCTAATAAGCATAATGATAATAAGTATATTATTATTAGAGTTATTACTATTATGGTATTTTGTGTGCAATAATTGCTGATGGTAACGAGAATTAAAGGAATAAAGCCTTTCTTCAAACGATGACACTAATGGTAAGTAAGGTGTTTTCACTTCAAAATATGTATGTACACCTGATGCTGTAAACGTTCTATTCTATTTGGCTGTTCGATGACATTTTGTATTTAATGATGACTAAAAAAAAATAACCACGTTCGAGCAGTACGAGATTCTATATCTTGGCAGAATATGGTAAAGTCTGTTGCTTAAATGTCGATAAAACCCGATGCTCTTTAAACATGTTATATGCTATTGTTTGCTCGTCCGTTTAGTGACACTGTCTCTTACAAACCTAACCTATACGAGGCTGTATATAGATACCTGTATCTTTTCTAAGATAAACGAATTATTTTCGCGGAAAAATTGACGTTAACCATTTTCGCTGTATGTCCTTTTTCTTCCCAATTACGGAAGATCCATATTTTAAAACTGAAACTCGAACGCCCGTTTAACTGGAAGATTGATCCAAATCACCCGGCCATTGACTTGGATGTTCCCATCAGATATTCCCATATGAGTCCAGCTTTATTAAGCAGGATTCTCAATAGATGTTTGTTGAGACATTTCCGACCTGAGCAACTGGCGCACGCCTTGTCACGTAAATTCGTTATACATTTAGATACATACGAAAAATTCAACGTCCTAAACAAAAAAAAAAAGGATTGACATTGAAAAGAGAAACCTATTCGTGTTCTTAGATTTTTTTAAGGCCACACATTCTGTAATCGTTAGCACAAATACTTATGTGTATTTAGATAAACAGAAGCCAGCTAGATGATTTCAAAACGCCTAGCTACCTTTCGCGTAGAATACGTTAGCTGCTGGCTTACAGGTACGGCGCCATTAAGCAACCGACTTTCGTCCATCATTGAAGCTCTGATCTGGTCTGCCCGGCTGTCCGCTTCCATGGTTGCTGCGTAGCTAGGCAGCTGCCTTCCAAGTGGCACGGAGGCTGCCGCTGCTACTACCGTAGCGATATTGGCTCCTCATCCTATAGCAAATGGTTAGTTGGCCGGCTGACGCTTCTGCCGCGTTCTCTCGTCCCATCCCGCTCTTCACCGGTGGAAGAAGGAGAACGACTGCACACGCAGAACGCCGTCGGCAAGTCGAGCGCTCTACCGACCGAAGTATGTGTGGCTAAGCTGGCCCGATAGGGATGGAAGCACTGAAATGGTGAATTTGGGCCGTGATGGCTGAAAAGCTGATAAACGCCAGCTGCTACTAGGAGTTAGGTGCCGTGGTTGTATGCTGTATACTATAGTATTGACGACGAGAAGCCCGGCGGCGAGTGGGGGAAGGGGCAACACCCGCGGCTACCCGCTATTAATAATGTATGCAAGCGGGTGCGAAATGAAGATGGATGACCATAAGGGAGAAGCTGACAACGGCAGCGGCGGCGACAACGACGACGACGACGACACACACGCTGGTGTTGAAGGAGAAGGAGGCGGTGATGGCCACCGTGGCCGTCGGTATGGCTGTTTCTAGTCAATCCAGTAAGGAAGAAACTAGCCCCTCAACAACCCTACTTATCCTAAGCAACCCCAGCTTCGTTCTTAGTTAGGCCCTACGGCCGAGACAGGGAAATAAAGCTGGAGCAAGAACTAGCTTCTACTGGGGCCACGAGGGAACCGCGCCGCGGGAAAGACGAGAGCTTCACTCCAAGCGGTCATCCCGTCCGCCTCAGACACTCGTGATCAGACCAAGAGCGATATCTGAGGAATCATCGACGCCTTTCTCAACGCTATCATCAGAATTAGAGTCCGATAAAGAAAAGGCTCCAAAATCGCCTAAGATGAAAAGCGTCATCTCAGAGCGTCACTAATAGAAGGAAGGGGAAACAACTAGATAATTGAATGGATAGTTATAGATTTGTTAGTTCTATTGTATCTTGTGCATAACTACGTAAACTGAAGTGTATTTTTCGACAGCTCCTTCTTTTCTCAAGATATGACAGAGAAGTCACCAGTGCAATGGTTCTTAATCTCAAAGCAAGTGATTTTTAAGTCTAATTTATTCTCAGAGGTTAGTATTCAAACACGTCCTTACCACATCAGCGCGAAAACTTTAGTTTATGAAATGTCGAAAGCAATGCTTCTTAAATAGCAGCGCGTAGCGTGAAACTCGGAACGCTTAGTTTTCAATGGTGTAGAAATCACGTCGACACTGACGAAAAAATTACTACAGCTATCCGAGTAAATCCACAATCGCCACACGATTAAAATGAATAAGCGCGATTGACATGATGCTAGGACCGCATGTTCGATGGCCTACTTCGATCTCTTTTTTCTTGATTCTTTGCTTGGGATGCCTCATGACTTCCGCTTCTTGAGTCTCTTCGGACAAGACGGCTAAGCCAAACGGCTACCATGCAAGCTTTTTCGTTAGCCACTTCGCCAGATACGATATATACGTATATATTATTATCTGTAAAGATTCATAAACAATTCAATAACAAACACAGAATCATACATGTTGAGAAATGTGTTATTAAATCAAGAAACAGCCAAGTAACTATCTAAAAGTGCTCACTTTGCCAAAACAGTGAAAATTTTAAGTGGTCCTAAAGCTATTGAACAGGCAAAGATAAGTGGGTTAAGCAATAGCTAATGCTTAAATAGAGACACCTTTGAAATTAGCTTTCGTAGGCACACTGTCTTAGCTATAAAGATGAATATAAATATTTACATAAATATGTATCCTAAAAAGTTATATACACTATATTCAAGGGAGAATTAAACTCAAAGCTTAGCTTCCATTCACGCCCGCCTCCTACCTGGCTCCTACCTTGTTTTTAAATTGGGAGGGACGATTGTCTCCGTCGGTGGTGGTAAATGCATTGTTTATTTCGTTACCTTCCTAAATTAAGAGGAAGGAAGCTGTTGAAATAGCTTAGAAATGGTGCGATCTTTTTCGAAGAGATTGTGTTCATAGATAGCTCCCTTGAATACGAGAACTTCCTGAAGTCCCGGACCGCGGATAAAAGGTAGTGCGGGGTTTCAAGCCAGGCCGCATTCACATCCTGTGTAGCGCGCGCTAGTAAGGCCACGAAAGCTAGACAACAAGATTGAGCGGGTCGAGATTGATGGCCGGTCTATGTGAATGGTGCACCGGTCACTACCGTAGAGTGTACTGGTGTAACTTTGAGATAGAAGACAGCGGCCATGGTAGATAAAACTGGGCATAGGGTCGGGTTGAATAGATACTTCTCGATGTGCCAGTATCATGCAAAGAGAGAATGTAGTCTACAAGTCAAGATAAAGATTCATTTTGTTTGTAAATAACTTTTTGATGAGCACAATTCCCAACCGCCTTTCTCTCGTTCCAGAGTTGACCCCGCGCCCTGTGTCCTACAGCTTCACAAATGCTGCCTCAAAACTTACTACCAAACATGTTTTAGAAGCTCTGAGATCAGCGCGGCAAAGAGAAGTAGAATAATTTACCTATTTTTAAGATCCATGTAAAGATAAGCGCTAGCATCCATATGGTCCAATTTATGTTGGGGCTGATCTCAGTGTCATTAAGAAAATCTGAATATAAAGCTTTACAACTATAAATACTAATGTAAAATCAAAATTAGCTATGTGTCAATACGATAATATAGTACATGGGTGCAGTAACAAAAAACATGTAGCAGTGTCGATAAGAAAAATGTAGATCGTACATGCACGCAGCTTGACGAGCTAATCGGGCTAAATTGGCTCGTGTTTAGGAATCAAATACTGTGCATTGTTGAATCGCTTTAATACTGTAGTCTTTGAAATTTGTAGTTTGTAAATATTATACGTTGCATTCATAAGATAACAACAAAATCTATCACAGTTTGATCACATTATGAAGTCGAGATGCTCTTACCACCATTAGCCTAGGATAATTACGTTAAACAGAAATTCTTGCGAAGATGAACGGAATTAACTTCAATAGAGTGAATCTTTTCTAAGGGCCAGCATGAATGAGTATTCCTGTTTGTGTCACATTGAGTAATAGACAGTGCTCCGGGTAGTCTTATCCCGTATCTTTCTACGCCTGGTGCGAATATCATATGCTATATATGGGCAAAAAGTTTCAGTGTATTTAAAAAACTGCAAGAGAACGTTTTGATGACAAAACAGTTATGGAAACAATTGTGTTATGTGGTGTTTAAACAGTCTATTCTTGTTTGACACTAGACAGTAGGGCTTGGCGCTGGAAAGGCCTGAGGCCTACATCCTATCTCTCTCTCTCTCTCCCCTTCGATATATATTCATGATAAAAACGTTATAAACTCGATGTCCTTTCTCATCAGCTCGTCTTTGCAACAGGGTCTTAGCGAGTTTTTTGCAATGTATGTAAGTAACCTTATTAAGCAGGCACTCTAATACGTTAATGGTGAAAATGCGTCGTTTTTGATGATCAGAGTTTGAGTTGTCAGTATGTCTTCTCCGTAGCAATAACAGGTATATATAAACACGTGTGAGGTGTAGATAGCTGTCCCACAATGATTTTATCCGCCGCTGCACAATACCAGCTCTCAAATATCAAAAACAATTTATCTGAACTGTTTTTAAAGGATACATAATAAATAATTTGCTGCTTGTTAGTGTAGCGTGCTTAGTTTGGTTTAGTTGTGTGAATATCGGTTTCCGATATGGTCTTTTTAGGAACTGAGCTTCAGAAACTGAAAATAATTTGGCTGGCCGGGTTTCAGTCACGTATAGTTTCCCCCCGCAACTGTAATCGCTACTTTCCTGTAATGTCAGATGTCATTTCGCACCGGAACTAGATAGAGAGTCCGGCTTCCTTACTTTTCGGAGCTGATTCGCGCGCCACAAGACAAAGTTATCCGTTAGTGCTCCGGACATACGTGGGCGGTGTCTCGAGCTGCGGCCGCGCAACTGTTGATAAACAATACCCGAGCTTCGGATATCAACAGCGCGTTTCGAACGCCAGAACAGCTGATTAGACGACACTCACAGGGCGACCCCATTCTGGTCAGCTGAGCTTGTTCGTTGCATTGTTAGAGTTTGTTTTTCCGCTAAACATTAAATGAGTGAACTCAGATCGCACAATAGTATGGACTACGGTTGGATTATCTAGTTTTCCCAAAATAAAAGGTATGTTACGCATCACCTTGTCGTAAAAAAAAAAACGTGTAGACCCATGTATAATAAATGTCGCCAGCTTAACGTTTGGTGCTATCCGGCATGTAAAAATCTCAATCGCATCTCACATGAAAGAGTTCAGCGGAAAAAAAATTGTTACACTTTGAATAGATAGGAAGATTTTTGCGTTTCGTCGAATAAGGTGTCTTAATTAGTTTAATTAACTGTATACTGAAAAGCGTTATAGGCATATGATGATTATTAACTGAATTAGCTAAAATGTGTGAGCCAATAGTGTCTGTTTTGCTTAGGCGCAGCAAACCAAGTATTGTATAAAAGCGCTGGGTAAACAAAACCATTTATTATGCATATTACATAAAACACAGGCCAAATCGAAGAAGAAGAGGAACCGGATAAATACCGTTTATTAAAAATGCGTTTTATTGGATACTTCCTGATTCGCCGTTTGTTCAGTTGTTCGAGTGAACCGATACAAAAAAGAGCTGATCTTCACCTGTTTGAAGCATCCGATGCTGCGACCTTAGTACAGGTTAGTTCCTGTGTTGTGTTTTAGAACAGCATATTTATTCGAAAAACGAGTACAACGTATCGCTATTGATTTAAATAACAATAATGATAATAATAGCTTTTCGCGTCAACGTTTTAGGAATTTTGCTTGCAAAAAAACAGATAAGATTATATATAACTTTAGCGTCGCGACCATTTCATGAAGTATTTTATTTATTGGATTAGTATATTTGTTAGAAGATTATTAATAGGAATATGTTTGAATTTTGTTCGTTGCATTGTTTGCAAGATGTATACATTGAAATCTCACATAATTGCTCTCCTGCTGCGCCAACTGAATCTACCGATGTAAAGGTTGCCTGCTCTATTCTCTTTAGAGCGTATTCAGACATTGCTAGAGTGTTGTTCTTACATAATTAAAAATGTGTCATAAAATTAAATATTTCATCGATACGTAAAGAAGTTCATTTTATAGGAGTCTCGTACGATGTAAAATCAATGGAAAATAAATTTAGCACGTTTAAGTTAATGTGTACAGTATGTAATGTGTGAGTTTACAAAGCAATTAAACTGTATACTCAAATACAACGTCCTTTGATAATAAGATTTTTCTCTTTTCGAAATATTTTGTTGTAGGTTACTGGAACCTTTAAGATACACGAGAACTTTGTATCTAAGGAAGAGGAAAATCGTCTTATTGAAGAAATCGAACCTCACCTCAAGAGACTTCGTTATGAAAAAGACCATTGGGACAATGCTATTGTCGGCTACAGGGAGGTCGAGCGCAAGCATTGGTCAAAAGAAAACCTACAGGTGAGAACGGTCTCCACAACGAATAAACTCGCATCCTTATGCTCGAAATTACGATGCTGTAAAGGCAGGAAGTGAAAAGATAATCTCAGGAGTTCTCAAATAAAGGGTTATTATAATCGATTAGAGCTCATCCTTTCAAGCTCTTCATGAAGTTTTTCTTTATCATGCTATATTTTCTAGCCACCGCTTTCAGTAAGGGATGGTATTTTTATTTTTTTTTATGTAAAGGCTTTCCATGTTCTTCGACTACTCATATGTTTATGTTTTGGATAGCTTGTAGTTGGACTACTTGTTTATTGCCATTTATGGCGACAATAATAATGTCTACGGGAATGGTGTAAAGACAACACCGGAGACGTGAAGGTTTAGAAATCCCATTTTCAATTCTACAATACGCAATGTGAATGGTTGTATTTTCAGATTAATATCAGCTTCGAGTAAAAGGAATCTTAGCATACCTTTTTTTTGGATATGTTAGTAAGGAAAAAGATAACACAACTGAATATGATTTGGATTCGATAGGTAATGAAGCAAGTGCGCGAACTGTGCTTTGCTCCTGATGCCCTTCATCTGCCAATGGTCCACTGCCTCGATGTTTCCAAAGAAGGCGAGATTAAACCACATATAGATGCCGTACGGTTTTGTGGAAGCACAATTGCCGGTTAGTATCACCGATTTAGGGGATTATGCACTCCATGGCACGTGGCATGATACATCTGTATATAATGAATACGCACACTTAATTCGATCATTTTTTGGTGAAGAAACATAACTAAATTTATGTAATGTAAATTTTTAGGGAATCAATAGAAGTGACATAGGACAATGGTATACCAGACGTAATCATAAATCTAGCGATGAGTTTGAAATTGAGCGAATTGTTTACTGAAGGCTACTTCTCTGCACCCAAATTGAAATATTTTGTTAATGCTCGGTTTGATCATAACCATACGTAAATAGGCCTTGCAAAAAATATTAACTTACTGTAGTAATGATTTATGGATTGGTGGTAGCCCACCAATACGTACATAGATGTGCTCTAGAGTCGATCGGCAAATTTAGCTGAATAAAATCAATTAATGATGATACTGACGTAAAGCTCGATAAAATTTTTACACAGTTTCTATTCAAGGACTAGCAAAATTGAAAATAATGATGTCTGTATAATCCTATTGAATACAACAAAAAAAACATAGCACGTTCAGGTCAGATGCGTCCGTCACTGGAATAAATAGTGTGTACTAACATAACATCAAATGTGTGTGCTTCTTTGATGTTTTTTATGCGATGAGAATGTTTGGTACTTTTAGGTCTTTCGCTGATGTCCAATGTCGTTATGCGTTTGGCTCTCGAATACGACAGTTCTTGCTGGGTCAAGATTCTCCTTCCACAGAGGAGCGTCTATGTAATGTCAGGAGTCGCCCGGTACAATTATACTCACGCAGTTTTAGCTGACAAGCAGTCCATATTCAAAGGACAGCGTGTTCCCAGGGAACGACGAATATCCGTGATGTTTCGCGTTGAGCCGGAAGAGGCGATATCTGGATAGACTAGATTATTTTGGTTAGAAATTGTGGCAAGTAAGCTTTATATAAGGAGATGTTTTAATAATAATCTAGTAAATTTTAGATATCATACATAATTATTTTCAAGTTGTTTTTATTACGAACTTAATGTCAGCCTTTCTTAGTGCGATTTACATATTCTCTAGTTTCTTAAGCACCAAAGAGTTATGACTAACGAAGGATAGAGCGCACGTGACTTAGAATACTTACATATAACAGGATAGAAGAATTGTAAATATTATGCCTATAGTGAGTAGTTTTCTGTAATTTCCTTTAAATTCTCATTAAGCATTGCAACACACGGCTTTGGGACCAGTTAGCGAAGTATAATGTGTCCACTGCCGTATTCAAACTCCAGCTAGCTTATGTTTACGCGCAGGCCGCAGGAAAATTCCACAGCGCTGCGCTGTAATAGGAGTGAACCAATCATTATCAACGATAGACCGACGACTGACTTAACAATTTAGCTCTAACAACGATGTATTTTTGCAACGCTATGAGCTGTTCCTTTCGTAGAAAGATCAAAATCAATTGATTAAAATTCGCTGTAACAGCAGTTTCAACGGTTTCTATTATTGTAAAATACAGTATAGTATATATCTCATTAAAAGGCTTATCTTCGCGCCGGGTTTGATATAGTTGTTAAACATCACCTAAATGTATTATTAAACAAAAATATAAAATGCCGCAATTATAATTAACCCTCCTCCGTTATAATCGTCAAGAGCTTTACCTCGTTGTTAGTCGCGTTAGTGATTTTTTATTCTTACAGCTCTTGGTATCACATGAGAAGCATAGTAAATAAAAATACTTGTAAAAACACGTATCTCTCATCACCACACCATTAATCATACTGTAGGATGAATTGAACCAATGGATTAGACATCTGATGAGTGCACAACGCATTGTTCTAAATACTTGTTTTTATTCTAAACAATTCGTTGCTCAGACATTACCTTCATAATCGAGTTTTGTCTTAGTATTTTATGATAAACCGGGGGTGTACGGGTGTCTTTGGCAGTGAGTATTGTTTTTGAAGTTATTCGACAAAAGTTAAGGTCGAATACGAAATACTTCTCGTACGTGCTATGACAACAAAGTTGCTTCAACAATAAGTCTATATTATTTTAATTTGTTGTACTTATATTTTTATAAATTACAATTAAAAAATAAAGCTTCTCGTTTAGAATAGTGAATGGCTTACCTTAAACTTTGTGTCCCTAACCGTTAATATTCAGGCCTGACGTTCCTTTATATATTATTTAAACATGGCTACTAAAATTTGATACATGGGATGTCCGATATTTCATGTGGGGTCAAAAGAGAAGAAGAAATGTTAAGGAGCGATGTGGACTTGTTAAATATATATAAATATTAGTTATATTTGCTCATAAAGAAAGAGGACAGATTATTTATAAAGGCTACTTGTTGCGAAATGGTCCCAACGTGTATACTTGTGTAGGCCATAACAAAAAGTAAGTTAAGATTAATGTTGTTTGGGTAGAACGTTCTATTGTCAGTTATAAACGCTTGATGTGAACATGCGTGTATTCTTTAACTGATAATCTAAAATGGGTAAAAAAAATCTGTTTTCTTTTTTGTCGATCGTTTTGTACGGGAACTGGAAACGTAGTTATAATCACTGTTATTCACGAAAATAATATTTCTATAGGTAGGACAATTACCTTAGGATAAATAAGACGCTGTACCTTTAGTTGTCATAACTTCTTTGCTAATCGTTTACAGTCAACACAAGTCTACATATTTATTTTACGGACGACCGCGAAAAATAGGCTCAAGTCTTACTACGAAACGAATTCTATAAAATTTTGCAAAGAAGCCACAAGTCACCAGACAGTTTGAAACAAAACTTCTTGAAAATCAAAGAATCTCCATTTGACATTTGCTGAAGACAAATAGATATGCAGACTGTTGCGGTAAATTTAGGAAAGGCATTCCAAAGCCAATTTGTATTCCTATGAGAGTGCAAGCATGCTACTGGGTATTCCGATATTAGTTAATAAAACCATTTGAAAAACCACAGTAGTCATTGTTACACCTAGAGACATACGCCAGCCTTATTGCAGTGTAACATAGTACTATGGAAATATAGAAATAGCTTTAGGATTTTGTTTATATCCTTATTGCGGGGCCTGCTCCGCTGATTTATCTTTTATAACAATTTTTGCATCTCTTGCTATTTTGACAGATGTGAAATAAAGACCCTTGAAAGAAAGACCTTGTCGAAAGACTTTTCTCAAATCGTCTACAAATCTTTGCTACACTTTGTATATATAATTGAAAGTTTACTCTCCACATGTATATGTAGATAAAATGGGGATTCCTGAAGTCTCAAATGATCATTCATTTTAGAGAGGTCCACTTTTTGTAACATAAATCTATGATCTAACACGATTAGGTTCGGGATAGTCAATAACAGACCACTTCCACCATTTAACGACAGCTGTTCCATTGATAGTTTATCACAGGCTTGTTTACACATTGAACGAACTTAATTCGAGTTGCAGGCGGCGTTTCTTTTCGTCTTCCTCATTTTTTTTGAATCGTCGCGCGTGCAGACACACCAGCGACAAATCACAAGCGACATTCAGTCAGTGGAACGTGCAGCGCAATTGACTCTCGTTGCTGACCATTCTCATTGCAGTTGCTGCCTGCTGCTGTTGCGAACTCGCAATGTGCAATCTAGACAACAAAACGACATAGAATTGTTTCTTGCTTTTCCTTGGACTCCATTCATAAGTCAACAAGATGATTTATAAATTTCAAATTGATCTTCGCATTCCGGTTTCGACGACAATCATGACCGGAGAAGCGCCCGGCTACCCTCTTCGATCTAGATATTTGGGATTGTTGCCGGCCCATTATTAAGCCGCTGTTACTATTAGCGATGTCGCTGCCGCATAACCACTATGCTTCCATCCTCTTCGTGTTGACTGCTGCTGCCGCCGCTGGTGCTGCCACCGTACTCCTTGTTCCTACTCACTCATTTGGCGGTCCGTTTCGCGAGTGACCCGCTACGCCAGTGTATACGTGTTCGCTAAGCAGTCGCCGATTGTCACACTGCGCCGTTCTGCTGGCATAAGTGAAGGTATATCTAACTCCAGTTACTCATTGGCAGCGTGTACGCGTGTACCCGACAAACTGTAAGTCGTCATTGTCTCGAGAAATCACTTCCGGTGAGCTGTGTGACGGTGTGAGCGGTGAAAATTCGCCGAGGAGCGAACGGCCAGCATCATCCAATCATTGATTTGTGGAGCCAACAATAGTAGAGTAGATACAGACACCTGTGTGGCTGCCGTAGACTAGCTAACGAAAAGCCGGCAACGATAAATTGGTAGGAATTTGATTATCTGAAGCTTGCGTGCGTGGTTGTATGTCGACTCTAGTAGGTGACAGAGGAATCGTGCGCCCCCTCCGTTCTGATCGAGTGATGGCCTAACGGGGAGAGGAGGGAGACAAAAACTTGTTGTTGCAGCTGCTGGCCTTATTGCGACGACCACGACTTCGGTGTCGCGTTGACCCTACTGTTGATAGTGACAACGTATGTTGGTATACCACAACTTAGTCGAATCATAATTATTTTTGCTAAGAGTTAATTGTTGGCGTTTTTATCGTTAGCTCTCCAAGCACTACTGCAAAGATGCAGCAAAACGAGTTTATCAGAAAAGCCGAAGACGTGGCCGACAGTGTCTACCGAAAGAGTAAGCATGTTTTACCCCACCAGGCGCGTTTTTGCTTAGTATCAACATTTCTGGAGGATGGTTTACGAATGTGGTATCAATGGGGTGATCAACGCGATTACATGAACCATACGTGGAACTGTGGATGGTTTCTCGCATCGCTGTTTGTACTCATCAACCTGGTTGGCCAGCTGACTGGATCGCTGATGATTCTGGGGCGGTTTCAGGTTAAACCCGCCTGTTTATTGCTCGGGTTTATCGTTGTTCTTCAGACATTTGCCTATTCAATTTTATGGGACATGGCCTTCTTGTTACGATCACTTTCACTTGCCGGCTCCCTGTTACTGTTGTTCGCCGAGGGGCATAGCGAGGCGAAAAGTTTATTTGCTGGGGTGCCGACTCTCGGTGATAATAAACCAAAATCCTACATGCAACTAACAGGCCGAATACTCGTCGTATTCATGTTTGTGACGATGCTGCGTATGGAGTTTTCGTTCTTCCAGATTCTACAAAATATCGTCGCGTCAGTGATGATGCTACTCGTGACCATTGGCTACAAAACAAAATTGAGTGCGCTTGTTCTAGTCGTATGGTTATTCTCAATCAATATGTATTTCAACGCATTTTGGATGATTCCGTATAATAAGCCGATGCGGGATTTCCTTAAGTATGACTTTTTCCAGACGATGTCAGTTATCGGAGGACTCATGATGATTGTATCACTCGGACCCGGTGGGGTTTCGATGGACGAACATAAAAAGCGGTGGTAATAACCAATGGTAATAACCGTCGCCAAATCAACATATGTAAATCATTAACGCGTTTATACATAATGTAATCTTTGTAACGCCTTTCGTGGGAGAATAATTTGATTAAATGCGAATCGAATAAGGAACACTTGCTATGAATGATTTATTTACGTAAACATAACGACGCAGGTGTGAGCCTAGAAATCCTATACAGACTTGTAGACTCAGCAATAGGGTATGAATTGACTTCCAAACAAGTAAAACATAAACTTATGGATCAAATCTTATCGTTGGTTCTGCTTAAGCGAAGATGAATGGAACTCAAGAATCGTTTGTTATTCTTAGACCCATATACAATGGACGATATACTGGTCCCGCAATGCGAAGTGTACATCGTTCAGATATGGAGTGTACCGTGAATATTGATTTAATTACGATTCTTTTCTGAATAGCGATTTTGGCTTAGGATTACTGCCACACCATTATTTTTCAGTATTATTATTATTAGATTACCTTTTGTAGACTCCAATAAATCTACAGTAATTATTTGTTCGTGTAATACTCTGTGATGTGGACGGGTTTTAATAGGACAAGAGAATTACAGGCCAACTATACCCTAACGATAGAATGAATGCAGAGTATAGAAAGAACCGCATCAGAAGCGGTTGAAAAACTTGCTACTAATTTTTGTCTAATCTACAGAAGGGATATATTGCTAGTATTATGACTGGTGAGGTTGCTGTACAAGTATGAGGTCAATACGCCAAATCTTGGTAACTAGCAGCTACTAGTTCCTGTAATCGAGTGAAATGAATGGAATAATTTGATGGGTGAAAGAGATGAAAGCGATATACAACCGATAATCATATAACGGTGGTGTTAAATGTGGTAAATATTTTTGTAAATAATAACAATATTAATAAACTTCCAACAAGTATTGGCCTTCGTTCAATACGTCGGTCGTCATTTCAGCATTGGGGTCACGAAAATAGACAGGGATTTATATAAATTGCTGACATTTTCTTAAAGACGGCAATTACGTAGTTTACTGAAATAGAGGGACTGAAAGATCAGCAAAATAAAACAAAATACACTTGCTATAGAAATATTTTGTTACGAAATTGCTTCACTAGGAAAGCGGTGCTAAAGTTTTTTTGTCGAAAGCTGTGAACGGGATGCTTTGACCTATTTTGTAGTTTCGAATTTGGGGAAGTGGCCCGTTTCGCTTTCATCGGCTCTTATAAGCAATATCGTTTATTCTGACACGGGACAGCAGCCGAAGATACTGGTCGCAGTGGCGTGTACTACGGTCTTGTCAACGTTCGCGGAGTCCCACTTAGTGACTGGTTGTTCTACGTGGAGGATGCGGACCGCAAGCGGGGCGACTAACCGAATGGTCGGAATAGATGAACCTATCGAATTGCGACACAGCCGCATTTAGTAGATAAATTTATGAGCACGTAAGCAATAGGTACATATACAGAATTGAAAAAAAAGCACTAAAATAGGTACTATTAAAACTAGTTACACGTTGTCACAAATACTTATGTACATATGTATATCGGTTGAATTCGGACTAAATTTAAAGTAGATGCGAATTGTGGCGAAGTACCCTGCTGAGCATCATGAAGGGCAAAACTGTAACCAATTCCTCTTTGGATTTATATTCTGGGTGATGCGTATGTGTCAGTCGTCTAACGCAGTTGGTTCTCATCGTCGTCTCGCTCTTATCGACGTAAACACATTAGGCGAGGTTCAGAATTAACATGAATGTTCATCCTGAAGTAGTCTAAATCCAAACAAACATAGCCCGCCACGAAAATGCCTAGATAACTGTTTTCAAGGCTGTGGACTAAACTGTCGTTCAAGATATTTTTCGTGGGTTCTGTGTTATTTAGTAATGAACATGTTTTGTTGATCAATATACTTATAGTATTCTCTGTATTAGGCTTCCCACCCGAACCGTTTGCGCTACGTGGGAATGTCTAAGAAGTTCAGTATATGTAGTAACATTTAGAGAATGCCTTGTACATATGTATGTGCGTAACGGCCAGTTAAAACGACGCAGAGTCTAAAACATTTAGTCAGATCGGGCACAATCGAATGAGTGTGATTATACATAATATCGGTGGCATATGAGTGGCTATCAGTCAAATATAACGCCTGCAACAATCGCAAAAAGTTACCAGTTAGATCTTCACTTGCGTTATTGATTGTTGACACAAGTGGATTATGGTAGCTTTTTTTAATTACGAGTGATTCTCAACGACGCTTTTCTTAGAGAAAAATCGTGACTTTCATACTGTCATGTGTGTCGTACCTGTCAGAGAGTAGTGCCGTCTATGACATGTCTTTCATTTTTGATGCTTTCAGGCGCCCGTTAAAGATTGTACTTGTAATAAATTAGTCGATAAGGAGCGAAGGCTTTTAAAGAAGAATTGTCTCAAAATCAGTTTCCAGTTTTATGGACGTTTAGCTAATAACCGATGCCTCAACAACTCAGCGAGCAAATTCGCAGACTGTGCAACAAGCATTCACTCATCGGAACCCGTGAGTTCCTTGAAAGTTCTGTCAGAAACAGAAGATAATGAAACTTTACGTTCAAAATGAGATGAAATGGACATTAGCCATAACTGCATACATTGCCAGCTTAAGTCTCTGTATACTTTGGGGCAGACTAAAAATAAGCAAACAGCTCAGAAGTACCACAGCGGACATACAAGCCTCGCAAACTATGATGTTAAGCATTTCGTTAATGACTGTTTTATGTGTACAGAAAGCGCGTATTCTCGTTACGAATGAATCTATTTTCTTGTATCTGAAGAGTTGATGGATTAAGTAAAGCGCTATTTTTTTTTCAGACCACTAAGCAAATCACTGCGCAGTTTATTAGCGAAATTAAATCACGAATTTTGAATAATGCTCGAAATTACAAAGTTACAAGATATGCTGTGGTCTGCGGCCACAGTAAATATTATTATGCCTCCCAAGACGACGATAACGCCCGCCATGCGCAGATAAATAATTTACCTTTTTTTCTATTTTTAAATAACAAAGAACCTTATTTCAAATTTGGTTAACTCGGATAGTTCGAATCGCCAGATAATTGTTTATAATTTTCGTTGCTCTAACAAATGCAGTCACTATTTTTTTTAGCGTTTTGATGGGTCAATTTTTATATCCAGTTTTCTGCAATGTAATCTTTTGCACAATATAATAATTCGCACTTTTACATCGTACTGTGTAGTAACTGAAAGTTTGCTTGGGTAATTGATCCTACAAAAACATTTTTTTTTGAAGAAATAGGATTAATCTATACTGAACAAATTTTCGAACACTTCAACTTTATACGAAAATGTTCACGACTGATTCTATAGATTGTCCACGCAGTAGGCGCACCAAATCATCCAATTCTCTTTTTTCTAACTCCTGTAGCAGCACTTGTACGACCATTTTTTCCGTCAGGTATTTAATCTGCGAGGCATTACGGTCGACTCGGTACGTCCGAATTCGGACCTAAACCATCACGTGACCCTAAGTTCCTTACATTACCCAATCTACTAGAACGGGACTCGGGTTATTGTGGTATCTGATCGATAGCTAATTGCGAGCGTTCTATAACACGTGAAAATTTTCGACACAGAATAACTTCAAAATTCATAACTATGTTTCGCTACCTGACAGAAATCAATAACTATGCCCTGCTAGTTGACGGAATTTGACTGACAAATATTGCTCTAAAAAATTCAGTTCGGCAAAGAAAACGTCTCACTTTTGAAAATCAACGCTCAGTGGTCACGGTTTTATTCCTTGCCAGAGCGTTGTGAAAATATATCGATGACAGAAAATAATAGGCCAGGAGGCCTTAAGTGAAAGCATATTACACATATAGTGGAAACGTTTCAAGAATTGAGATTGGAGTATTGAAATTTATCGAAAGAGTGATCGTCAGGATTCGAAAAACAATATTGCCGCACTTCGAGGAGGTTTTTACGAAAGGAAAAGCTTACAGTCTAAGGGTTCTGTCAGCTATAACTGACATGTCACATGCAACGCGTTACAGAATTATAACCCAAATACAAGAAAGTAAAGAAAATCAATAAAAATAATTGTATTCCGTAAAGTGACTGCATGTCAGCTTCCACGTACAATTTGCGAAGTTTTTATAGAAAAATGCCTAGATCATACGGTTACTGTAAGTAAGGCATTACGCATTCTCTGCCGCCAGCCGTAGATGGACCAGGAGTGCGGTGGTTGTGTCGAGTTGATTCTGACATGAAGTAGTACTTGCGATGGACATTGAGGAAACCTACTAGTATAAGATAATCACCAAAAATTACACAGTGAATGCGGGTCACTATGTCAACTTTCTAAAGAGACCGATGCACCGTTGGACTGCAGTGTGGTTACTCGGCAACAACGCTAGACCTCATGGCGAGCCTTAATTATTTTCTGGATAAAACAAAGGGATATCCAAGGTTGGTTCCGATCCGCTTGTTTTTCAGACCCAAGTCCGCGTCATTATAGGGCTTCCCATGCTTTTTAAGGCATGGAAAGCACTATCAATTTATTTCGGGAACCCATGTATGGAGAAACTATCTATAGGAAGGCGAGTGGTAAGTATATGGCTGTTTAGACGTTATCAACGCACTGGCAAAATGCGTGAAAATTAAACGTACCTTTAAGAAACTAATTAAAGTCTTTTTAACCCAACTAGCTCAAAAGTCTTCCAAATTCGCTTGCAACAGCTGAACAGTCACAACGGGTTTGGTAACAAAAAAATATGGATAGACTCTATTTCAAAGCACATAAGGTTTATGTATAAATGAGAGCGTGTGTGTATGTAGATAATCTTGATAATATCCACAAGGATTCTGATTTTATGGCTATGTTTGATGCGATAAAAAGTTAGTGAAATATTAATGTGTAGCAAACTGGATCTATATATTTGGACATATTTGGATATATACACGCCATGTAAAATTGTGAAGCAGAGCTATCCTGAATTACCCGTCGAATCTGAACTTCACTAATCGTATTCCACCTGTTGTAAGTATGAACTAAGATTTGCTCAGACAGCGCCCGCTTCGAATGATGAGGTGTTTAAGGTGTCCATAGAGTCGCTGAAATAGGGCGCCGGGAGAGCGGTCCGAAACGCACCCATAGTAGCGCGTCTGTCCGAGCAGAATCGCTCAGTCGCGCATGTTCGAAATGTATTTTAAATTTGTTTATGTTAAATAATAATTAAGCAACTTAACAGTGAAAATGGAATATCTTCTAAAAACACAACGGGAAGAAATTTTTTCTCGGAAAATTTAAAGTGAAATCTGATGAAGCACATTAGTCAAACACAGCAACATGAATATTTTCCTTCCAGATTATTTTGCTAAAACAGATCTGTGAAGGCAAGAAAAAAACAAAGGAAACCCGATAAGAAAAAACAGCTTATCCGGGCCTTTCCCGCTTCGTATATCCAAATCATCACTTAAAAATCTATTAAATTTAATTAGTAATATTTTGGTGGTAACAAACGCATCGCGGTACGTGAATACGAGTGAGATATTCGTCGACAGAAGTTAAATCGACTCATTAAAATAGATATGACACGTCTTGTTCAAAATATATTTTTCCAAAATATGAATTGCAAGAACGTTTAGTACGACTAGATGCGTTGATATGTACGAATTGGTAGGAAATACTTTCACATCTAAAAAAGAGAAGTCCTACAAAGTGGTCTACCAATTTATCTTACAATGCGAATACCATTCGCTTAGGGGTGATGATTATATTATATGTATAATGTTTGTAGACGATATTCGATTGAAGCTGACAACTTCTTAGGCTGTTTCATGCCTCTAAAAGTAAATGATTTTTGCGATTGACTACACGTCGCGAATACCCCTATGCCTAAAGGAGCGGTATTCGTAAAGTGTAGCCATTTGCAGAAATTACTTAATTTTAGAAACACGAAAGAGCTAACAAAGTTGGCAGTTTCAAGAAGCGCTTCAGCTTCGCGTAAGAAGAACTTCGTAAACACCAAACTTACTCTCTTCGGTTGGCGAAATACAGTCTCACTGAGAACGACGAAAACATTATCTGCGTTTCGAACTTAGCTCGTAGTCAGTTAAGTTGTAATTCCGATAAATTTTAGAAACATTTCTAATATACGTAATGAGTCCTAGCCAGGCCGGTGGACACAGAACGACTTCGTCTTTTAAATGGATCACGTCGACACTCCTCCGAATCGGTATAATGTATTGCGGCTTATGAAGACAATAACTGACCACTGCACACCACAATACGCTATTGCACAACCCCCATAGATAGATTCGTCTATTTTTCATGATAGCATCTTTTTTTTTACATTGTGAGTAATTCTTACTCACATAGAGTAAGAATTTGTTGATTTCTAATCGCATAACAAGTTGCTTTATTCTTTACAATTCTGGGTGTTACTTAGCGATCGCTACGTATATGTCTTCGACACCTATGATGCCTTCTTGTCTTTTACGTTTCTCTACACAGCCATCTTCAATTAGTTTACTAAGATGGTGTTCAACATTGATTTTAGCTGCCGGATACTTGAACTTGGGTATCTCCTGTCCGTACACCTTCTCCACGATCTCTAATGCTGTTAGACCGTTACCTCTGTCTCTCTCAAGACATTCCATGATCTGCTTCTCGCGAATCAGTCTACAAATGGAACACACATCCGCACACGATACGAATATAATTCAATGTCGCATTATTTCAACTAGAATCTTACTAAATGATATAATCCAGTCCAGTTTAATATTGAAGGATATATTAACTTTGGTACCTAGTCTATATCAAATTTTCCGCAAGGTAGCGGTCACTGAAAGTGCATCAATCGTTACCGAACAACCTCGAATTTCTTCCAGCAGCTGCGATACTATGGAGTACTTTTTGGGACCCGCAAAAAATATTCTGAGGTAATATATCGTTCATCAACAGCAGATAACTGATGTCTAAGGGGTCTCTTTGCTCTCGTTTATTCGGTGATTTTCTGTCGCATGTACATGTTTTGATTTATGTTTTGAGACTACTGTAAAATCTCGAGTTTACGAATGTTCCTGTAAGGAAAGACTATGTATTTCCCAATAATAGCCAGCGTTGGTCCAAAAAGGAGTTTTCATTTTACTACTATTGATTTCGTTACAAATTTTGTTTGCAAATTCTGGATTTGTCAAATGGAAGCGAAGTTCAGACTGCCTACCTGTGTTCTATATAGGCCTTGACCTTGTTGACTGCGTGTGCAATAACAGGCCCATGGCCTGGGTAAATTATTTCTGGTGAGTACGTCTCAATGCGACGTAAAGACTCCATGTAAGGTCCGAATTCTTCGAACACCGACGAGCCTTCACCAAGAATACAGTCACCGGAGAATATTGCTTGTTCCTCTTCAAGCACCAAACAGAGGTGATCCTTTGTATGACCCGGTGTAGCTATAACTTGCAACGTTGCACCTTCTACAGTAATCTTTTGACCGTCGCTTAATGGTGTAAATTTCAGGCCTAAAAATTACGTTGAATATTTAATTGATGTGTCGATATGTTGCAAAGCAAAAAAGATGCGCACTAATGGATAATTGATCACCTTAATTGAAATGCAAAATATTCACATTCAGCGAGTGTTAAAAGGGGTGTCAAGTAAGATTATTGTATGTTTCAGAAATCAGATGTTATCTCTTGTGGACTCTAATGAGCCCTTTGTTTGCACACAGTCATTCGGATAAATGTTCTAGTAGTATTAACCGGTAGGGTCATCCTTCAGTGGAAAGGGGATCTTGGAGATGGGGGTAGCGGTGTTGACTACGCCTTCGCGCATCAGATCCACGATCCCTCCAACATGGTCGTGATGCCAGTGGGTGACGATGACTTTCTCAATTTGAACCTAATGGAAATCGTCACATAAAACAAACATGTCAATGCGTAAGTGAAATAAAACTAAATCCTTCTGAACATTATTCTGGAAGTAATGACTATATTACTTGATACTGAAAAGTTGAGCGACAAAGTGCATGCATTAATCAACCAACCTGAAGTTCGTCGAGAGCGATTTTTAGTGATTGAACATATTCCGGATAATCTGATGAACTGGTGTCAACTAGCACTCTGTTTCGTCCAGTGCCAATGAGATATGTATTCGTACCTTGCAATGTCATAATACCTGGATTGCAACCTAAACAAATTAAGTATGAAGTTTGATTTAAACATGAAGTGAAATTGTTCTGTATTTTTTACGTGGAATCATGAGGTACGGCTATGGTAGACGGCTTTGGATAATAAAATGGATGCCTTTAGTATGAAAGTCTGCATCAAAATGCTTAATCTAATTGTAGTACCCAATATAGTACAAATTAGTTATCATTCTTCATATTTTGTTTCATGTTTTAAACTTCCTAAAAAATCACTTTTAAGAAACTTAAATACTCTTTACCAAGTACACGATACACGCGAGGTGACAGCTGTTGTCGCAGAGGCAGCACAGTCTTCATAATGAACCATCTGAAAAAGATGAAGATGTTAGTTCAATATACAACAATCTTAGAGCAACCCTTCTTACTCTTATTTATCATCAGATAATTAATAGTAGTAATACCCCATACATACCTCTTGTAATCGCCATTACATGAGCCCTGAACTGGCTCTATTGGATAATTTGTATTAAATGCCGTAGTCCCTTTTTCTCGAAGCCGCTATATAGAAGATTTAAAAAAGGGGAGATGAGAACGTGGGCTGAACGCTTCACCGTTGGCTATGCCATATTTTGCGCTCAGATAATTCCTTACGATTATTCTGACGGTTATTCTCATTACTGTTAATTTAAAAAACGGTCAGCGTATTGCACAACCTCGAGCTAATGTTCACTTGAACTGCCATAAGTGCACAAAGCTGCACAGGCGCTGAGCGCTTAGAACTCTGTTGAACACTTCCGACTTTCGTACTGGATGAAGGTCTCACACAAAAGTAATACATTGACAAATGTAATGCAGCATCATGCAATGAAAGAGTTGGTTGAAAACTAAATGCATGAAGCTACTTCATTACTCATCGTCGTGTAGATCTTTCCATATTTTCGCATAAGCGAGATAACGGTATATACTACACGATGAGTGTATTTAAATAAATAAAAAATGACCTGTGGTCAGGGCTGTTTCTTGTTAAAGCGTCATATTCTATGTATCAAATAATTGACCCTGAACTCTACTCATTATTGTACAAAATGATAGTTGAGCTATATACAAAATATACGTGCCTATTCTACTTACATTATTAGATACTGAATATGTAAGCGCAATTTTAGTGGCATCGGCGGATTCTATCATTACCAATATATGGAAAACGCAAAACTTTTACATCAGTAAACGCGTATGGGTCCACTTCCAGCTTCACCAGTAAATTTCCTTGTCCTTTTATTTTTTTGGAAAAGTTAATGTAGCTAAAAACGGCCAATTTTTTTCATATTTCTATTGTACTTGTTCTTATTACTAGTTAATTCGTAACATATTTTCCACAATAGTGTAAAATAAAACACATTTATTGCTTAACCATACATCTCATAGCACAAGGAAAACAAGGAACTGGCAATCTACTAGCTACGTTACGTGCGAAAGCATGAAGGAGTGACTACTGTGCGTAAATCGTCTAATCGTTAGATGGAAAGCAGTGTGCTAGCTACTAGTAAGACAAAATTAGGTTGACAGTTTACAGGATACGTAACATTAAAGATTTCATATAAAATTCAAGACAACTTACTTGTATAGCAGCTCACTGAGCTTTCCGAATTTAGCCGAGCGCGTTATCCACTCCATGAATTGACACCAATACTTAGGGAAAACGACTTTGCTAATACCACCCAGCTAGCAGTGGATTACAAATACCAAGTTACGCAGGATGCTATTGCATGTTATGCAATTTCATGTTATAATAACGGTAAAACGATAAAACTAACTCGAGCGTTAGTAGTTGCTAGGTCGGTTCTTATCAGGGCGATACGTCGTCGCGTTCTGCCTCTACGACTGTGGAGGCAGTGACGTCAAAGGAACCAAATGATCGTGATGAAGCGCAAACAGAAGTTGCTACGCTATTATTCTCCATACTAACGTTTGTATAGAATCAAGCTTCGATTGACGAAGATTGCTATTAGCATAGATTGCGAAGCTGAACTACGGCACAAACTTGAAAATAAAGGTGGATGAATAAACCGCATATTGCCTTTCAGTGAGATACTCTCATTACAGTGGCAGTAATAAAAAATATATAAAGCTAGAGTGGACTTTTCATTTCGTTGTTGAAGAGTAAAGCTTCTATCAGCCTACATATAAACATCAAGATTCGAGGGATACTTTACGTAATTATTTTACTAAGTTGCGCATGCTATAGCATTAAAGGGATTTTTCCGACAGGATATGATTCTCGTCTGTGTTGATTCCACCTGAGTCTGCTGTGTAGCAGACGACGTTTAGTGTGCGCCATACAGAAACAATTCGAGTAGTTCACGCTGTCCGTTGCCATTGACTTGTGGAACAACATGGCGTCAAATGTGACCAACATGTGCGCGATGAATTTGTGCCGTTTTATGCGACAATTAATCATCCAGGGAGGTCGACAAGATGCAATCAGGTAACCTTTAGAAAAGATTCAGGCCAATGGTGAAATTTCGTTGGTCAACAATGTGTTATCCTACAGTGTTTGTTGTTTGATTGCTATAGATTGCATCACATGCGCGATTTCCATTGTGGTCCAAGCAGGCCCTCCGACCTTAGGCTACCAAGTTTCAACAAAATTCAGAGCTATCTTCTTCACCCCGTTGAAACTTCGTTCACACGCACTGTGAGCCGATTTAGTAATACTATATTTGATAACGATTATCAGTAAATTTTATGTACATGATTAAAGGGTTGTCATATATAATACCTGTGAAATGTAACGATGGTAGATACGGGCCCGGGTACTTCATAGAGCAAATGTCCTTTCCTTACTGCGCAGTCGCTCTGCATAATTCGGAATAAGTGGAGGCGGTAGTTTTATAAGAAAATCTACTTCTAATTTTTTCGCTGAGTTACATCGTAACGAATGAATTGATAGATAAAAGTTTCGCCAATATATGATAACCATACATAAAAATATAAATACTGAAAAAAGTAATAGCCAGCACAGGTAAAGCAGTTGACGGTCTCTATATATATATATATATATTTTACAGTCGCATGTTCTCCACAACTCCACATTTAGCCACTGAAAAACCGTTGGAAGGCGAAGCAACGGAAAAACCACCAGCCGTCGATCCAGCCGAATATGAAAAGCTCAGACAGAGGACCGCGAATTTGCTTCAAAACGTCAAGGAGCTTGATGTACGTACACAGTTCGGCACTTCAGACATCGTAACACATGAGGACACTCTTCTTGTTTCCATATTAAAGTCAAGTTGTAAGAGCCTCAATTCAGGTACTTAATTTCTAACTCGTTTTAGTGCTTGTACGTTAAGACGAGTTAGAAATTCTGTAATATTGCACTAAGAGTAATAAGATCTGTCAGTTTAGAATACGTTTTATTTATGTATTTTGTCGGCAGTGCCAAGATAAGACCCTTCTATATAGGTCCGGCAAAGACACAATAATAGGTATAGTTGGATTTTTGTGTACATCTCCGCGCGGGCTTTGATATATATTTTAAGAAGGTTCGTATAAAACTGCTAACCTAATTTGTATTTGTCTTTTGGGCCTAGGATAAATACAAGCGATCTCTTGCCGATTCGGAGAACTTACGGATGCGTCTCACGAAGCAAATCGAGGATACGAAAGTTTTTGGCATCCAAAAATTCTGCACAGATTTGCTTGAAATAGCTGATGTTTTGCAAATCGCTTGCGAAGCAGTACCGAAAGAAGAGTTGGAGAAAAACCCATATTTAAAAAACCTCTTTGAAGGATTACAGATGACCGAATCACAGTTGCAGAGTGTTTTTCGAAGGTGAGACACGCACGACATTGAATCAAAAGAAATTTAGAAAGACCAGCATATTGTGCTAGCTTGAATGTGCTAATGTTTAGCATCGATATGGACAGATAAACGATAGGAACTAGTTAAATGCATCCATTATGCGAATAGTCTTATCGTACTCGCCGTATATCGAAAATTAAGCATACTATTCGACTGATTTACAGACACGGCCTAACTCAAATCAACCCTCTCGGCGAGAAATTCAACCCGAACGAGCATGAGGCTGTCTTCATGGCTGAAGACAAGAGCAAAGAAGTCGATTCTATCGCTGTCGTTAGCAAGCTTGGTTACCGCCTCAGGGACCGAGTCATTCGGCCCGCACTTGTCGGCGTCGTAAAGCATTAATCCTGAATACCTATTTGCAACCTAAGGGAGCCTCAAAACTTGGCTGACTCGGGGGGCACAGTCGAGCGTCCCAGGCTTTGCTTTCCTAAAAATTTCTTCGCAAAAGGCTGTAGGATTTTATTAAACTGTTAAAATAGAAAGTTATTTTAAATGAAAGTGGAAAAGCGAATATGGCAGAAAAAATGGAGAACAGAATGCGAAAATTTGTGTAACGTGATGAAACCAATTATTCAGTGTTACATATATGGCACACACGACTTTTTAAAATGTGTGTGTGTGCCTTTAATGCCATTAATGTAAAGTGATTCTGGTGTATACCACTGAGACATAGATAAAATATAGACAATATAAAAAAACAAATTAACTATCAAAACATACAGTCATAATAGTATAGGACAAAATATAAAAATTTAAATAAAAACGAGTGAATTACAGTAATATACACAGTGAAACTGGAAAGTCGTGATGGTTAATGATTAAGTCGCGATAAATGTCTGTTATTTGAAAAAGAAGTTTTTGTCTCCTCTACGTATTTTTATCTAATGAACGAATCGCGACTATCTCCCTTAAATATAAATACATAAAAAGGTATATATATAATATATGTAAGTACAATAAAAATATCACAGTTTAGCTATCGAATTGTAGTTTTATTTTTGTTTAGTAGGATTTTTTCTAAAATGTAGTGCTCTAACTTATTCCGTATTGCTATAAGTGTTCGGTCGAACCCATGTCATAAAAATCATGAAGATTATGATAACTTATGTCTTATTAATTTTACAAAATATTCTATACATTGACATCTGTTATCTGTAAGTTATTCTTTCCTGTCCTTGTCCCTACTAGGCTTCTATTCAATAGCAGACGTTTTTAAGCCTGCGGCGGTGCTCCAGTAGTAGCTGTAGGCGATGAAGCTGTGGTGGTGAAAGCCGTCTTCGAATGCTCCGCAAGAAAATTTGAAAGTCTCAGTTGATGTCGATTCAGGTTGAAGCATAAGTTTTGTGAGTGCGTAGCCAAAAGTTTGGCAGTGATAGCCTGTACGAACTCTATTGACGGGACCGTGGCCAACCACTGTAGCTGGTCACGTGACAAGAAAATTCTATCGATTACACCAGCTGTCGTGAACAGAAACATAAGAAAAATTAAGGAAAGGTGTGCGCGGTTAAGAATCAAGAAATGGATGTAATATCTCTATATAATTAAAGAGGAGCATAATTAGGTTTATGATCAATACACATGTTCGATTTAGTTTATCGCATCAACGGGGAAGTTAGATAGTTAAACCTCTATAGATCAAACTTTCCGTTGATGCGATAGACTAAAGCGAATAAAAAAAATCAGTGGATAAGAATACGCAAAAAATTCTGAGATTATGTATGTCAATAGAGTATCGGCTATAACGAAAATGCTGCACGGTATATGAATGACCTAATTAAAATCGTCAATATTATACAAAAATCCTATTTCTTTATAAGAACAGGTCTATTAATTGGTTGGGCATTTTCATGCGTTTTATCAGCACTTCGAGTAATGCCAAAATGCACATTTGCTTAAAACTTGTTTCCTAATTCACTTCACACACATGCCACAAGAATTCTATTTTTGTAACTATTGGAATCAATTCATTGCTCTAGCATATTGAATTACGCCAAAACTTTGTCTCACTCACCTAAAAGTATATACTGAGGCATCTTTTTCAGAAGCTCTATTGCTACCGTGATATTCTTGTGGGGTGAAATGATGATTGCGTTCTTCGAGAAGGTAAATGGAGTGGCGTTAGCTAGAAAGGTGTCTTTTATAGCCAGACGAGTTACCTATATTAAGGATAAGTTCATGTGAGATTGTGGCTTAACCATTATTGGTGTAGTGTGAGAGTTAAGCCAACTTCAGCATTACCACTACGGATGAAATTTGTCAGACAAATTTGTACGAGAAATAAAGTGGTAAAAAAAACTAACGAGGTAACTAAATACCGCTATCAAATAACCATGAAAAACTCACCTCGTTAGAAATGTTAGTTTGTAAATAAAGCTTCTTTTTGAAAAGCATGTTATGGATTTTAAAATCGTCTTCACGTTTGACCGAATTCTTGTGGTAGAACAAAATCATTGAGGCCTCTTCAAGATTTGCTCGAAGTCTTTTAGCCTTAAGGACGTTCCAAGGGTGAGGCTGTAATGTAAGTAAATACTGTAATGGTTAGGAGTAGCACTCATGGCAAAATCAACCGGTAGTCATCCATACGGCATGCGCTTGTAGAATAAATGGGTAGTAGTTACAGACCGGCTATTTACCGCCATATTACTGTTGAGGTTGGGCTGACATTGCATTAGGTTGCTCAAATGATAATATTCGAAGTGAGAAAGAGTAAACTTTTTTTTCGAAATCCAATCAGTCGCCTGAACCAGCTAGTTGTAGCTCCAGATATTTGTTCATATTACCAATTCGAGTTAGGTGCTCGCTTAAATATTGATAGCATTATATATAGACAAACCTATGCAGTTAAGTAATAGTTGCGATATCGTAGTAATAATAACATAAATCTCTACAGATATTTCTATCGTATATTTTACCTCGTAAATACGTTCGACACGGTTAAGGTGGCCGCAGACTTTCTCTTTTGGAGGGATAATGGGTTTACAAACTTCAAGCATCGCTTTTCGATCGAAATGAGGCTCCGGTGGGTTTCGCGTTTGAATGCGACGGAAACGCATTTGCGATACCTGAACACATCGTAGCTGTATCGCTGTCATTAAGAACCAGCGAAAATAAATATACCGAACAGCCTCTAGCGTTAGAAAGAATGTACCTCAATTTTCCACAGTCTGCTCATTTTATTCGTCATTCAAAAATCTACTTATGTATATGTAAAATTACATTTATATATTGACTTAGCAGTGCATAGCTCTTAGCTACCTAGTTCACCTATAATCTGTGCTGATTGTTAGAACGAACCTCACATCGCTGACGCATTGTAAGATTAAGGTAAGTTCTCACTGTAAGTTCATTACACCGCTTTCTAAACATAAGGCATGTTAATTTCGGCAAAGTAATGACACACAAAAACGGGTGCATAAGACGAAAGGTTATCATCTAGGGGTATGAGCTCTCGTATATGTTGAAGCAAAATTTAGCCAGACACAACGGTAGACATAACATTAAATGTCTTACGAAGTCTGATAAATAAACGAATGAACAGCACGTTTCTCTGAATTGACTTGCCACATCTGATTGAAATGCAAAGAATAGCCTATAAAAAAATTACTGGTTTATTTATGCTACTTTTTGATTTTTGAAGATGCTTTACTTTTAGTAGCTAAGTATCAGTCTGTGCTCTCGTAAAGTTGCCTACCATTATCATATATCGATGTGTTAACTTTCTTAATTTTAATAAGCAGTTCTTACCTTTTCTCCCTAAATTGAGAGATGAATTAAATCCTACACTTGCACTCATTTTGTGCTTATACTCGATCATGCACCGAATATAAGCGAATTATCACACCGGTGCAGATTTACCATCAACGAATGCCAGACATGACATTATCTGTCTTTGTTTCTATAAGAGAATTTCTGCATATATTTTTAAAAGTGAGTGGAACGAGTGCGGATCGCGTATAAGTAGGGAACGAACTGAAATAGGCGTCATTAAAACATTGAATTTAGTACTAAAGGATCATTAACACAATGGTTAGAGTCGGCGGCCCGATCAGCCTTCTGGAAATGATGCCTTAGCTGGCTGAGCTGTCTCATGAGAATGTACCGTTTGAGATCTTATGTTAGAAACTTCGTTTATATATAGTTACGTTGGAGTCCTTTTGTAATGCGCAAATACGTTATTTGCAAGGACTAGTATGTAATGTACGAAATTACCCCTTCATTGGCTCTTTCATTATTTTACAGAGTAAATTTCAATGTTCATCGTGGGTCATTGTTACATTACCATCGCCATACATTACGCAAACAGAGACAACGATATAAAATTGTGGTCGATGTGCGGTTTGTAAAATTGACTTTCAAAAACCATTCATTTTTAGCTAACTTGCCGCAAGGTTTAGCTGGAGAATGACCTTAATTTAATAACGATAAAAAGAGATTTTGTATAGGTATGCTCATGACTGCGTCGTTGAGCTTATTGAATGTTCATTCAGTTGTTTCTCTTAAGTTTAACGACAGCCACGGAAGTCAGGCAACTTACTGTGTGTTAAAAAGTTGCGTCAATCCTATGGCGTTCATATAAAGTTACACCATTGATTACACCACATGATTTTAAGGTGTTTTGCAAGATATTTAAGGGAATTCTACCTTCTATATCTCGTGGCGTTCCGTGACTTTTGAATATGTTTAAAAACGCCTCTCTTTTTCTCGAACATGTCCAAAAAAGTGATCTGGTAGAACAACGTCTTTCTGAAGGTTATTTGAACCCACCATTTGTCGTTTGAGTAATTCCACACGAAAAACTCGACACAAGGGCTGATGTAAGTTGAACCATAATGGATAGTTTAAATAAATCCGTTTTATATTAAATTATATATACTAAATTTATGTAAAATAATTCAACTTAATAAATTCGAAAAGTGTCTTCTTTACCTTGCTACTACTAATTGATTGACAATTTGTAAATGAGTGATTTGAAATGAACGTTAAGAAATAGCAAATACCTCAGAACTCATTTTCTTCAATTTCTCAGTCAATTCTCAAGTGTGTCTGTGATGTTACTTGAGGATATATTTCGACAATTAGAAATAAAGTATCTACGGCTTGCCATGGGCACACTTGAATAATGTTTGACTTTGAAATACACATATATATACGTATCCTCGCTACAGAAATTATCGAGATAGCTACGAGAAGGTTTTTGAGTAGGATCTGCTCTTTCAGGATCGATTTGTGTCTTGTAACGAAGATGTTTGTCCCTTTGCGCCTTTTAAATAGTTCAAATTTTAAGCAGTCGAAAAATTACTGACCGCAATATATAGGCCGCAATTTGGAGTTTTCAATAAATTTTATTTCCACAAACACAATAAATTTTAACAAACCAAACTACATTGAAAAAAATATTCGCTAAATCCGCTAAAGAACCCAACTTTAGAAGCAACCACAAAACAAGCTTAGCCGTGCTTGCTAATAAATTCCCTAATGTACATTGGCCATACGTTAGCAGACTGATAATTTTTTAGAAAAAAAAAACCTTTTTAAATTTTATATCTGTACATATTTTCTGATTAGTTTATGCACTTTTCCCAGCGATGCTTCGATGTCCTTAATCCGTCTTAGTAATAATAATTGGGCGTCTCAGCCTGCAAAATACACTTTTGGGGTTGTGGTGGCCTCTCCATTCGAAGAAAATCTCTATCCTTCAAAGAAATTTTTGACCCTAGGAGACAAAAAAAAGACGCTGGGGGAAAATCTTGTGAACACAGTAAATAGTCTACTAACACGAATTTCAATTGGTGAATTTTGTGTGAAACGGAACGCTACTCTGGTGAGAAAGCAAACCCAGAAGCACGAAGCCCAAGATAAATTGTTGAAAATGGTAGACGATAGATTTGTTAACCTACGAATGTAACTCCTGAGCATCAGGATAAGTAAAGTGAAAAGTGGATAATGTAGAAGGCAAATAGAGTGTATTATAAACTCCGAGATGTTTTTATGGAGACATTCACACTGCTCTTACTAAGGCTAGGGGCGTTTGCAGAGTTACTGCTTCAAAACTAAGCTCTTAGATATCCAGAAGGGTTTGAATATTTGAATTGAAAACATATTTAAATTATTCACTGCTTTAAGTTTGGATCTGATTTTAAAGCGCAGAAGGCATGAGAGATCCCGCTAGAATACACTGTGGAAATTAGGGCAACTCGAGTTTACTGAGACCTTTCGCCATGAGATGTTGGCAACTATCGATTATCTATGTATATTTCGAAGAGATTTCGAAGTACTTTTAGTTATGATCTATAGTCACGTTCTATGCAGGATGCGACAAGAGTCAGTTAATAATTTCGGAGTCTTTACATAACTTTTTTACGCTTATGTTTACTAGGCTCTACCCTGTTGTTACTCTGCAGATGTAAAATGCAAACTTTCAAAATGTCAGGTAACTTCTTCCTGTTGTAAAAAATGTTTGGTTGGACAGCTCGCGGAAAATCTGGAGAACGGGCCTTGTGAGAGCGAATGATTTACTAGCAAGCTATAAAGCCATCTGAATGAGATGGCTTTCCGCAGTTTTAAGCCCGAGTGGGGACAAACACTAGACGCGCCGAAATCATGTTGCAATTTTTTGAACGGTAAAACGTGTATGTTTGACACAAATAACATTCTGCACTTACAGTTTTATAAGTTCGAAACGAAGCAACTGCTCTAGATTTTATCAGACACCTGGAAGAACCTCCGTTCCGTTTGGCTGATTATTTATGATTAACCGACAATGTTCTGTAGTTGTGATTAGAATCGAAAATGCACTTCTTACAGCCGGCAACGATTTGATGTAGAACAGGTAACTATTACTGCTACTCACTTAGATCATACGAAATCGTTTTATAGCTTGTGCGTCTTTTTTCATAGCGTGGGCCTAACTAAAAACTCTTTATCGAGTCGTTGCTAATAAATCAGCAATTCCTGCTATGAACAAACTGAATTTCGTCTAGCAAAGCCCGAAATTTCTTGTCCTAAATGCTTTTGTCCAGGCTCTGGACAATAATCCAAAGCCGAGGTTCCTATGGGAAAGTAAATTATTGTAACATTTTTGTAAGTTGCAACGCACACTAAACTATCGTTCTGAATTGAATTATTACGTTTTATTATTTAAGTAGTTTTCATTTTCACTTGAATAGTGTGACGCGTCTTGAATTTCCGATGTCTACTTTGTCGCCTCTGTACGAATCGCAGATGGCCTAAATGTCTGAAAATACATAGAGGCATACCAAAGCGCGGGAGAGAGACTGGTCAAACTTCAAAGCTATACCATCTCCAAAATCTGAATATAAAAGCAGCAAAAAATATACAATACTATATATATATATATATTATTGTATATTTACGATATATATGAACAGGCGTATCGCGTTTTTTCGCGAAAAACAACCCGTTTTTTGTTTATTTTTATTATAATAAACATAGTAACTAATGTTGCTTTCCGTCACGTTAAGGCAGGACGTAAAAGCGAGAATCTTATGAAGGTTTGGCTTTATGGTGCATATTTCTGATAACGTATAGAATTCTAATCGCTCGAGTATGTCGTGGTATTCATCCAGATGATCTCACGTTTTCATCCAGGTTTACGCTTAGAAATAAATCATTCTAACTCAATACTGGGATAAATAATTAATATACCACGACCGAGGTGCAAAACGATCTGCTACTTCCTATTTATTCTTATTTAATTTTGAACTCATATTCAAATTGAAAGTTTGACTTCCTACTCAAATTTATATGATAAATTTCATATCTGAATCCAACTTGTTGGACGAATTCTGATAAAATTTCCACTCTCATATTCGAATGCATAGTTGGCTTGTTACGGATATTTAGTTAACTGTGGGACCCATTTGAACGAATGAAATGCTGTTTTAACTTCCTGTCTAACGCTTTAGTTGCGATCCATATTGTTAGTGATCGTCTAAAATGCTAAGATTTTACTTAGAATTATCCTAAGGCTGATAGAGATCGGCAAATGCTGTAGAAAAAAACGTTGCAGCCAGTCTAATAATTGTAGAGCCTAATTTTGATTAAAAATCTTTGTTCACGATATAACTAAGCATATTCGAATTATAGTTGCACTCAACTTGCTCAGTGTTTGTATTTTAAGGCTCGCTGAAAAAAAACAAAACCGGACCTAACATTAACTGGATAAGTACCGCATTGTTTGATTTTTCAATAACCTGTCAGGTGTTTGAACAAACGTGTTCGAAAACCTTCAAGTCAAATACCTCTTTTTCTAATTTGGAATAAATGCCGCGACGTTGTCTGTCGTTTGTGGAACACGGAGGCTTGATTGTCAGTCACCTTGCTCTCAACCTTCGAGGGAGTGCACAGTAGCTCCTTACATATAGGCTATCGTTAATCGAGCTGCTATTGAGATTATTACATGCTGTGTACATCTATATATTTTTTCTTGAGCGAAGTCGGCGGACTTTAAAATTAAATAACCTTTGAGCTTCAGACGAAATTTAGTCGATAGATACAGGAAAAATGTGCTCGGAAGAATAAACACCTTTTAGTCTCTAAAATCGACGTTTAATGGTCAGGTCGTTGTTTGATGACCAGAGCGCTTTTAAATTTCATACAATATTGGAGATAAATTAGGCGAGGAGGTCTTAAACGTGAAAGGCATTAACGTTTCACACACGGAGATTGGAGTCTTGGGAGCAAGTGAGCACGGGACCAGATATCGGAACCCCAAGAACAAACACAATTCTCGCAATCGAAGGGGTTTTTCGCGAAAGGTTTTGCATTTAAAGGTTTTCTCGGCCAAGACTGACATTGTACACGTAAATTGTTACAGACCGATAATAACCAAATACCAGTATCACCTTACGTCTAGTACAACTCGACACTCTCACCGAACTCGATCTCTTTCCAGAACGACGCCATACGCTTGTCTTGATTCTTTCCGTAAAGATGGAACCATGTCCCGCCTGTGGTGACCGCACGCTCCAAGTGCGTTTTCTGTTGATTCAAGTTTCGCAAAACGTACGTGGAATACACCATACGCATTTCTAATTGGCCTGGGGACAACATAAAGTGGATTCGTATTCCACATAATTTCCGCATTTTAGGTATTTGGACATAAAGGGGCATCTACCACTTTAAAATGCTTGCCGCAAATCAAACAATCAATGTAGCTTGCTATCTCGAGTTCCCCAAGAGACTCATCGATCGTTGGCATGGCAGTCAAAAGCTCGCAGCCATGCTTCAGCTACCTTCTGGATTGAGCAAAGGAATATCCAACATTGGCTTCAACTGCTTACTTTTCCGGTGTAGGTTTGTGTGATTATGGTGTTTTCCATGCCCCAAAAAAGGCAACTATCGTCTAAGTATATCCCATTGCCGATTTACTTCGATACCATCTCTAAAGAAATCGTATATGGGAACGCTAGTGGTAAATAAATGGCTGTCCCGAAATTGCTACAGTGATGTGACAGGTCTGTAAAGAGTAAATGAAATTACTTTAATCAGCTGCATCCACAAAGCTTCATCTAGTGTTTATCATGTAGTTTGTTTCCTGTATACTGCGTGACAGGCATAGATCATAATAAGAAATAAGGAAACGTGTCTTTTCGTTCGTTCCTACCCGAATTCTCTAACGAAGTCTAATCTGCAGGATGCAGCATGACGCCCGATCTCTTATGCCGCAAGCTCTGATGCCACTGAGCCTCTGGTGAGATACGTACGTTCGTTTTTATTATTTTGCGCTTGCTTTAGTTGTATAGGTAATATATGCTATAACCACTGGTATCATTACTAGCCATGATAAGTGATTTCCCACCTACCTCTACCATATTAATTAAGAATTCAAATCGACACCGTTTATTTTACTTAGAGAAAAGTCACATACAATATGCCCTACAGTCATACAACGATAGTGAATGCTCGACTACTTGCGTAAACATCACCTAAACATGACTGTAATTCAAATAGCGAAGAAAGACTTATTCGCGTCGAACGAACTCGACTAGGCAAAAAGGCATTTTTCCAGACACCTGGACATAATCGATAGTACTATGAATGGCATCATTCTATTAGGCGTAGACGCTAATATGATTTCTACAGTTCTTGATTACATTTTTGCCATCCTGTTTTATATTCCTCCAGGAGTCAGAGTCGGTTAGTCGGTTACCACTCTGGGCAGTTTCAAGGCTCTCGTTCCAGCCCAGTACTGTTTAGAATGGATGCTGTTCACCCAATAAAGGTCACACATAAAACCACTAACGAAATTGGGAACGTGCGTCATATTGCATTCAACATTTTGGCGCATATATTGTAACCCGCTGTCGCAAGCATTATATGTTATATAAGCTAAAGTTAGTCCTGGTTTGCCCTACAAGCAACATTGGCAAATCATTGCGGTAACTACCCCATTGCATATATTCTTGCATTTGCCGCAATTCATTCTCTGTTTTCCTATATTAAAAAGACATTGTCTGTGATAGCAAGAAAAATGATGAATTGCATTAGTGAAAAACTTCTCCCTGAGCTACAATCTGACTTGCAGTACAAAAATTATGTCGTCTGTGTTTTTCCCGTAGGTTACTTGTGCTGGTATTAATGTAAATTCCTTAAAGACATAAATCGACTTTCGCAAAGTACGAAAACCGTGTATGCGCTTATTTCAATGCACAATGGGCTAAGTGATTTTCGTACGTAGTGAAACCACTGAGGCCCTTGAAACACTTTTTTTTGCAAAATAGGATGTCTACACATCTACTAAGTTAGGCTTAAATAACCTCTACGTCTCGAGTTTTAAGCCCAGTATTACCGTTAGGTATTCTACCAGATGGCCAGCACGAAATGATGTCTGTCTATGCCTGGGTTCCAACCTACACCATAGCGTGTCTCTCAAATTAATAAGCAAATACATTACCCACTAGGCTTAGGTAATATGACATAATTCTTTAGATATCTTTTGCGATGCAAATACTATGTTTGTCCTCAAGCCAACCGCTGAGGTTCACGAGGAACTACAGTGTTTTCTGAAACAACCAATAGAGGAAACGCTAGACTTACCAATTGTATTCGTTACTTATAAGGCACATAGTTAAAAAAAATTAACTCTTGAACTGTTTATTCTTCTATTATGAAATAATTCGATTGAAAGTGATCTAACCTTAGGCGCTCATAAGGGCCTATAATAACGTTGTTGCATTAATTATTAATGTTATGTTAGCGTAACCTTTTAATCACCTTATGTATAATATATGGAAGAGTCAATTCTACGTGGAACAAAATGTCATTCTAAAGAAACAGTTTTGCTCAAAAAAGGCAAGTATCCCATGGCACTTGAAACGTCAAAAATAAATAAATTACAACGGGGTGAGCAGTCCAGTTTTAAATATTTAATGATGTTCGTTTATGGCAATGAATCTTTATTTCCTTTACGACTTTTTGATTCATATATAGGTGGTGTGTAAGCATGTATCATTGCAGGGCTCCCATCAGAATTTGCAGTATCATATTCTCCATTCAGGTTCAGCTCTAGATAGATACTCACGAAATACTTTTCTCAGCTAAAAAACTTTTTTAGGAGGAGACGTTCTGGCGATTATTTGACCAGGCTATTGTTCACTTCTGAGATTTTAAAGGAGAGCCAACGGAACTACCCTATGATGAAATGCTTGCACCCCTGTAGGTACACAATATCTGACGAATGCTAAAAACGAAATCAGAATTATAAAAAATGATACAACTAGAGGTAGAGCTTTCGACAAGCTCGTTTGGTCGACAAGCCAGATTAATGAGGCGAATGGCGGATGGGGTAGTTAGAAACATGTCTTTACCTCTGATTTTTGCAGGGATTTCTATCGCAGTTACCGAGTTACCGGCGGAATACTGACGCTATTCTCGACCTCATGAACACCGCATATCAGGAGGGTGGTTATACGAGTGACCTGAATCAGCATATACCGCGCATCCTTAAGCTCCTGAATGAAACGTCTCTCACTCTTAATAATTTCCCTAATACACAAAGCTGCAAACTAGTGCTTTAGAGCTTGTAGGATGTGGTGGCAATATAGACACAGAATCAATCGAGCATATCAAGCTTTCTTAACATTGCCCGCAAATTCGTAGGCCACTAGAATAAGGGATAATGCGTAGTAGCAAGGGAATGAAACAGCAGCCTATTTGAGAAAAAAATTTTTCTACAGGTTCTGCTGGATTCACGGAAAAAATCTTGCACCTTTAAATCTGTAATAGGTTTTTTGTGTATTATCTTCATATCCGAACGATTTCTAACAGACGGTTAACACGAATATTTGGACCTTTTTTGTCATTAAGTCTTCACATGTGTTAACCACTAAGATAGCTTTACGAAAATTGTTTATTCTAATTGTCTGTGATCATTTAGACTTGGCTTCGTATGTATTGACCAGCTTTCCAAATTTCATTCAGATAGTAGCGACCCGGTTACGATCGAAACTTAATTGCTGAGAGTAGCGTTTTGCGTGCTCGTTGTGACAAATTATCTGTGGAGTAATAAAAATGACTCATGTTATATTCGCACTGCGTCTTTAAATTAACTATACTTAAACACGTGACACAATAATAAGCAGTAGTTTTCGACCTAGTCCTTTATACGTACGTGTAATTGTTTTTGTAACTTCGAATAATATAATCTATTTCTAAATCAGTTAATTTCACTCCCATAAATCCTCTAGTCTACGCTTGTTAACGTTTCAAAATATATAACTACAATTTGTAAATAATATACTAATTTGTATATTTGTCATTTAAAAAGAATATAGATAAGTTGAAAATTTGGCATCCATTGCGTACATAACTACAGCTTTGTTTATTTCCTATAGTTATTCCTCAAGGATTCACCGATGACTGAGTAGTACAACGTTTGGTCAAGATAGGATAGTTCTGAACCACCCAAATAAATTTATTTTTCTCTGCTTCACTGAAACTCACTACTTTATTTTGCTGGAAGTTGCAATCTTTATAGAAAATGCTACACTGTGTCGTACACTGGGTAGTTCTTTTTGCCTATAGAGTGCTATCAACTGCCAAACAGGACAGTACACGTATCTATGTTCCTGTCGCGGCAAAGCAAACACCCCTTTTTCAGGTTTCTGTGCCTCATAGTAGGATTGTTCCAGTCGGAAGATATATTTTTTGCATCAGCTCTGCTGTGTATGTAATTTACGCTTTACATCAAATATGGGTGTGTCGATAATGAATGGACCGTATTTTCGGACGGATAGAGAGACAGTCACAGATATGTATGTATATATATCAGGGATAGAGTCGGCTAAATATAAGAAATAGATATCTATCGACTAAAAAAAAGAAGAAATTTTAAAAAGCGCTTTTCATGTTTCACTGCTTCTCGTTTTCGTCATGTTTAAAAATAACAGAAGTCCTAATCTAAAACAAGCTAGTATGCTGATTAGTCATACAAAGAGGTGATGTGACTGTATATATTTTTTGCTACAATGTATTAAAATCATTTATGTATTTAATTCGGAAAGAAGATGTATATCGGCCTAAATGATGGCTCACTCTCCTACCCTGTACGATTCAATAAGACGCTGTGGTAATTATAGTTCATTCCGTGTCGTAAATACTCCACTGGGTAAAAGTCAGCTTGAAAAACGGTTTATTTTATAAAGAAGCATTTCTTCCAAATAATTTACTAGAATACCTTTAGCTGATCAGAGTCAGTTAAAAACTAGCAAAACCCATAGCGGAGGAGGGAATGCAATCAAAAAATGTCACGAGATCTGTTAACAGAAGGCATCTAAAGACGAACTTTAATTGCTATGATCAAAGCCTTGATTTATGTGAATGGGAACTTCTTTTTTGTTGTCTCCCTATTTTAAAATGACCCGCCATAGAACCGAAACGCCCTCTCTCAGGTGATCAGCGAATGGCAAAACACAGGAGTTGACTTAGGGATGCAATTTTTAGGGTCTTGCGGCTTTCGAGAGTAGCGTTCAGTGCCAGGGTATGAGTACATACCACGTGCCGGTGCTAAATTACGTTTATTTGTGCCTTGTTGTTGTTCGATATAGTGTGCGTAGTGTAGACTCCGTTATAAAGTGTCTCTTTATTGTTGTTACCTGATTGTTGTTTTGGGCCACAGTATTCCCGCAATCGTCTGTGATATTTAATAAGAAGCAACTGCTTAGACATGTCGCGACAGAAAACGCCACTCCAACTGTTAGAGCAGCTTCAAAAGAAAACTGAAAATATTCGAAATGTTTGCATTCTGGCCCACGTCGATCACGGTAAGTTCGGGGAATTTAGGAGAATATATCAAGTTAGAATTTAATTAAAGAAAAAAATCATGTCATTTGTATAAATTAAGTTATTTTTCAAGATGCGATAGGAGAAAAGGCTGAACCGCTTTTTAGTTTTTACGTCTTTTTTTTATCTGTTATATTTTTACGTCCGTTTTTATTTTATCAGACATTTTCAGTTATAAAGTCTCTGCACAATTGTGTATTTAAATAGATACTAGGTAATTTGTGCAGTTTCAATATTCTGATAACGTCTTACTCGTTGCTATAGTGACTAGTTAAAAAAACATCAATTTAACTGAAAATTATTGAGAATAGAGGAAAAATACTGGATAATATGCCACCCTTTAATAAGGTGATTTATTAAGCACAAAGAATTCGATGACATAATTAATTTTTTTCTACATTATTCCGTGTGTCAATGTAGACGAAGATATGAGAGTATTCAAGATGTCTTTTGTTAAGGGTTATTACAGATATAATTAATCTGCAGAAATTAAACGAAACATCGCATTCTAAAAAGCTAAAAAAGTCTGTTTCTATTGGACTGAACAGGGAAGACTACGTTGGCAGATTCACTGGTTGCCAGCAATGGAATCATTTCTCAGAGGATGGCAGGGAAGGTTTGTTTCTTCTAGTGGTGCACTTTTAAAATCTATCCCAAGTGTAGATTTCGTATATATTATAGCGAGCAGTAATCATTTTTTCCCAATTTACTCGTTTAATAATTGAAATAGACTTCGTACATTCATGAAAGATAGATTAATTTAACCCATAGAGACATCCATGGGTTTGTAGGCTGTATCGAAAGAAGTTCGCTTTAAGCCCTATGTTACGTTTGCGACTTTTCTTCAAGAGCGAATCAAAGAATTATCATATTGTTCTGTTCGCAAATAACTTGAATTCTCTGAAAAAGGTCCGTTATCTGGATTCGAGGTGGGATGAACAGGAACGTGGAATTACCATGAAGTCGTCCGCCATTTCTCTGCACTTTGCCCTGGAAACAGGCAGCAAAAAGGAGTATCTCGTCAATCTCATTGACTCACCAGGACATGTAGACTTCACCTCCGAAGTAACAACGGCTATCCGACTTTGCGATGCCGCAATTGTAGTTGTTGATGTTATTGAAGGTCAGTCGCACTCTGTCATGATCTATTTATTTCGAAGCGATAAATACGAGCGCATAGTCTACTAAAATAAGCTTACAGTTATAATGTAGAGCGGCACACTTAAAAACTAACAACATCTTCAGTGATAATATTACTGTTTTACTAAATCCTAATTTTGATTGTATGATTGGTTCAAAATTGTTAGAGCGCACATATAGGTGCTAATTTTACTTTTTGTTATATCATTGTTGTTTTAACAAAACAGGAGTTTGTGCCCAAACAAAGGTAGCCTTGGAGTTGATTTACCGTGAGCAACTACGTCCCGTTCTAGTATTAAACAAGATTGATCGATTGATCCTCGAGAAACAAATGACCCCACTTGACGCATATGTACGGCTACAACAGGTTCTCGAACAGGTGAACGCTGTTACCGGCGAAATGTTTACCAAAACGGCTCTTGAGAGAATTGGCTTACGTCAGGACGATACAGAAGTTAAAGATCAAGGAAATTGTGTAACCAGCGAGTCAGAGGTAGGTGCCCCAGACTAGATTACAAATGAAGTTCAGTATTGAATTCTAAACCTTCGAGCTTATAAGAAAATTAATGTAGTAAATCGTGAATATTATAACTCGTGGAATATTTTAACATCTACAAATAATAAAAGGACCAATGGTTTTCTTGTCGCAGATATACGACTGGGATGCCCGTCTTGACGATATTGATGATTCTACATTATACTTCGATCCTGCCAGTGGTAACGTTGTGTTTACCTCTGCCATGGACGGCTGGGGCTTTTCAATTGAGGACTTTGCTAGAATTTACTCGGTAAAATTGCGTACTCGATACGAAATGTTGCGACGAACACTTTGGGGCGACTTTTGTCTTAATATGAAAGCAAGGAAAATCCAAAAAGGTGCCCAGGCTAAAGCCAAAAAACCACTGTTTGTGCAGCTAGTTCTCCAACCCATATTTGATGCCTATGAAGCTATCTGCATTAAAAGGTGAGTTAACGGTATATAGCTGTGTTTTTCTCTTAGTCCCTATCGCTATAAAAAAAATCAGTAATTTGTAGTAATTTTGTTTATGGTTTAGGATATTCTGCTAGAGGAGATAAACCGTAATAACAACGCTTCTTAAAACAAGGTCTTAGTGCTATGGTCACTGAAGGCCCTTCGTCTGTTATATCTACAGACACTTCTCTTATTAAATAATGAGTAAGGCAAATATAATTGTAGCACCATAACATAATATCTATTCACCTCGCCTCTCGTTAGGGACAACGAGGCATTAGAGAAGATGTGCACTTCATTAGGAGTAAAGCTGCAAGCTCGAGATTTACGCCAGACTGATCCTCGCGTAAAAGTTCGTGCCATGATGAGTGCATGGCTTCCTTTGTCGCGAACCGTACTCAGTATGGTGTGCCAATGTGTTTCACCACCCGGCGAAATGCCAGAGCAGCGAGTGAATCAAATTCTTAACCTTAACGATACTCAAGATCTTCCTGAAGACTCTGTTACTATGAAAAATGGTGAGTCCCTGGTTCAAACTCAATTGTATGCATAGTTTATTCTACAATTCTGATCGTAAATAGTTGTAAATGGGAATCACAGTTCTTATAGAGTTCAAGCTCTCTGAGTAGGCTGACCTGCGCGCAATAGTACCTCTGATACTTAACTTCTTATGTATTGCTTCGTCTTACTTTCAGCTTTGCGCGTCGGTGACCCATCCACAAATGCTCCAGTGATTTTGTTTGTGTCAAAGATGTTCGCTGTCGATAAAGCCTCATTGCCGGAATACAGGCCCATACAGCTGACGACTCAAGAAATGGCCGAGAGACGTACTGAGGCAAAACGAAGGCTTGAACTCAAATCACAGAAAATAGAGCAAAATGATGAGTCGACTAAACAAGGTGCTTGAATAATCTGGAAATGAAATTTTAGGCTCCGTTCTGAAATTTGAATGAAATAGACGTTTCGGTTGTTCTCTCTTTAAGTATATATATATATATATATATATATATATATATATATATATATGAACAACCAGGGAGTTTTCTTGCTGTAATAAATGAGCGAATTTATATTCCTCGCAGTTATAGTGTTATTGAATTTTCAATAAGTTTCAGATTGCGAAAAACCATTAGATGAAAAGTTAGATGAAGAAACTAAAAGCCATCTAACAGAGTCTCTCGAGGAGAACGAAAACACAACAGTTTTTGTGGGCTTTGCCAGAGTCTTCAGTGGAACACTGAGAATAGGAACTGAGCTTTACGTCCTGGGACCAAAGCACGATCCACGAACTTTCTTGACTAAGGTATCTTTTAGCTTTATTTATGCAATCGTAAAATAAAGAATGCTGACCTGCATTTTGTTGGATCATTATCTTCCGTGATTTAACAATCAACAATTTCTAGGAGACCAGCAATTTGTAAACAATACGGTGAAAGGTAACGAAAATCTTAATTTGTTGTAACAGAATCCCACACTCCAAGTGGACCAAAAGCGGACACTGAAAGACCTCCAAGCTGACGAGCATGTAACTCGCATAACAATTGATCGACTGTATCTGCTTATGGGAAAAGAACTCGCGGCCATAAACGAAGTACCTGCTGGAAACATTCTTGGTATTGGTGGACTGTTAGAGCAACACGTTGCAAAGTACGCGACCCTGAGTAGCAGCGTGATGTGTCCAGCATTTACTGACCTAACGTCGCCCGTTGCTCCTATTTTGAGGGTAGCGCTTGAGCCGAAGAATCTTCAAGATATGCCTAAACTTATTCACGGCATGAAATTACTCAACCAAGCTGATCCGTGCGTACAGGTGATTCTACAGGAAACCGGGGAGCACGTTCTGATAACGGCGGGAGAAGTACATCTTGAACGTTGCCTGTTAGATCTAAAGGAGCGATTTGCCAAAATCGACGTGACAGTCTCTGAACCTATTGTTGCCTTCCGCGAGACTGTCGTCGAACCTCCAAAAACCGACATGGTTAATGAGGTGATTGATATTTCAAATAGGCTAACAATTAAAGAGGATGATGGAGATAAGACAATTAATCCCGACCGAAGCGTAACTTTATTCACAGCTTCCAAACAGAGTTTCCTCACTATCAAGGCGCTGCCTCTTCCAGAAACAATAGCATCCCTGCTGGATTTGGAGACATCTTTATTGAAAAAGTTTGATCAAGCTAAGAAAAAAGAGCGAGAAAATAACTCAGAAATTGGCTGCCAGCTTACAGAGAGAGTGAAAATGTTTCGGGAAAAGCTTCAAAAGACGTTTGGTGAATCTGATATCGACCTGTGGAAAAATTTTGATGTCGAACAAATCTGGAGTTTTGGCCCGAAAAAATGTGGACCGAATGTGCTCATTAATGCCGTCAAAGATTTCCCAGTAAGTTTAAAAATACCAATCTTCGTTATTGGGTAGACTAGCGAATATTCAACAGATAAAAAAATTAATTTTTTTTAGGGCTGCGCACACAATGTAAATAGTTAAAAACTGTAGAAAAGATATCAAGAGATCAATTTTGAAAATAATTTTCGCTGATTGGTTTTGTCGTACAACCATATAAAATGTGGAAGTTTGCAATAAATCGGGATAGCGTTGTAGGAACTGTGGTTTTTGCAGTTTAGCATAGTTTGCTCTTTACAGTACACACAGTTAATTCGTGTTTCCAAATCAATTTTCAGGTTAGCTATTGGGAAACTGTCGATAAAAGCCTGGGTGAGCGGCAGTTGTTGGAGAGCAACGTCGTGTCTGGGTTTCAGCTTGCCACTCTAGCGGGGCCATTATGCGAGGAACCGTTGCGCGGTGTGGCATTTGTGGTTTCAGAATGGGAGATTGTCAGTAGCAGCGAAGACGCAAGCTCCCCATATGGACCTCTATCAGGACAAATTATGGCTACAGTCAAAGATGCTTGTCGCAAAGCTTTTCAGGTTAGAATATTTAAGGGACCGTTACGTTGATTCAGATATTATTCCAGATATTATTCGTATATATCTTTATTGGTATCTCTGTTGACTGGATTTTATACCGTAGTCAACCTGCTTCCGCTTGATTGCAGATTCAGCCACAGCGCTTAATGGCTGCTATGTATGAATGCACAATAGGAGTCACGGCGGAGGCTTTGCGAAAAATGTATTCCGTTGTTGCACGACGACATGGCCGCGTAACATCTGGCGACCTCATCGAGGGTAGCTCATCCTTTGAAGTCCGAGCAGTGTTACCGGTCATTGAAAGCTTCCGGTTGGCCGACGAAATGCGCAAACAAACAAGCGGTTTAGCTCAGCCGCAACTGTTCTTCAGCCACTGGGAGCTAATTGATGTCGATCCTTTTTGGGTGCCGAACACCGAAGAAGAGCTGCTACATTTCGGAGAAAAAGCCGATTCGGAAAACCGTGCAATGAAGTACATGAACCAGGTGTGTATTTTTGATTCATGTAGCAGTTTCTTTTATATAATAATAAATTATCTTAATCATCCATTTATCATCCATTTATGCTGTAACTAAATTATCTTAATCATCCATTTATGCTCTAACTAAATTATCTTAATCATCCATTTACGCTGTAACTGTAAGATCGCTAATTATTTGCGAAGCTGTGGGATCTAAATGTACGTTATCATGATAAAATTTCAGCGTTCGCAAACTGTTGGTCGTTATGACGTATTGTCCAAACAGTGTCCGACTTGTTGACGAGGAACGGGGCATACATACGAGCGTATCTATATCAAATACGTTATTATAGCAAAGTATTGGTGTAGAATAATGTATTTAACAGTCATTATGCTAAATACATTATTACATACACCTAATCAATAATAGTTGATTTGTAGAAATTTTTTGGCTGGTGCTTGAGGTTGCCAATCGCGATGTCTATATGTCAGTTACCTGACCACGGCATAAGATCGAGACACAAAAGCAGGTATCAAGGCATGACAGAGCAGTTGTTCCAATAGGATTCTAGATAGCTGTAGATGAGTATGCTTGATATCAGCTTCTAGTGCATCTAAATGTTACTCTTTACGCTCATTAACAGGTGCGTCGGCGTAAAGGTCTCAAAGTGAAAGAGCATGTTGTCGAACATGCCGAAAAACAACGAACTCTTAGCAAGAAGAAATAATGAAACAACACGGTCCTGGTACAGACTGTGATTGGTGATTGATCTTCATTAACAGTCAAAACAGCAGTTACAGAAAGGATGTCTTCAGCCGTCGTCGTTTCCAAAAGTGTAGTAGTCGCTACATTTGCTAATACTACTACCGTTACTGCATGGCTAGAATCGTAGTGCGTGACTTGACGCAACCGTAAACGCTGATTGAGTTGCCGTCTTGTTGTTGCATAAATCGCGAAGCTAAAGAGAGCAGAGACTCCGTTGGCTTTCATCAACTGGTTGGCTGAGTGACTCCTCATTAAATGTGGTGAAAATGATTAAATCTGGTGTAAAAGGTATATAAAGTCGCAACGCGCTTTCGCTACTCCCCATGCGAACGGGTACTGAGCCACCCAGAAAATGTTCCGCCTGCGCGCTCCTCGGCTAATTAGCAGTCCATCGGTCTTCATGATAACGTTCTAGGTGGCACGTATTTTGGCACAGTTACATGCATGACATCTTGTGGGCGCAAGCCACAACTAGGTGATGAAAAAAACGAAGACTGTTATCCATTGTCGCGAATTATTGTTTATGAACGAATATTGTCAGATAGTGACATGTGAAAGAATGTTGTCAGATAGTGATATGATGATGAGAAAACGCATAACGAGAAAACACGTAAGGTGACCCAAGAGCTGCTTTGTAGACACAAGTCGGGTGCGTCGTAAGTATGAGGTGAGATCTCATGAATTCCCCTTCATCGTTATGGCTGTAGAGGTATCGCTGTTGTTCTTATGTGATGCTATGTTGTTAACGCTGATACGCCGCCTATGGTGTTATTCATGGGACGTTTAACATTGGATTGCTATGATGTCACTGTGAATGTGAATAAAGTTGGTGAACCGAATAAGGCTTGGGCGTCACCAGCCACGAGCCGGTCACCATTGTAGTTTACTAAAGCTAGTTGTTGTTATTGCCTTCGTTCTATTCTATGCGTTCTGTAAATATCTCTCCTACCGTAACAATAGATATGCTGCCAGGCGTGACGCAATACGCTCGCCTCACGACTCAATGCAAACTGCGTGAGCTATAGCCGCGCTGGCCCCATATAGCAAGAAATTTCTTGGCGGAGATCACCTGCTCCATTCGCGGAAAAAGCGATGGGTTGGGGTGGAGTGTGAATAGAACGAAGCTGGAAATGGAAAGGGCAAAGGAACGGCAGAGAGAGGTGATCCTCGTACTGCTCTATATACAACCGATATCTCAGTCGATTCCTACATACGTATAAACCAGTAATACTGCAATATAGGACAGAGATGTATGTAAGTTTGATATTACTGCTAGGTTGATAACGGTCCTGTATATAATTTCTCTTCTATGCATATTTTATGATCCCGTGAAAATAATAGTAATAAAAATAACTGTAACGAACCGGCCCTGGCTGCCTTTGAAATGAGCCTATTATAGCAGCATCCTAATCAGGGAAATAGATACTATGCAAGTAGAGTGGGCACGCTACCACCAGCATCGTCAAACGTGTTGTTCGATCAGTTCCCACAAAATGCAAGGCATGTGGTGAAGTGTGATTAGAACAGTGTTCATCGGCAAATTTCTTCAGTAGATGACCAGGAAAAAAGCATAACGAAAGTACGAATCTACTTGAAAATAGATTCGGATCCCTACCGACAACGCGAGTGACTCGCGCGGCATTCTTACCGACAGCAGCTCAGCAGTCGAATTTATTTTTCGTACGTAATTTTCAGTGCAGTTCTCTAAGGGCGGCTCACAAGTGCTAAGGTCGCATACCCTACACGCCAAATCGAGACATGGTATGAAGGCAAACGTTTTCCGAGAAAAATTCGAAGATTAGAAAAATGGGTTGAGGTAGTAAGTCCCTGGACGAGGCTGGTCAAAAATTTTTGACTGAGATGGCCGTAAAAGGCGCAAATGGCATAACAAATTGCTCGTCAAGTTCCATCTGGTCGGTACTGTATTCTCCATCAATCTCCATCGGTTCTCCTATAAACTGATCATAAATGTCCATCCCCGCAACGTACGGCTCACTCGTATCCATCGGTTCTGTTTCGGTTTGCTTAATGGCGCTTAATGCATAAAAGATCGTACGTTGGCTTCTACCGTTCATAATAGTAATTCTTGGATTGCTGTTCCGCAGAACAGCGGCACACGTAGTGGGACCACACCTGTAGGAGGTTTCAGCTTCGTCTCTATCAGTCAAATCTGGACTGAAATATCCATTGTATATTAGAAACTATCAATGTGTTGAACTATCTGTAAAATTTCCAATATAAGATCTACATGGTTCTGCTTAGTACTTACGCAATTATAAAGCTCATCAGGGAAGGTTCGTGAAGTAAAATGTCTTTTGATAAAAAAACGAAAGGCCTTAAAGTAGAAGTTGAGATACGTGTGTGATGTTTAAATTATCTATGCAATCTAACAACGCACGTTTGTTTAGTTAAGCTTATAGTGCGAATAAAAACATGGCTATCAATAGTAGAGTTCTCAATCAATAAAAATCTGCGTCAACTGATTGAACCACACATCAAAAACAGTTTGTTGAAGTGAGTGAACCCTCATCTAGATAGTGTCATACTTGTGCCCAAGGTGATTCGATGTAAATAAAGTAGTACAACATACAGATTTTTAAATCCCGTTGTAAATACTTCGGTCGTCGTGCGTTCAAATGATTGTTCATTAAAAACAACGCAGTCACTTTAATATATATTATGTGTAATGATTTAGTCCTAGTCTGAGCGGTATCTCTGCTAAAACCCAATATAACGCCAACGCCAACGATGCTATAGAAACAGCCAGTAATTTGTCTAAAAGCGCCAAATATATTGTTTGTGATCATTAATTCATAGCTAAATGGGGAAAAGCTTACCTCAACGTTTGAGATCATGTTTCGAGTCTTGTAGTACCGTTGTGTCAGGCGACTGGCCCCTGCAGGAAACAAGCGCGGAATCTTTGCTTTTTAGTTTAGTAAATATACACATCGCAACTGCACCATCGCGGAAATCATGCATGTCCAAAAGTCTTGGTACACAGACCAATGGCTCTTATTTACAGAGTGCTGAAGATACATTCGGATAAATTTTTTGTGGGGAGTTATACGGCGTGTGTGTACCCACGATTCTTAGAACGAGAACAACGCCTGTCATTTCCTGTACAAGACCATAAGTCATTTAGGGTGAGGCAAGGGATCTACTGCTGCAATAAAAGATTAATTATTTTTGGATACTCTTGCGTTAGACATATCCTTGCCAAGATTCTTAGCTGTTTTGGTTACTCGTGATTACAACTGTGAACCTGGCTACTGAAGAACCAGGAGCAGATTTTTATATAAAACGAAGATAAACACGACAGAACATCTGCTGTAGGGGTTCACGATTAATTAAAAGGGAGCAAAAGTGCAATTTTTATTATCCTGAGGTTTTGGTTCACCCTTTGGTACTGCATTTAAGACGACAAGAATATAATGGCTTAAATTATTTACTATAATTAAGTACAAATATTATGCCTTAAGACAAAAGCGTTTGCATTAGATGCACAGCATTTGTGTTAGATGTGAAAATTAATCACAGAGACGATCCTTAACGTTACAACAATTCAAATGCCCCTTTTATCAGTAGAACCAAATTTTCAGCCGATGTCCGCGCTCTTAGTATCCTCTCCGGCGTTAGACAACATGTCACAAGACACACTGCTTTCAGGAAAATCTATCTATTACTAGGGGCATCGTAGGTATGGCTACTGTTGCAAACGGTAGACCACACATTTTTACTTCTGATGGCTCACCGGCGACCATGAGCAGGTTAATGAAATGGTTGCTCAGGTGGCTGAGTAAGTGGGTACTTCCTGTATTTAATGGCCTCTTTGCAGCCTAAATTTGAACCCGTGTGTGATCGAGGAAAAATCCATGGAACTTAAGTGTGACAATGCCGTCTCGCTAACTGCCGCTATCAAAGAATGTGAACAAGACTGTTGTAACGGTTGTGAAGGTTTCAGGCTTTAAAAAACAATAACAACTACTTTAATAGACAAATCCTTCAGCAAACAATTCATCAAAATATCTGTGTTCTGTTATAAACAGTATATACACACCTTCGGAAGGCGAATGATGCGAGAAACAGTAGAGCGGGGTGTACATATGGTACTCTAATTTATGCCGAGAAGTCTGTTAAAATTTTGTCGTCAGCATTTACAATATTCGAGCCACACATGGTCATCAGTCAGATGACTGCCAGGTGAAACAAAGCAGTGTTTCAAATGCTCCCAAAGCCGACGCGATCCTTGGCTATTATTAATCGAAAGTGCTGTCTTTACTTACAGTATTATACTCATAATTGGTAAGCACCTAGTGTTCTACGGAAATCGGATTGACCCAGAGCGCAGCTTGGCTATTGGGCTGAATTCACAATAATGTGCAGATTACGCTTCGAGAAAGCCTGAAATTAACAGGATCTTGCTGGCTTTGCATTAATGCATAAAACTTTTGAAAAACGGCACTACCCCAGTTAAATAAAGGCTTTAAATTTCTTCAGACCTAGGAATTGCACATTTTACCATCATAGTGTTGTGATACATTCACGGAAAGTTAAAGTTGCAACTAACCACAAGCTTCGACAGTTTCTAGATGAGTCAGCGATTTTAGCAGCAGCTCGAGATGCACATTGAGTATTTTTTCTACATTAAATCAAGTTAGCGAACATTATTAGTTGAAATAGAAAATTTCGTAGTAAATTAACACGATAGCCTACCCTAAAATCTAGATCTGCTAAAGGGGTTGCCGTTTAACCGCGGTTTCCATTTTGTTTTACATAGTATAGTCGATGGAGTGATTATTTATTAATTAACAGGCCTCTCAATAATTGAAAGGATTGTAACAGCCATTCGCAAAACCGAAATATCGCCTGAGCTCCCAATCTCTGTTAATAGCTATTTAAAAAACAGAAACTATTAAAGATTTATTTTAAACATAATTTTGTTTTAGATAATATTGAGGTCCGCGTGCATATTAGATATCATAAAAGTGTTGCTTTATTAGAAATTGTAATGAAATACCTATCTTGCAGTATTTTGTTTTCAGCTTGGGGTAGTGTGATGTAGCGTGTTATTACTATTTACCTAGTAAAAAAATTGAAATCTTCAACCTTTAACAATTTCCTACTTTAAAAACATAAAAGTTCGATCTTACCTTTTAAAGTCACTAGATCGACATTCTCTGAGATTAAAATGGTATAGCTCTTAAGTAAACTTTGAGTTCATGTTAAGTAAGTTCAACTGATGGAAATTAATACTGATAAAGACACACACATATTACACGCACATCACCTACAGCTATTGTCTATATAAACTGTAAGAACAACGTTTTGTGTCAGTCCCTGTTGAGAGCATTCTGTTAAAATGAAGTAAATAAATTAAACTGATTCAGTGATTTCAAAAATGAAATGTAGTTTACTGAATCGTATGTAGCTATATACAAAGACAGGAGCAACTTCATAATAACGCTAACGAAAAACAATTAAATGTGTTTATACAACTCATTATTCACCACAATATTTCTACATTTAAATTTTTGTTTACATATAAAATCAATAAAGTGGACTCTTTTATCATTTATTAGCTTCTGCAAATTTTTTTGCTGCTTTTTCACATACGTGTGGCCCTATCTCTGATATGGTGGCACAATTATTTTCGTTAAGTTTATCTACTGTTTGTGGATTGTCACAGTACATCGTGCCATTTAGGTACTTCCATACAAAAAAAGTCGAGTAGAGTTATGCCACATGATCCAAGAGGTCATTCGACGTCACCCCGCTGGAAGTGTCGTTCACCGAAACGATCTTCCTGATACGGTTACGTTATCTGTTATGTGGACCGTCGTGCTAAAACCACATGTTCTGAAAACGATTAGAGTACAAGAAAGCCTGAGGTCATTTTTTGGCAGAAAACAGACTTAACAGTTTCTTGAAATAGATCAAGGCCAAGGGTGCGGCCTACACGCCGCGTCAAACAGTTGTGTTTTCAGGTTGTAAACCTCTTTCGTGGTTAACACGGGGATTCTCGGCTTACGACAACTCACGGGCGATGGACACATCTGAAAGGATCCGCGTTGTCATTTAAGGAGTAAGACCGAAAATCTTTGAAAGGCGGGGAAAAGCCAAGCGGAGCGAGTAAATCTTGTGAGCAGTGCCAACAGTGCTAGAGGTTACCTTATTAATGTTGTATTTAAGGCTTAAGCGTAAACTTTGTAATGAAGAAAAAAGGTATGTCAATACATCTAGTAGCTTGCTGTTGCCTTTTTTTGGCGTATTTTTGAAGTTGCTTCCGACCAGATGATCGTATTTGTATTACCGAATGAACACGGGAACGGGAAGATTATTGCCCATGCCGTTGATGCATTCCACATTTCTTTTTATTATATGTTTCCTTCGTTTTTATTTTATAGGCTAAATAAGCAACTGGTAGAATCATCAGGAGTAACTGGAAGCAATTGCCTCTCGTTAATTTTTTATTGCTCAAAGCAAACTTCGTGCAAGGGGCATTCAAGGTATACGCGTTTCATATAGACAAGTTTGTGAGCTAGTGAGCTCCTGTTTATAGATAATACAAGTAGTGGGTGGCTAGTTTTTTTGTTATATTGAAGCCAGTTTTAGATACATTATCAGAGTCTCCTTGGTTTTAGTTATAACTTAGTTGTATGATGGATTGCTCTATACGTGTGAAAATTAAAATTGGAGAATATTTTGACTATCAAGTTGTGTCATTTTTCCTTCCAGATAATGGTTATCGTATTTATTCTGGAAGTTAAGAGATACAAGAATAGTCATAGGACATAGGTATGCTTGGAAAAAATACGCAGTACACGCCTATAAGATTTGTCTGCGGTTTGCGCCCGAATTTAGACTATATGGCTCTACCGGTATTTTCCCCTGATGGTGATCTGTTTTACTTTCCCGGCCCTTCTTGCAGCGTTTCTGTGGGTATTTCCAGAGTCTGCCTCTCACACAGTCTGAACTTGTAATTAGTCAATTTTCCACAGGAGAAGTACTCTTTCTAGCATTTGTGGCGGCCCCGCGTTTGCCCTCTCTAAAGTGATTGTTTGCTTGCCCCCTTTCCTTCGCGCTACTTCTTCTTATCCGTGCCGCTTGTTCGTCCTCAGTCTACGGGGCCCCGCTAGGTAAGAGGCCTGCTGCTTTCGACAGCAGCGAACCATTCGCTTCGGTGGAGCGGCACCAGTCGTGTTCAGGGTAGCATCGGATCGGCTCCATGCTAATGTCACCCTCGCTTCGCGATCGGCACCGCCCTTTCTCTTCTTTATGAATGACTCACTCTTCTCATAGTTACACTACTGCGCCCTAACTATACAGTCGATCTCCACTAAACTGATACGGAGACAGGCGCCGAACAGAAATTATTCATACCAATATGCATAGGCATTCACACCCATTCTAACTGTGTACGACGTCTGCAAGCTGGCTTTCTGTACGCTGAGCCGTCCTAGCCAGCCATTTGCGTCTCGGAAAGGCAAGCAGGCACCAAATGCCTAGCTTGAGCCCGTGTCTAATACAGAAACCCATAGGACAGAACGGTTGCAATATGGCTGCACAGCTACAACGCAGTGTATTGTAGTGAAGTGCTCATGTAGATCTTTCATTGTTGAGCTGCTGCCGGTCGAAGCAGTAACCTCTCCACCGGTTACTGCGCTTCGATTGCATAGAGGCCACGAATACTGTGAGCCATCATTCAGCTGCAAACAAGCAAGAAACAATAATGGAAGCAACATATCGTGGCGATACAGTGCAGTAGACGTTGTTGTGTACGACGGAAGTGGCAGTAGAGGAGAAGGGATTTACTTCTTGTGTGTTTATCTATTATGCTCATTACTATTACTGAACAGGGTGTATGCTTAGTATGAGTGTAAATCTTTGTATATTGATGTACGCGTATGTGTATTCTCTAAAGTGAGGTTTTCCGCGCGGAACAACGGGGATTTAGGCCGCCGCGTGTAGCCATGGAACGATGGCGAGCTAACATCAAAACAAATCCACAGACATTTTCGGATTAAAAAGGCGGACAGGAAACACGGACATTAGGAGAAGATAGTACATTTGACCGGCAGCGCTCAGCAGACAGGGCATAGACTTCAGCTAGCCTCGTATTAAGCTGAACTTAAACCGTACGCGATGGGGTCGCCCATCGCCGCCTTTGCTACGCTCGTAGGCCTGTGCGTGGCAGCGGGGGCGGCCGCAAAGGCACCCCAGCTTGCACGGCTAGTTATTCCAGAAGACCTCGTCAAAGGAACAGAGTATCGGCTTACATGCAGTGTCGCCATCGGCGATTCGCCACTTGCTTTCGAATGGCAAAAAAACGGTGTGCGCTTATTCTCGTCAGCCATGACGGTCATCACACAAGCTGAGCATACATCCACATTGACGTTTAAATCACTTTCAGAAGATGATGTCGGTGAATACCGCTGTGAAGCGATAAATTTAGCAGGTAAAGCCTCAGTGAAGGCGCACCTTCGAGTGAATGTCGCACCGTTTTGGATGCAAGAGCCATTCGATATGGATGTCGAAGAGGGCCAAATACTAAAGATTCCCTGCCATGCCGGGGGATCGCCGGCGCCGACGTATCGATGGTCAAAAGGCAATCAGCTATTAATTAGAAGCCGCTATGACATCACTGTAGATGGAGCACTCATAGTGAACGCTGCTAAAAAAATTGACGCAGGTGTATTTTCATGCGAGGCATCAAACTCAATCGGGTCTGCACTGGTTAAACAGGCAACAATTAGGGTATTTGTGCGGCCGCGCGTCAAGCTTCCGCAAACGCTTGTGCAGGTTGAACGGGGTGGCACCGTCAATATGTCGTGCTCGGCTGCTGGCGATTATCCGATCATCGTTGAGTGGCGCCATGACGGCCAAACCATGCCGGAAAGTTCTTCGGATAAAATTCTACTAGGCGATAAGGAGCAAGAGCAACTCTTTTCGAATTTCATTATTCGAGATGCTGGTGCTCAGCATGCTGGTCGATACATGTGCGTTGCGAAGAATTCATTCGGCGAAGATCAGGCCGAAGCACGCTTAGTGGTGCGCGAACCGCCTGAAGTACCGGAAGGTATTGAAGTGTCTGGAATCTGGAGTCGTAGTGCGCGCGTGACCTGGACCACTCCTAAGCGAGTTGTGGTCACTGGGTATAACGTGTGTTTCTGGTCGCACAGAGATATAACAAAGTAAGTTTAGCGGAAATCAAAAGTACACGTAGGTATTTAATAGGACTATTAGATGATATTAATTAGCACCATTAGTAGCGCATACAGCACACTATCAACATACCATAAAGTAAATTTAAAAAAACTATTGCTGTAAAGCTTCGTTTTACAGTTATTTTCAATCAGGGTTGATCGTAATTTCAATAGTGTGCATGGCAAATAGAAAAAGGGCACTTATTTCAAAGCTACAATCTGCTTATTGTACAAGGAAACACTGTGTAATAACTATTTGACCCTAAACGCTAGAAGAGTAATAGTGACGTCAGGTAGATCTCGAAGTGTTGACACGATGCTACTGAAATCAATTACGGCTCAGTTGTAGCTCTCGAAGTAATCTATATTATACCTTGCGCTTCTTGTCCATTTTTTAGAAGAAAATGTTCTATCATACTGGAGATGCATCAGTTGTTCTAAACAAATAAAATAGGGTTAAGAAAGCTAGAGCACCCGTGCAAATTAGAGAAATGCCTGGCGGCCATTTGAGTGCCAATCTAACGTCTTAACGTTGCGTAGTCATTTATTCAGGTTTTCCAGCGCTTTTAACAATACATTTAAAATAGTTCTATTTTTTTACTTCCAAATTTCACCAAAACATTCTGTACGATGACAAACTTCCGAAGGAATCTACTAGATAAACATTAAGCTTCTAACATATTAATGATATCAAATATAGTGATCTCAAGTGAGGTCAAATCAGAAACATCAAATATTTCGAACGCTACTCAGTACGTCTAAGTCTTCTATTCGTGCCCTGGTGCTTAAAAAATACAAAATTTTATTGCGTAGTAAAAATCCGTTTTTTAATGCAATTAGTTCTTCGCTTTTGAACGAAAGCTTTCGTAAACTCTTGTACTAATAGATAGAAATACGGAACTGTGAATTAAACGCACTTATGTATGATGTATCGCTTTTGAAATAAAAAGACTTTAACTTTGGCCTTATTTTAACAAGTAAAAATATAGGCGATTCGGATAGGTGATTAGTTAAAACAAACTTTATGCATGCCCTGTATTTTATATAATTCTCCAAAAAGCTTACCTATTGTAAAATGAAAAACTTGAAAGTAAGTTTATTTGTTTCTTGCTTTAGGTTCAATATAAGCGTGGCCGGTTCATCCACTACAGTCCAGATTCCAAAGCTTCACCCAGCGACTGAATACAAACTTTACATTATCGCTTACAACGATGTTGGCCCTTCGGAACAGTCACGTACCGTTACAGTACGTACGAAAGATGAACAACCTTCTGCAGCCCCTTCAAATGTTCAGGTCATCTCGACAGGACCTAATCACGCCGTCATATCCTGGATACCTCCCCCAGAGTCTGAATGGAATTCTGAGCAACTGACCGGTTACTTCGTCGGTTATAAGGCAGCTAGTCAAGACTCGAATCGGCCATACTCTTTCCATACGGTGGGTCCTGATCAGAGCACATACACACTACGAGGGCTCATGAAATACACGCTTTACGGCGTCGTTGTCAAAGCTGTTAATGGTATCGGGTATTCACCACCAAGTTTGGAGACGTCGTTCTATACCGAGGATGGCGACTATATGCCACCACCTCAGCTGCATCTAAAAACTCTTGATGGTCAATCGGCCACCCTGCGCTGGTCTTCACCCTCGACTAAAGTAACTGGTTACACTATCTATAGTCGACAAGGCGAGCAGAGCGTGTGGAAGGAAACATATATAGATCATCCAGGCCAAAGTACGTACCAGTTAACTGGATTGAACTTGAACGAATACTACCAGATATATATGGTGGCTCACACGAATCTCGGTAAGACCGAACCGTCGGATGTGCTGTCGATCCGAGTGCCCGATCCCAGCAAAAGTCCCCAAACGACTGATGACGTAAGCATCAATGCTGCCGAAGCAGAGGTTATGTATACGGTAGTACCGTTGGTTTGCCTTCTCTTGGTAATCGTGGCAGTTTTATCGGGTACTGGGGTCTATATGTATGCGAAAAAGAAGGGAACAGACCCTCCACCGCCCGTGAACGCAGATTATGATTTCTGTTTTACCAACATTCCGGGTGGGCAACAGGTCCTGCCTGGTATGACCATGAAGATGAACCCGTACAATGCATACCAAATGAACCCATACGCCACATACTCACGCCAAACTTCGCGCAAAAAGAGTGTCAATTCTACGCCGTATTCAACTATTCCCCGTTCAGAAAAAAGTTCGGAAAATGCGTACGCTATCTATGAGAGCATACAAGATCTTCGGTCGCTTAAACGGCGACAAAGTCTCAGTCGGCAGTTTGGCCCAACAATGCACAAGGTTGACATTTGTGATATATAGTCTCCCCCGCCGCTGCCTCCCAGATGTAACTGAACCACAGGCAGCTGTTGCAACCATCGGACTCGGAGAGTTCGCACTGTCGCCAGTGAATTAGCATATTAGAGTAGCCGATTACTACAATAGGCCTATTTGATTAGCTAGTAGCAAGCTAGCGATTTATTCGAAAACGAAATGAAACGGCCAGATATCGGTTACCCAGCACAGGGCGGAGTAAGGAGTTAGAGATGACATGCAATGGACTGATATACGGTAAGGAAATAAGAAAACCCGGAAAAAATACGTTAAAATAAAGAAAAAAAAAGACAAGTGTAACTGTCACACTCGAAAGAAAATAAGTATTATTAGAGATAAGAGTTTCGCAGGTAAGTTTTCGTTCTCAGTGAAAGCGGAAAGCAGGGATGAAAAACGGGTAACACAGGTGAACAAAACGAAGGATGCGTCACTTCGTCGTGCCCGCAGATTTTCCTTCTACTGGTACCTCAATCAATCATTCTGAATCGCATTCACCGGTCAGTAATTGGAAAAGTTCAAATAACCAAACAGGAACTAAGAAGCAAAAGGAGAAAGGGAATGAATATGATTAGGTTATCATAGAAAAGGTCTGAATTTGACAGTAATGTAGTAGAAGAAGCAATGTTGATTTACGATTGCGGTAAAATGGTCAAAAACTGATAAGCGGATGGTGCTGCAAAAACATCAAAGCGGAACGAACAATAAGAACGGCGAAGTAGATGTACAGTCTGTTCTGTAAGAGTGTATTATGTAGCATTGTACAGTAATGAAAGACACAATATGAGCAGAACTCGCTGAGAGATACATGTACATATTGCGGAAATATCGAATTAGGGAAACGACAAATGGAGAGGACTTTATGGTCGGTATGGGGCCGGGGAGATGACGGAAGGAATATAAAGTGTGAAAAATGTAGAGAGAAAAGCCGTTGAGAATGTTATTCCTATTTACATATACAGCACAATGTGTGTGAAAGACGAAAATTGAATATTGAGATGACGCATGGTTAAGCGATTGGTGGATGGATTTTGTAACAATTTTACTGTGAATGTTGCTAGTAGAGCATTAATTCCAATTAATTACTGAAATACTTACTCGAATTATAGATGCGGCTAATTAATAACAGTGAAATGCTATTATCGTATAGCGGCAATCTTTGACGTGAGCCGTTTAACATCTGTCCAATCTGTCTCTCGGGAACAAAAATCTAGTCAGTGGTTCTCAATGCATTAATTGATATAATGCGCAAAATAAACGAGGAAGAAGATTAACGTACATTTGGTCTGTTTACGTTAAAAGTCATATATACTAAGGAGGGGAAACAAGATAAACGTGTACCAAATATGACAGATATAAAACAGAGAAGAGATCACGATTCACTTCACAGAAGTTGTGTGATATATAATAATTGTATGGGTATTTAAGAAACCAGTTAGGAAATCCACATATTTAATTTCGTTGCTTAAGGAAAAATGACGATGTTTAAGAAAAGCCTCGTATGAAAAGAAAAAGTACCATATGAAACGATCTATGGATCTGCCTAGGATATGATAGCGAAAGATATATGAGGAGAAAATGAGATACGGAATTCATAATAATGCCAAATCTATGGTTGCTGGCACACCTTAACTATTTAGTATGTTTTACCAGATGTTTTTACTATCTCTGTGCATTTTGATCAGCGCGTGGCTGCCATTGAAAAGATCCTATGTAAAGATCCTATATATATATATATATATATATATATATATATATATATATGACACACGTAAATACAAATTTTTTTTACAAACACAGCGATATACAACACGGAGACGTAAATATCTCATGACTACGATAATTCAACGTCTTCTGCCCAAAAGTTGATACCAAATAAAGGTGAGCGTAGTAAATACAACATAACCTTAAACGAGATTAATAAGCTGTATTTATTTACTGAGATACTGAAGTAGACAAGTAAAGGTATAGTAAAAAAACAGACACGCAACAGATGCAGGGAAGACGGCAATAACATCAGCGGATAATCTTTATGAACAGAATGTGGAAGGAAATAGCATAAAGTGACATGATTCTTTAAGCCTTTTCTTGTATTATGCGTTTTGTACTTTAATAACACCCTTCCTAAGGGATTCATATCTAACAATACATTTCCATCGAATAAAAATTTATTTCATGATGATTAACATGTGTAAATACGCATGGCGTCTTTTTTTGGAGGGTATTTTATTGTACAACATTCGTTTATACGTAAGTGTAGCACTTCCGCTGGTAGCAGTGGAACTTGTTGTCTTCTTTATTCAATTAAAATCATACACTGGGGGTTTATATACTTGCAGCTCAGATCTCCAATAGGCCCATAAGTAATTCTTGAATTGGCTGCAGACGAGGTTGGGTCTAAATGTGGCGAGTAATACGTTACGCAATCGACACAAAAGTAGATTTCAAAACAGTGTGTTTATCTCTGTGTAACGTCGTTGGTTGGTGAACAGCTATAGAGACGGAATAGCTCCATTGACAGATTTGATTTATTATTTCTGATTACCAAAACTATAAACTTAGTTCGGAACAATTCCACTTCACAGTTAAACTATGTTATCGTTTTTTTTAAAAAAGCCTACAGATGTCTTAGGCGTGTCCTTTCGGGGGCACTGTCTCCCGTATGAATATACCCACAAGCAAGCAATTTCCGACAGTGACTCATAATATTGGTCGGTCATTACGTAATGCGGCAAGCTACAGAATATCTTAATGGCCGGTCTACTTAGCCAGCCGTCTTGTCCTGATCTGTTCAAGGGCTGTGGCGTCTACATTCAGGCCGCCTGGGCGCTTAGCGGGTTTTTGGAACTCTCCGCCTCAGTGGCTTTGCGGTGCCTAGTATCATTTGATGAGGTTTCTGCCGCTGGGGGGTTAATCAGCTTTTGCCTTAAAAAAAATCATTGGGCGACTCTGCTTTTGGGCGTTCCAAATTAATAATTTCAAAGGATATTAATAATGTTTCTATACACCTGCATTTGGCGTCCTTTTGTTATTATCTGCGCCAACACTGCTCGTTCTGATATCTCGTAATAACACCACGATTTAATTCAATTAATTTGTAATCTACTATAAACATATAAACTTTCCCGATCATATTGTTATGTAATTAACGCTGATTAACATTTCTGTTACCTTTACTAGACTATTTATCGGCTAGGTTCATAAATGATGTAAAAGATGAAGCATGTTGATTTCCAAGGTTGCCCTGGCTTATAGGGCTTTTCCAGCTGAAAGACAACTACAATACTGACTGGCGATGTAGGTAATAGTATAGTTGTCGAGAGAGATCTTGTTTTAGGTCGTTAATTTAATGTTATTGGTGGCGTTAGGATTAGCATGAGGACGTACACAGTGCATTTCTCTAGCCTAAGGAGATTAGTCTCAATTTAATTATTCAAAAAGAAATATAGAAGAAAGTGAACCCAAACGTTTGATGATTTAATGCCAATTTTGTCTATATAAATTAGCTAAAGCCTTTCGCAAACACATGAAAGGGATCAGATGTACGTTACAGTACACTTCAGTATAAAACACATTGTTGTTAGAAAATTCATAACTAAGTTAATAACTCTTCTTTTATAGCTAAGACCTATGCGAAAGCGTCAATAGAATAGATGACGCGGATGAAAATGGAAGCAAAATACCATTATCTTAAATATAACCAAACAAAATCTTGTCATCCGCTAGTTTTCTTCAAGGAAGCCAAGCAGAAAGCAAACATGTCTTTCTCGAGCGTTGCGTTGCTTTTTGCGTTCCTTCTCTATCTCTGCAGATTTTAATGTGTTAGCAAGTGTCTATTCAGATAAGCTGCGCCATCATTATTTACCGTCAGTAAAGGCTTGAAGATTTGCCTTCATTGAATATTCTTGTCCTTTAGTGCAGGTCATATAGCACACGCAACGATAGCTGCTTTTATTATATATAGCGTTTACAACCACCTTTTCCAGAGCAACTGAAACAACTAACTCGAGGGTTTAGGGTTTGCCGTTCTCTAGTGTCGAACTGGCATCTTTTATCTATCTTTTATATATCTTATTTCGCATTTCTTTTACGGCCTTTTTCAATTAAAAATGCAATCAAGTAATTTTTATGATGGACCTAATATTTATTTTAATACGTAAAGCATATCCGATTTTTTCAGGATGAAAAAGAGCAAAGAGTCACAAGACAAAATCAACACATTTTCTAATCCGACAGAAAAGTAATAATAAATAGCTTTAAATCGTGCGAGGATCTGCGCGGACAACAGGGATTTTGAAATGAGATTAAAGGAGCAAGTGCATCAACATCAGCCAACTTTGCTGGAATGGGATCTGGAAGGGGTAATCGGCAGAACGCAAGCAGTAAAGCTTTGGTGAACCGATTTACGGTATGTAAGTCGTCGACGTTGTTGTGTATGATAAAAGGGATGGTTGGGAAGAAGAAACAGGTCCAATGTGTTCGAATTTATAATCAAAATAATATATTTGCTATGTGAGTGTGAATTCATTAACCCCGAGGCGTGAAGAGAATGGCGGCCGGATGCACATACTAAGAGGGGATTTCGCTTAGTATGCTTCGTGACTCTTACAGCGCCTACGCGTGACAGCGGGACCGACAGTGCGTTGTGCTATTGCTAACGTGTCCACGCACACGTTAGCACCGTATCATCGATTGTAGCATGCGGGGAGGTAAAGCGCGGAATCCTAAACTTCTTTAGCCAAAAATTTAACTGCCAAGTTACGTTGACAACAGAAGTTATATAATTATAATTAATAGTTATTTTGAATATAGAACCTCCTGTTTAAGATTTAGGCTGGAACCAAATTGTCTATTATTGTAGGTATAGTTCCTGAAAGATTGACGTCAATTTCGTACGGGCCACCAGTTTCGTAGATCACCACCCCATCCGTACACTTTGTGTTTCTTGTTTTTACATTGGAAACGTTTACAAAATTAAAAAAAAAAGATAATTCATCTCCCCAGATATTATATCGTCTTTAGATGATAAGGAGGTCGTCGTTTTACCCATCCCTGAACGGTCTTCTAAGTAACATTACATCACATGTGGGGCATAATAGTCAACACTGTTTTCACTAGTATATTCTTAGAACTGGATACATTAGAGATAAGGCTGTCAGTTATGCCAAGTCGAAGTTGCACTACCATAAATCTATACTCCTCTAGTTTGTAGCGTCAAATGATGTGAGTGTATATATGCAGTTATAGACGACGTTTTTGAAAAAGTGTGCACAAATGCAGCCCGCACCACATCAGTTGCGCCCACTTCCGAGTCTTCAGCTCGATGTACAGAGTCTGGGGCTGCTTGTGAGATAGCAGCAATATTTCTTACCACTGCTCTCTATTTCCTGTGCGCTAGCGACGGATCAGGCCAATACGACAAGCCCTAATCATGTCTTAAGTACCTTTAGTCAAGTCCATTCAGGAATTCAAGGAATTCAGAGGGATTTATTGGCAATTTTGTTTACTATAAAGTCGTTTGCCTAAATTCGAACCGGTGCTACGCCTTTCACACAATCGGTTCTGACAAAAGCACGTGCACGTTTCGGGGTCTTCCCATGCACACGCTTTACAGTCTAGTTGTCCGAGTCCTGGATGGTGTCGTTTTTAACGACGAAGATGGAGACTACATTAACGCCACTGTAATTACGTACGCAATTTGAACTTGTCCTTATTCTTCCCCAATACAACGAGGTATTCTATCTGCCCAACCTACAAATCGAGCAGAATAAATAGAAAGAAATAGTTATTGACAGTTAAGCCCAAGGTACGCAGCAGCTAATTGGACTGTGTTTGCAAAAACAGCACGGAGGCCCACGCAACTCTGAGCAAAACGAAATTATCAGATGTGTTATCTATCTATACCAAAATACCGTATATGAACAAAGCCCAAGTTGTGTTCACATTCTTATCATTCGTGTACCTTCCGTCAGTCTCGGTGGCAATCAGATTTCTAGCAGTATATCTGGGCCAATAAGAAATCAGTCGCCATTCGAGAAAGACCACAATTTTGATCGATACGAAGCAATATGAATTATGTCAGACATTATCAATAGAATAAACTGTACGCCAATGTATCGAGAACAAGGCTTTAATAGCAGATAGATGCTAATTTAATTTTTCTGCTTATGGGTTTGCAGTTTAAGCTGTAGGGTTTCTTGGTAACACGCACATACGTACACAACTACGTCGGAGTTGTTTAAACAAAATATTTTAGTTTAAAACATGTAAAAGTGTAAGTGGAGTTGATATTTCTGATCGACAGTAAAGAGCTTTGTCTCAAAAAGAAAAACGAACACCGCAAATAACTGTTTTGATAAAAACTAAATTAGCATGGTGCCACTGAATTTTTGTTGTATACCAAACCAGCGTACTAAAATTAGCTAATTTACTGTGTGCACATACAATAGGAAGACTGTAACAACAAAAGTTGGAGCCATAATGCAAAAAATCATCAGTACTCAGCTTAGAGCTGTTCAGCCAAATTACCAACTGGTGGTAAGCAGAAATCCGATCGTCGCTTGTATAGGCTCAAAACAGACAATGAACACAAAGATAAAGAAAAAAAAATCGTAGCGGTAATAAGCTATTGTCACTCATCCCCGACAAAGTGGCTATCATTTCGGTGAACTAGATTAATTCATTTTATTTCAACGTAAAACCTTATCAAAAGCTCACCAATATTTCTCAGTGTTATCTTTTCTTCACACTAAGTAACAAACACACCGATTCTAATAACTCGCAAAATTGTCGTCCGTTCTTCAAAAGAATCACTTTTTCGAAGTACAGGTTATTACATTTTGTAAGGTTTTTTAATTGCATTTATTTTTCAAGTTATTCCAAGATCATTTATTTAGAATACTATACGGTTCCTCTGGCTTCAAAACCTAAATATGAGGTGTTATTCCACCGATTCCAAATTATGAATAAATCTGTATTGGAAAGAAGTGCAAACTATTTAAAAAAAAAAGTTAAATAAATTAATTGAAACCTAGCTTTATTTGCTTGGAACGACATAATCCTAGTTAAATGATTTCCTTTCATGTATCAAATGTCTCAAGTATCACAACTTGCTCTCCAATAGTGGCACGTTGACTTGTTTTGGACGAAGCAGGCTTTTTCTAGTCACTTTGGATTTGCTGAGCCTCGACTGCGCCAGTTATCATTGTTGACGTAACTTCTACCTTTCTGTGGTATTGTGAATCTCCTCAACAAACAACTGTATGATTCTATGTATCATAGAGGGTTTAAGTGCACAAAAATTTGTAGAACACTGTGAAACGCTTTGTATTTACATACTGGCAATATTTTCTAATAATAGGTAAGTCCCGCCTCTGCATTTACTACATATGTTTTGTATTCTAGATACTTCTATCCGATAAAGTTACTATTTTATTATTTTGCAATCAAGCTTTTTTACTTTTCGATTTTCGAATTCAAAATACAGTAATGTACCAAGTATAGAAGCAAAAAAGTACAACCTTGAAGAACTAATAATCCTATTTCCGTTTCAGACTGAAATTAAAAAGTCTTCTGTAGTTATAAAGTTGCAGGTAACCCTTGGAAGTTCAATAACTTTTGCAACGTTCTACTTAAAAGTACTATCGAGGCGACAAATACACACCACTGCTAGTAGGCCATTTGACATAACGGGAATCGAAAAGCAAATTGGATTCTATTTAATAATTACTACAACGAAATATTACGTGTACTCATGCGCCTTATGCTTCAAGTATGGCTTCGAGCGCATTCAGTACATATCGACTTTTGGATGCGTCTAGCATACTCCAGTTTCGGCAGGCTTCCCAGGATGGACTTCCCTGACGCCAGCCACCTCTATATTGACTCCTCGTATCCACTGGCATCAGTTGCCAAGCGATGCCACGGTATAGACGCAAAGGCTTATATTGTTCGTATGAAGGTTACAGTCTTGGAGAAAAGCCATAGCGCAGTCACGCACTCAATTATTTAAGCAATTTTCCGATGGTTTCGTCAACCTGTTTCTGAATGACAGCTGGCTGGAGTAACAGTTGCCCACAAGGTAAATAATACTTGATGGTGAGCGCAATTACGTGCGATTTCAGGAACACTTCACGCGTTTGGTCCAACCGAATTCGGTTAGATAGCGATGTCATTAAGAGACGAAGATTGGTTCGAATCACCGATGGAGGATCTGAAGATGCTGCAATCGTCATGAGGACAGTACCACGAAGAGTAGCTATCCAGTGGACAGCCTATTCAGGCATACAAGAGAAAAACAGGTGCTGATTATTCATATACAAATATACAAACAGCATTATTTCGAAGATGCAAGAGGCTTGTGCATTTCTCTTACGCGCTCATCTATGATACGCTAACTGCAACGATTTCTATCCGCAAAAAGTTGGAGTCAAATAGTCTTTTTGTTATAGGCCAATAGTATACACATAAATAATAGAAAAGGAGCACGCGGTTTGTACATACCAGATCCGATCCCATCAGCCGGAAGGTCCCATTGAGGAAGTCACGCATTTTGGCTTCCTTTTCTGAGCTTCGCGCAAGCGCTGCATGAAATTCTGCTTTTCCCTCTCGTAGCAAATAATCCAAAACGTCGTTGCCTTCGGAAATACGAAGCAGTTGCTGCTCCTAAAAACAAATCATTACGAATATGTTCGAGTAGAACTAAGGCTCCAAGCAAGTTTCCCAGAACAAACGACGCGCTCCGAATGAACAGGACTAAATACCACAGACAGAACATGTAACGCATATTAACGCCATATTACCGACAATAGATATATACGCACCTTATCTTGCTCGTCATTGAGGGTGTCAACTCCTTGAAGGCTAAACGTGCATAGCTTATCCAGCGGTGACTGAGGCAGGGGCAAACTTTGGCAAAAAGCCCGTGAATAAAGAATTTGTGGCTCTCCCTGTTCGGCAAATGTAGCCAGGTGTATGGAGTATACCATCGTTATACTATGTCATACGGCACTAGCAACCATCGACATCTTGCTCAGGGCCAATCAGCCTTCCCAGCACAAATAAACGTAGAAAATTATCTACAAAAAAAGTTTGTCGTCAAAGAATCTATTTTAGTTAACATTATGCTTATTTGCTCATTTCTCTGTTCAGATTAACACTTGAACATAAACCATACAGGGCAGGTAAATGTAATCAACATGAAAAATTCAAATGTTTGTTCACACACATAATCATGCGTCAAGTTCCGACTAACAAATTTTGTAAACTGCAGCTGTAATCTGTTTGCTAATTCAGATATGATATTCTATTGTTGGAACATTAATTCAATGCACCGGATGCAAACATTCGTTAGCACAAGTGAAACTATTAAATTAATATAAACTATTGCTGTACTTAGGGCTCCCAATAGAACGCATACCTTTATGACTATGGATTAAGCACCGTCAGCTGATTCTACTACATAGTCTATATACACAATCCATACGATAAACGCTCAATTATGCGTCTGTGTGTGTTTGTTTATGTGGCCCTCAGACTTCTCCTTATTGGAGTATGGTGTCTTGTTGTGTACAAAGGATGTTTCTGTGTTTTACGCTCGGTAGTTATACCTTTGGCTGTCACTAGAACCGCATGCTGTCGGTATGAAACGAAGCGGGCCAACGGCCGAATTCGAACCGATACTGCCACCTGTCTCTGAAACTGCTAGGAAAACACGTTAGCTATACTACTATCACGGGGACTAACTGGTACACAGGTTAACGGTGAAGTCCTGGATGGAACCCAGCAAACTAGACACTGTACCGTAAATAGTGACGGTATGGGTTCAAAGGCCATACATGAAACGGCGAGTTACTGCCTCCGTTCGCATTGAGTTTGCACTGCGTCGAATGGGAAAGTTAAACTGAACAAGCTCACATAATTGAAAGGACAAAATACTTCCGATTCTGCTTAGCTATATTTCGTAAGTGTGCGATATTGACTATCTTTATTGTGTGATTTATGCGGTACCTTGAATTAACTTAGCTCTATGTTCTGTGAGTGACGTATTTATCAAAGACAAGTTTAGTGTATTCGACTTAAAATAATCCGGTTTTTTGTATGAAAATCATCATTTCACAGTTCTTACCTATATGTTTTCTTCGTTATAGTTTAATAGGTGTTAAGCTATTATTATAGAGCAGAAGGTATGCTAAGGTGAGAAAAAACTTCAGTTATTATTTGATTGCTCGTGTACTGACTTATAATCATCCATCAGGCAGAAGTCAGCCGCATTCTTTTTTAAAACTCGAACAAACTGAAATCCTTAGAGTACCTTACATCGCAGACGGTGCTGTGAGGATTTGTTTAGTAAACAAGTCGGTTCATCCTTTTTTTATCATACCATTTCTATGTATGCTTCCTCGAACTCAATGATTTGAGAAATGCGTGTGCTCTAGTGGTGCTTCTCTGTTCTGCTACCGCTACTAAAGTACCGCAATGATCCGCGTTAGTTTTTATCCTCGTTTAGCTTCTTGACTGTTTCCTGTAAAAAAACATTGAATTAACAGTGACATATATTCAATATGCACCGCATAATCCTAATATTCTAGGTGATGGTGCTAACTTACAAACAATCTGGTCAGAATATATAACTAATATTCAATGAAGCTAGCTTTGTTTTATTGCGTCTGTTTGGAGTAGAAGTAATAGCGAATGTCTGCGTTGCTGCTAGAAATACTTACAGCAGCCAACATCGCACGGTGCTTGAATCGTCTTACGAGGGCTACTGAACATTTGATCCAAATTATAGTTGAAGGCGAGTGAAGTGTTTATGTATTTGCGTGTTGATGCTCTTGAAAGTGGCTCCAACGATTGTGATTATTTGCGGTGGCCAGGTTTGATTCGACGAGACACATGATAATGAAAAATTTATTTTTTAGATTTACTTAGAAACTTAGAGCCGTCCTGGTATAATTGCACGCGAATTATATGTTTTTTTATGATATTTGCCCAGTAATATTTACTTTCCTTCATAGATTTCGACTCTTACCAGAAAAAACCGAGGTAGGTGCGCATCATCTTATTGAAAAATGCCTCGTTAACAGAGCTTTATTTTTCGTTCCAGAATCGATTTCGAGATTTCAAATATTTGGTCTATATATTCAGGGTGTTTGAAATACATCGGGACAAACATGATGTCGTTTGCTAATACGTCACGTCTAAATGAAAACAGCAGTTTGTATAAAAAATGTTACATGTGGCGATAGAGTGTTTCTTTCAAATGTATCTATTAAATATACCTGTCGTCAATAAAGACTTTGATTCAGATTCTAAATGGTTTGCAAGTTATTTTTAAAGATTAGTTCTTTAAATGTGTGAATGAATTCTAATTTTAATCGTGAGCAGGGTGATATTGATACGTATAGATCTGCTCGAGTCGTTTTCAATAGTTTTTCTACACACAATTCGGTTGATATAAATATGTGGCCGACAGTATACCAGAAGTCAAAAAACGTCAAGAAAACGAAATTATGCAAAGGTCTAAAAAGACTGATTGTTAATTCTACATCGGGATGATTTAATTGTAAAAATGGGAAATTCTCTTGGAAACATCAACGAACTTATGCATTAACATTTAGCATCATCTTGTTTTAGTATCATTATTATTATAGACCTGTTATACCATTTGGGTGAAATCTCGAGTCCATATGGTCTAATCTCCATCATCTTGCCTCGTGCGAGGAATCGTCGAACTTTTTGGGTACTACACAGTAATTATAACGTAGACCGTCGATTTTAGGCAATTAATAGAGTTTATAACCCTGGTACGAGTTCGTCCGATATGAGGACATTAGCATATTATACGATAATTAGTCCTGGCTTATATTTCGAACATGAACTTTTTGCCTCTGCCATGATGAGTTTTCGGTTTTGTTCTAAAAAGGACCGGGTTTCTGCTACCAGGAATAGCAAAGGAATGCACATACGCCGAGGAAAATAGCTCGCCAAACTGTCTCATATATATATATATATATATATATATATATATAAATTAATTAGAATGTTCGGAGGACTACTAAATCGTCGGGGTAAAATTTTTATAAGAACTCTTGCTGTAAAGCTTAAGTATCAATACATGCTAAAAGTGCTCGGTTCTCTACAATCATATTATGTTGTTTTGTCCAAAGATTTGAAAGAAGTGTACCTGCATCCGTTACTTCATGCCTTATGGAGAATCCGCACAGAAAAGTCATGAAGGCAGCAATTCAGAAAATCCTGACACCTACAATTTCTTGCAGAGGATAACATATAAGTCTGTCGTACTCTACTAGCTCATATGTACGAAAATCGTGGTGTCCGTTCCTGTAAAAAAAAGTCAGTTAACCCAAGAGTTAAAGCTTGCAAATCATGCAAAATGTTATACGTTTAATACATAAGTCGAAGAACAGTTTTAACGCGATCCATCCACATTCGTAATAAAAATCGTCGTCTCAGGTTAAATGTATTCGTACGTAATCGCCTTGATGCATACACAAAACTGCCATAAATAAGCACACAATGACGCTCATGCTATTTACTAAGAACCACATTACGTGATTAAGGTAACCGTATTGTGCGAATTCTGGGCGGGAGCTACCATTGGACCGTGTTTTTGACCCTGCGAAAACATGTTGCTTTCCAGGATTTTCCATCTACGAAACTAGATAAGTCGGATTTAAATAATATGTGGTGCCAACAAGGCAGTGCTATCTGCTATTGGGCACACGAAGCACTAAGGGCAGTGAAAGATAGGTTTGATGAAGGCAGGATACTTGTAGCGTGGCCTTCTTGGTCGTGTGAACTAATATCACTGCTTTTTTTTTCGTGATTTTCTTTGAAAGCCAAAGTACGAAGAAACCTTTTGCCAGTCAGGAACTAAAAAATGTCCTTGATAAGAAAAATTGGTAAACGTGCCTAGCTCATGAAGGAACTCATATAATATATCAGTAGTGAGATTATGACATTATCTTTGTGAGTTTCTGTCATTTTTGCTCCAAAACATGTTTTGTTTGTACGAACGTCACAAGATAAAACTACAGTCCTCACAACGCTTAGATTCTCGAAAAAGTAATGATAGAAAAAGTGTCGCATCCTGCAAAATACTTTACATTAATTATTATTAGTAATACACCTTAATTATTGTATTATTATAGCACCGCCACTATTATTTTGTACAGTAAACGCTATATTAAAATTTTATTAGTTAATCCTATATAAGGTCCAAGCTGGACCCAGCTGGAAAGTTATCCAGCAACTGTTAAGCGTGGTTTCCCGGGTCTATCACTGAGATCATAACTAAACAAAAAAGTTACTGTGTGTTCCTAATCCATACCTTCTTTTTGCAATTATTTGAAATGCTGGTACGAACGAAGCGAAATAATACTACGTATACTTGTAAGTAGAGCATGCCAAACTTATAGTAGAAGTAAACTTACTATACTTGAAGATAATAATGATACTACTTTAATGCATTTGATCTGGCTTAAGACACAACTGAACGTGTTCCAAACTTTGATCTAACACGTTGAGCATACACTGCTAGAGTCTTTCTGTGAATCAAATGTGATTCACCAGAACGCTTAATTATATGACAATTGTAATAAACGAGTAGATAACTTAAACGGCCTTTTCTTTTGATGAACTTGCGTTAGCACCTTTTAAACCGGTAACAGATAACTATTTACATAGAACTACATTAAACTCTATTGAACAGATGCGTAAGACATATACAGTTCCTTAGAACAACGACTTAGAGGGGTCAACCGGAATAAGAGAAGTACACTTGACTTAAGCTATAATTTGATACAAATCTATTACAATTTCGGTTAGTTGAAAGTTTCGAGACATTGATTACATCCGACGCGCATTCTTCTATATATTATTAATGCACGAAAATTTAATTTCTATTGTAGTTAGTTGAGTGTGACGTATGCAAAACAACGTGTACTTGATACAATGCTTTTTAATGCAAAATTATTTATGACAACTGGAAAAGTTTAGGGATATCATAATCAATTATTTTCTAGGCTATTTGTCGCTAGAGCTTTTGATTTTTCTTGGCTTGCAGCATGGACGATTATACCCCAAAGGTCACAGGCCTTTCGCCTGCCGAGGGCTCGCCAGGAACCAAGGTGACAATAAGAGGAGAGAACTTTGGAACCGGCCAAAATGACCTTGTTTGTAAGTATACGTTTATATATTAAATTGCTGTGTTAAATAAAAATTCGCTAGGTAGATGCAATCATAGAGAACTTCATTTGCCGATGAGAAGTAACGTTGTAACAATTGTTTATTAAGGCTATATGTTTGAAGCGGGTTGAAGGTGCAATTGATTGAATACCAAAATAATTGACAGTTAAGTAACTTCTTTTTTATGTATGATTATATGTTATTGAAAATAAATAAATATTCTTAATCAATCTAGAGTGTGCATGCCAAAGTGCTTATCAGGAAGCGCATATCACTTTTTTGCAAGAAGTAATCCCCCTTTAAAGTAAAAAAACATTTTCAAAATAGATTTTATAGGTTAAACGACGGTAACATGCTATGTGGCAGCTTTAATTGTATAAAAGTCGACTACGTACCAAAACGCTGGAGCATGATCAACGACACAAGCTAAGCATGCCGACACAGGCCTACATTCACAAAGTCACAAACGCTTATCATACAGTGTTTCTTCATGTGATATTCGAATTTAACATTTTGGTCGGGCAGCATCGGCGCTTCAAAGCACTACAGATTTGAGAACTGTATCAGAAATATGTGGCTAATGCATGACCATTGTTACAGGACAGGCTATCGTGGATCTTTATACCCGTCCCTTCTGCTGTATTTCCTTTACCTGGCGTAATGTCCTATGAACGCACCTGTTATCCTCAATTTATAACGATAGAACTCGCCATCTATTCTACTTTCTCTTAACTTAACTGAAGTATTTATAATCATTGCAATCGCTCGCTATTACTTTCATTCGGGTCCACTGAAACGATGAGCAAAAGGCCGAATTATCTGCTTTAGAGAAAATGAGGAGGAGGCGAATGTATTGATTTCACCTGTTATTACGACCAGCCAGTACCGGTAGCATATTGAATCTGTACTGCTGAGGTTTGCGCACGCTTTTAATACATAGAAGAAAGAAAAAAAAGGAAGGCTTGGTCATGTAGTCAAAAATAATAATTCTTCATTCCTGTACTGCACGTTTTATTCCTCAGTTGTTAGATGCTGGATAGTTTTGCAAGCAGTATGTCAAATACATACTTATGCACACTGCCTGACAAATATACACCCACAAATAGAATGTGAATTAAGCTTTTCGTAAAAAAAAAGTGTTTCTTTGCATATCATGGGAAATGCTTAGCTGTTAGCTTTTTTATGCAAATGGAATCAAGCGCTTTTAGCACAGCACAGTTTTATGTCTTACCAATGCAGCGCAACATATATAGCTAACATAAATCTGGCGCTTTCAGCCGTGACAATCTGTGGTATGGATTGCACCATGTTCTCGGAGTGGAAGTCTTCGCACAAAATTGTCACACGGACTCGGATCTGTTCGGGTGTGGGTGACGTTATTATTACAACGAAATCCGGCGGAAAAGGAAGCTGCACTGTGCAATTTAAGGGTAAACATTGGTTTACTAAAAGCAATCCTTTACTCAAATGTCAAATATATCAACATCTAAGTATGTCAAGTATATCATACTAAGTAATGATTCTTTTGCTAGGCATCCATGAATCTGTATCGCCAACGGTAGAGTCCGCTGTTTGGGTGGATGAGGCGCATCATTTCCATGGGCCATTTTTCCCATCGATGAAAGGTCCTACTTCGTCGTCGTCGCTCGCCAAAGAACTTAACCTACTGGGTGGAGCTGACCAAACTGCCTTAAGTCCCACCAAGGAAAGTGACCTTAAAGCTCAGTTTGGAGATAAGACCACGGACGTTTTTTCCCGAAACTTTAGTCCAGACCTCTATCTTCTTACAAACCACATGCAATGCAGGTACCAGATATTGTGCTCTACGTTCGAACAAATCGTCAGTTATAGCTACCAAGCTTTTCTTATTTGTCTAAAACTACTGTTACTAGAATGATTTCCCACTATTTGTATGAAACGTTATGTTTAGTAGTAACTTAATGTCAAATATAGGGACAATTTTTTACTGTGTATAATAAGGTTGTAGAATTGCCATTCCATTGCTGTAGAAATCACCCCGCGACTTGATAAGATAGTTCAGCTAGTGGGTTTTTAACAAGTTTCAATTAACAAGCGGCCGCGAACCTAGATGCGTACCGTATGCAGTGTTTTCATCTTACTTTGTTTGTCTTTTTGCTTCATTTTCATTCTCTAGTTTCGAGAATCTTCGTACTGGTCTAAAAGAGTTAGAAAGACGTGTAAGCAACCAACAGGAAGGACCTACAACATTTCTCAAGTCTAACGTTTATGCAATTGTGAAGTGCCTTGATGTTCTTAAAGAACTCAATAAAGTTATGAACAAGGACCGCACTGAGATGGGTTCAGCTCTTACAGAAAATGTAGCGCAGCACCTCAAAGGTAAGTCAATGGTTGTTGTAGTCCTTTACGTTAGCTTTCTGTCAGTGTCTGCTTGTGTTTGACATTTTACATGCCCTTTATGATTTGTTCTCGTTGGTAATCTGCACGGTGCTGAAATTACAGAGACCTTGTACGAGGCATCTTCGATCTTTGAACAAATTCTGAGGCGAAAAGAGAGCTCCGATTCAATGAGAACTTCGCTATCGATTCTGCACAAATTCCGCTTTCTCTTTAATTTGCCCGCCCAAATCGAACACAATGTCAAAGCGGTAACTATTAATTTCTGCATTTCATTTCTGGCATTACATGTGCCTCTGTTATAAACGGTACTGATAATTCTTGACGGAAATTTTCTATGCTAATTTAATATCACTTCTGACTTAGACAAATTAAGTGTAAATATAAAAAAAAATATGAAGTTTCCCTATGACCACGTTTTTAGGTACGTCAATAACCCAAATGGTTATTTTTATATTCCACTATTTTTTTTTCGCAGGGAGAGTACGACACAGTCATAAGTGATTATGCGCGTGCCCGTTCAGTGTTTCACGACACTGAGGTTGGCATCTTTAAACGGGTCCTTAATGATGTTGAATCGAAAGTGGCCCTGTTCAAGGAGAAGCTTTACGAGGGTATCAGAAAATTCCCGGGACCACTTGATCAACGCAAGAAGCTCATCAGGTATTTGGAAGAGATACAATCAGATATAAAACAGGTATAACGTCGTGGATGTGTTACATCGTGCACTGTGGCAACTTTTAAATTAACTCACGTAACGCTGTGTTAACTTCCTTTTAGCTACCTTGTACAACTGGAACCGGAACGGAATCCAGGCTGGGAGGCAATCAAGCTGAACCAAAAGTGGCTTCTCAAGTCTATGGATGATCTAAAAAACCTTCACCTATCTCGGGCTTGTAGTCGAGCTAGCATGACTGATACTGAAGGGGAGAGTGATCCTCCACAGGTAGAATTCGTGCTCAGTCTCTGCAGATTCTTCTGCAGTAATGCTCCAGATTTCTTCAAGTAAGTAAATCAAAAAGCTGCGTGCGGGTTCTTTCAAAGGTCGACTGTTCCTCATCCTATTTACTCCCTTTATGCTATCCAAAAACGCTTTCTCCTCTCCTTAAACACTATATGATTTCCGCTGCGCTGGGGGAAACGTTAGTTAAAATTCAGACTTTAAATGCGGTTATACTTAATAATAGAAGAATTAATTTTCGATACTTGCTTTAGAAAGGAACAGAAGCAACCCAGGATATAACGAAAACTCTACAATTAAAGAAGATGCTCGAAAGTGGTTCGTTAAGTTAAAAACTGACATCTTAGACCAGGTGGTGCGGTTGGTTATTCGAGATCGGAGATGACCTTGAATGGCAACAACCTAGGCAATTGGCCGAGGATAGTCGACTGTCACCAGACACCCTGAATCAATGTAATTTTATTCAAAATTAAGAATCTAAGCGCCCGTAAACTTTGTGAAACATTAAAAACACGGCCTCTGAATATCTCATCTGGCACTAAGCAACAGGCACCCACAACGGCAGTTTCCTGCACAAAAAAAATGTTCTGCCTGAAATGGTGTCTTCACGTTAATATGAATAATAGAGGTAAATAGGTAGTCTAAGGAAATACGCCTAAGTCTAAAATTCAGCGAGAACTCCATACTGGAAACCAGAAGGTTGATATACACTTGGAAATTGTTTAGAAGGACCAAAAAAACGTTAAGAATCTGTGTATGGCCAATCGTGTGAACGAACTAGCGAAATCGTCCTTCTTCATGACAGTGCCAGGTCAGACCGTGCAAAGGTCGATCAAAGCGCGCGGCAAAACCTGAGCGGAAGGTTCTTTTGCTCTCACCATACTCCCCAGATATCACGCAGGCAGATTGTGAGGTTTCTTAACCCCTGGTAAATTAAATTCACAGCAGTACATTTGATTACCGAATTAAAAAATTGATTAGTTTTGTAACATTAAACCCAGGAATTCTTTATGAGACAGAATAAAGAAACTGAGAGAAAATTGGCATCGCCCCTTAACCAACGTGAATACACTCCATGAGATTCAGTTGTTGTCAAATGGCGATTCAACTTAAATCTACAGAGTCGGTCCAAAGCGGTTTAGATATAAAAGAACTGAGCAGCAATATATTTTTGGATTAATTGTGCATTATACAGTATTTTTGTCGAGAGAAAATATGCAGCTTCCATTTTATAATTTACATCTTATATTATGGTAATGTAAAATAGTCTTTCTATTCGTTTTCATCTGAAAATATGTCAGTTACGATACATATTAAGATGACTTATGATATTTCCAATGATGCCTGAATAGACTCCAGCAAGCTTACCTTCAGCGAGATATGGAGGGAATTCAAACAGCCCCCAGTGAAGAAGAAGAACGTCGCAGTAGCGACTTAACTTTACAGTTGGAGTCCCGACTTTGTCTTGAGGTACGATCTGCACTGTTGCCCACGCCTGCCATGAGTCCCGTAGTGGCTTGGCCCCATTCGCCTAGCCAGTCGATCGGCCCATGGCTTCCGACTTGCCTCCGGCATGTCAGGTAGGTCATTCACCATGATCAAACATAAAATTATTACATTGATATGAGTCTCCAAAGCCATGTGTTTCTAGCAAGGTTAATAAAATTAATTAAGATGGTGTTATTGTTACTGTACCATTCTGCAGGAAGTGCTACTCCAGCGTGTTGAAGTTGGATCCCCCACACGCAGCTGCCAGAATGCAAAGCCTTATTACGGACCTTCGTGAGCACGCAATCATCTCGCTACTGAGTCAAGCAGCACAGGGTCAGTTTTAATGCCATATGACGTAAAGAAATATAGAGGAAACTTGACACATACCTCTATCTGTGAGTCAAAGGACTGTATGTTTTAGGCAGGACAGACCCAAGTAGTTGAGCTTTGAAAATTTTATTAAGTGGTCTAGGTAACAGAGTTGACTTTCTCTATGCTCAAATAGATTATTTCTCTTCAAAATCATATTTAATTTACAGCTATTCTCCTCGACTGACTAATATAGCTAAAATTTGCAATGAGATGTCATTAACTAGGTGTAAATAATACATCGACAGCAACTATACACGTTTATAGCTTAGCAGGTTTCTCAATTTACACGTGTTTATAATTAGATATCAGTCATCTACATGAATACGAGACGTGGCAAAGCAGTTCGTCGTTTGATGTTCCTTCAGCTCCAGTGGGCTGTGGTGGCAGAATTATGGTTGGCGGCGGGGGTGGCAACCAATTCCAAGGCGCACATTTCGGAGCGTCGCAGTTACCTCTTCTGTTTGAAAACCGCGTCATTGAGGCATTACAGGTACATATATTTTACCTGCTTAGAAAATAGCTTTTGGATTTGTCAACAATCTAATACACCTGACGACAACTGACAACAATCTAATAAAAAGACATTACTTTTTGCATTAAAGTACTTTGAAACGGCCTCGACAGCTGTAAATGTTATTACTGTAACATATTATTACCAACGATTACTGCTTTAATAATAAGTGTTTTAAAGGGAACTATGAATGTCAGTTTTAATTAACACCATTAGAGTCGCACAATTTTGGCTCTAGAAAATTTACTAGTTTCTTAGAATTTCCCAATAGACAGTTACATATTTCGCGTTAATTTGGTTATCTACCAACTTTGTATTGTAATCTATATCTGTGTATGCAGAGTAAAACTAATCTTTTTTTTTTATTTATGAATATCTTTCAAGGTCAAAACATGGTTTTAGTTATCCTGAATAAAACAACCTTTAATGTTTTTTTCAATTTAATTCAGGGTTGTGTACGTATTCGATTCTACACAATAAACATGTCTTAGTTTTTTGTGTAAGCTGTAACCTTTTAGCATAAATATCCCCTCAATGGTAGCACCATGTAGGCTAATGATGTCTAAATTACGCCTAGCGTATGTGATGAAATTCACACCAGTCAAATGTAACTATGCCGAGACTGATGAACAATTCAAATAGTAACCAACTGGCTATAGTTTAGTTAAGCTGAACGCGGAATTTGATGCCACAAGAGGATTGCCTAGGAATCCTCTTCATCCAACACCTTCTAAAAGGTTTTAGTAATCTTGATAACGAATAATTGTTGACTCAAGCTGTGTATATACTGCTAAACCCGTTTATCAGTTAATAAAAACTACCATTTGGCTTGGGCATTTGTTTTTTAGGTGATTCAAGAGAACGTGCTACAATCTTCCGCTGGTCAAATGTTTAAACAAATGAACGTCAAAGTTGCAATAATGCAGAATGTAGAGGCAATGATAAAGTCATACGTCAATGCCCTAGAGAAAGCTCCGTCCACAGAAAAGGTGAAATTCTTGTATTTTCATATTGATTTTTTGAAAAATAAAAAGCTTGCATAGCGATAAAGTTATGTATACTTTATCCAAAAAGAAGATATTGCATTGCAATATTAGCCTCTTATCTAAGAAAATTCTAAGAAATATAGGAAACAAAAAGAAAATATCTAATTAAGAATATTTGTTATTTACGTGAGTTACATATAATTGTTGTCAAAGAAAAATTGTTTTCTTTTTGTCAATTCGTTTCTCTATATATATATATTTAATTTTTTTTAATATTTAATAACATATAGGTCCGTCAGCCTGGTACGCATTATGGAATTTGTGTACCTAGACATTTCTGAACTTAGACTAATCTTCCAACTATTATGTGGATTAATATCTATTAATACATTAATTCGAGTACAAATTAGCTAATTGATATCCATTTTCCTTGAGAATACTCTCGTATATGATAGACGCAAACAATTTTACGCGAGGTCTTAGATCGTGGCTGTGGAAACAGCCCAGGTGGCCGCCTTTCAATCGAAGACAAACTCTTAATCACATTGGCGAATGTTGCTGTTAGTCGTGAGCACGTACTTCGACGTATCAAAGACGCATTTGATAACCAACAGTATCCCGATATAACGGACATCATAAATGTAGGTGAAAAATTAATCCGTTTTGCCATGTGTCATCATTTGTTTAAAATTTGTTATTAAAATAAACGTTATTAAAATTGTTAAAATTATTAAAATACCAGTAGTATATTCTAGTTTGTACTCATTTAGTGAATACAGACTTAATAACTGCACTTTTGGTAGAGATAACTTTTTTTCATTTATTGCTTTATACCATGGGTAAGTTATCACATATGTTAGTTTCATATAATGTAGTATACTTGTAACGCATGTAAAATGACTCTATCGTTAGTGGATGCTTTTATTGGGTCCAGATACTAACTGCTACTTACGCTTTTTTTTTTCATAGGAAGGAGATCGGTTATTAGCTCAGGTGGATCAAAGGGTTTTACAACTTGTTATCAGCCGACTGCAAAGACCCCTCGTTGATATGGTTGAAGAACTTATGCAGGAGTACAGCGTCGAGTGGAACACTCCCAAGATACCAAACGATGTTTCAACGTATGTTAAGGTAAGTTTGCTGCAAGAGATCTATCTCTAACCTTGGAATTTTCGGAGTTGACTTAACTATTGTTACTACGAAGATTTCGCTTAATTTATTAATCATACTTCGTTTCGAAATAAAGGCCAACTTAGCGTTCTCCATACACGAACGAACCTCCATACCTAATTTAAAAAGTGAAACCTTAGACAATTTGGGTAAATAAATAAAGCTGTTTCTTCATTCATATATGCATGCTTACCATAAAAAGACTGACAAGCTTCATCCACAGGAATTTTTCAGAAATATAATGAAGGTCGTCTGCCGTAAGTACCTGATGCTATAAGTACCTGAGACTCTATACCTCACGCTCGTGTATTTGTTCAACAAGACGAATGACCTCTGTTTGATATTAAGGCAATTTAAAAGGTAATTTTTGTAACATACTGCGTCTGGCTTTTACTCAGGAATTACTTCTGGAGCTGACAGAGGTTCAACAGCAAATCTTACGCATCTGCCCTACGCTTATTGAGCGGGTGCTACCCCCGATAGCAGCCGCACTTGTCGCTGAGGTTGCTCGCCAATGCCAGCACGTTAAAGCGACATCTGTGCAAGGAAACAATCTACAAATATGCGTTGACATTTTGGCACTAGAAAGCGCCCTTAGGTCCCTTGATAAAAACAACCTTTTGTGAGTTCACATTATATATATATATTATTGCTAAAGATTTGTAATCTCAGGAGAGTTATAACGGGATTACAGGAAAGGTGTAAGAAAGGCGTAAGCGAACCATAGTTAACGTATTGGACACGCTTAGCGCGAGTAAAATTTGTTTATAATATAATGAGCTGCTGAAATAACTCCAAGGTGTACGGGACCAAATTAGTCTAATTAATGATAAAAAAAGTGGTGGGCGAAGCTTGCGGGTCCGTCCAGTATCACAGTTGCATGTTTCTGAAGACGGATCAATCACAAATGCATGAGAAGAGTCGTTTAATATTGTGTAATTCATTAGTAATTCTTAGCATAATTGCCCAAATAGCGGCTAATAACTTGTTCGCTATTAAATACGTTTTCAGCGAAGTGTTGCGGCCATGTAAGGATCGGTTGGGCGCCACAGATAGAACCCATAAGGAATTGGTAGACGACGTTGTGAGACAATTTAAATTTAATCAGCGTTTGCAGATTATGTGTTTTCAATGAAGCAATGATTCGCCAGGACGCGGGGCAATGAACCCCATATACAGCAACTGTTATCATCTGGAGACGAAATATTCTTAAGAATTAGTTCATATTTATATTAGTATGTTTCATACATTTTTATATAGTAATACAGTAATTTTATTAAAATAGCAACGATCTATAAGACAAGTATCAGGAGCATAATATAGACGAAAGACAAGAGTAGTATCGTTTATAATTATATTTAGATATTTTCTTCCGAACTACAAGTACATTTAATGGGAGAATAACAATAAAATTGGTTTCTCTCTCAAAATGATTTCTCTTTTTCTTAGCTAACATATTCCAAGTAAATTACTAAAATTTTAACGTCGACAATATTCTAGTAGTGTAGACACACTATATTTATGTATAGTAGTTTCATCCCATTTCTTGCTTGTATTTCTATTTTATTGTAATTATTATAACTTCACTTATTTTTCCTATACGTACATACACTTATATACAAAATATATATCGATTCATTCATATCAAACAGTATATTTGTTACGTTAATGCGCCGATGCTACTGGAGTTTACTTCGTAGTATTTTCGCTATTTCGCCTACAAGCTAAAATACGGTTATTATATCCTTGAAGGTTACGACAGCTTACATGATCTTATTTTAGGACTCATTTTTATAATTGTTTCCGAGTTACTAAACAATGCTACATTTATTAATAGATTTTGTTTTATGTGAGGATACGAAAATAGGGTCATTTATTGGGTATAGTATGTGTTGTTACCTGTTCTGGAACATGTGGCCATGTGGTACACATTTCGAAAATAGTCATTCGTTTCTTTGACATAACTAGAATAAAAGGTTCCACTTGTCGGCGGGTCGGTCTTTTTGACGATTTTGTCAAATTTTGTTTTTCCCCCAAGACAGCGGCAATAAACCTTTCTGGAAAATCCCACAGGATCACGACGCACACTTAGAATTCACGAGAAAACATTGCGCAGTCTAGAGAAGAACACAGCACTGATTTGTCTTTCGCGCCTGAAATGACAACATATAGAAGCATTTAGTGTCAATAGATATCCCTTAATTAGAATGTTGACAATTCCATATTTGAAGAAAATACGAAACTGAAAGTACGACATATAGACATGGTGTAATACGAGGTAACTTGACGTACCAACGATTATGTCATCCGAGCATTTTGTTTAGGAGAATGCTGAGCTCAATTTTAGTTTAAAAAAAAAAAGACGATTTCCTCAAATGCTCATTTAGCCACATATTTCAGCCCGTGTGGCTTTACAGTTGCGTATGTAACAAACAAGTGGTAGATCATACTTATTCGTATCCTCAACAAGTGAATTTTCATTGCAGAAAGTTTCGTACAGAACTTAATGCATTATCTCTACGAGTCTGTAAGCAAGTTATTCTTGGGTAATCGTTTTAATAACGCAAGTAAAAGCACAACAAAATCACACTCGTTTTGGAGAAACTAACCGTTTTGTAAAACATTTTACTCTGAGAGCTGAGATCATCTGATTTGGCGACAAGATCGTCGAGTTTTTCTCCTCTCTCCAAAACTGCCTCGATCGTGTTATGTAGAATAATTTTCGTCTCGTCTAGATCAGCCTGGATTCTTAACATAGCGTCCGCCTGATTGGGGGTTTGGAACTTGGCCAACTGGGCCTCCAAACCCGGTAAGGGGAACGAGCTTCCCGATGACCAGGTATCAGGAGGGTACTTCGCCGCAAAATCATCTAAGACCTACCGAATGAATTACATGTTTAAAAATGATAATTCTTTATAACCAAGCGTATTTGGTATGCTAATGTGTAACGTGCATTAAACGTACTGCATTATAAACTCTGTGAAGATATTGGAATGCGTTGCAGTAACCAAAGCATCACTACGCTTTATTTAATGGAAGTTTAAAAAACTTTAACATAAACCAACGAGAAACAATTGGAGTTATACCACCGATAAGTCTATTATTTTTATTCTCTTTCTTCCTGCTCGTTTATTATTGCGACTAAACACGTATAACAGAATTCTGAAAAGAAGCTTTACTAGATGTTCGTCAATAATTTGAACATCTCAGCAAGACGAACCTTCGCGTTTTAAACATTAAAGCGTAATTTAAAAGTACATAACTGGTCAACAGGAATAACTGCTATTTACGATTTAGTAAAATTGAGTTTACCTTACCTTATTAATAAACGTATGAGCGACTCTGTTGGGATATTCGTGATCCGAAATCAGTACACCCGACAGGCCATCGCAACGTAAGTAACAGTGGCACATGTACTCTGAAATAGTATTTGAAATAGTATAAAGTTATCGATATTAAAGCGAGTTTCAACAAATTCCAGGTATTTGCCTACATAAGTTCACTGCGGTTACTGTTAGAGTAGTTACTCTAAGAACGTAGACATACTATTGTAAAGGCTGCGATGCAACTAAAACTTTCCGGACTCACTGGTCCAATTGAAATGTTAATCACAGTCACAAACAAGATTAGGAGGAATTTAGCCTCGAAATCAAGTGCGCTTCTTTAGGCAAACATAGTCATATACTAGATCCTACAAAAGGCATTAATTTCGCTGACAAGAGCAGGACTCCTTCTATACTGTAGCTTGTATAGTGCCATCTGTCGTTGCAAGACGTCGCAGACTTTCGTAAATCAGATAGCCAGAAGTGATGATACGCACAGAATTTCACTTTACTTCTAACCTATGACCTAAATTGAAACGCTGTAGTTTTAATGAGTTTTAATGAATAAGAATAATAGAAACTATACGAGCACTGTGGTGCCTCAACGCTAGTCCGACTGCTAGCGTGATTTAAATACTAAGTTCGAAATTGAAACGGAAAGTTTTGATAACAACTTTACTGTAGCTTTTTTACGGCAACTTAAAAATTATTGAATATGTTAATATTAATCAGAAGCGATATTACAGATACGCTTACAATATTGGTAGAAAGCTGTTTTGTTGACAGTTATTTTGTTTATGGGCACAGTCGTCTCGCAAAAATTGCTATGAAAGAGAAGCTTCTGCTGTAGTCTAGCGGTAGTACTCAGCCACGATATAATTCACTCAACTTGATATACTGTTGTTCCTAATATCATCACTAGCCATCAAAGCTGCATTTACCTCCTTCTTTGATTGTGGTTCTGGTGGTAAGTTGCATTCTTTCGACAACGACGCTCGATGTAAATTTCATAAACTCCGCCGCACTGAAATTTCATTGCTGCTAGTTAGATCTTATCTACATTACGCATTCAACACAGAACCCAATAATAACGCAGAGGCCTTTCCTACATGGGACTATATTTCAGGATAAAAGTATCTTGGTTTTCTCGGCCTCTGAAAGCTCGAAGTTAACTACTAATCTATGAATGGCATCAATTCTTAATCATGGAGTATTGTACAGGTTAATAGTTACACAATATGTGTAACAATATTATTATACGCCAATTAATATTATTAATGTAGTATTATTATATTTAACTAATATTATTACTATACTTGAATAAAAACTCCTTATTTAATTAGCAACGTTCTTTCTCTTACTTATGGTACTCAAAGAGCACCATTTGATCAAGACCGAACTCACGTTGCCCGATCTTTCACGTGAACGTAACCACCGGCTATTTTCCAATCAGATTGGCCCGATCCTATCTACTATTAAAAATCAATACTAAACAATCAAATACGTACAAAGGTTTCCATGAATATATAAGGTATTCACAAAAGGTATCGACTCAAACTGCTTAACCTACTTTCTTTTCGATGCCGCCGAAACATGGCCTTTACGTGTGGTGACACGATGTTATTGGCACTATCTCACTCAAATTCACAACTAATATCAGTGTATCTCCGGATTGATTTACTAACACCAATAAATAAAGAAAAGTTCTTATTGTGTACACTACTTTCATTAAGAATGTCATATATATAGATATTTTTTAGTATATATTCTAAGATCAAAGGTATTGTGCGATTAAATATGGCTAACAAAAGAACTACAGCAAAGCAAAAAAGAATGTTGATTGCTAACCTGCCAAGACATTATTAAGACCTACCCTATTTAATTTTTGATGAGGCTATAAAATATTTTGAATAAATAAAATACAGCCACCTTAATGATGGCTCAAACGTATTAGGTAAGTTCAGGAATTATCTTACAAACCTAGATCGCTGGAAGAAACCAATTGATGAAAGGTCGCTAGCTGCCGTCATTAGCGTCACCTTTGACTGGTACTTATAAAGTACCGCAATATGGAAAAGCTTTACCATTGTGAAACTTCTGGAAAGTTAAACATCAAAAATACGATAAAAACACAATCGAGTTATACATTTGGGTGCACACCTCAGCTTGTTTACGATTTGTGAAAAACAATTCAGTTCCTCCTTTTTCTCTACTTGTTTATCTCAACCAAGTGACCGACACGCATCTCATTGCAATTATAATTACAGGACAGAAATAAGTACCAGGTACTCCGGGAATGTCTTAAGAGGTTTGGAAGCCAATTGTATGATCTATAGCAGAGTTCTATTTAATATATCTTATATATACCACTCCCTCAAACTAGCACGCAAAGAAATTAGAAAATATTCAGGACTAAAATATTACTTAACAGTGCTATTTACTTGTCTCTCTTAATTGTACATGATATGCCTGTCCAGACGGATTAGTCAAAGAGTTGCGAGCCAATTGGGAGACCTAATAAGCTGGCCATGATTCGATTAAAAGATGACAGACAATCAGTCAGAGCAATCTGACCGCCTTGTTCTCTAGAGTATCACAGTGTACATGACTGCTCTGTGACAAAACGGTACGCAAATGTTCTTACGCGACGGGGTTATTCACTTGACGCGGAAACTGGCTGTCACTTGTACCCCGTCAACACAAAAAAACACTCCACGAACACTCACACAAAGGAAACCCGCTACGAAGGCCCGACTCGCAGACATATACCAGTCTGCGTATAAGAGAAACGTCACACACTCTGTGGTTTACCGCTTGCTGTCTTCGCTACCACCCGCTACCCGCATACGAAACCCACACAACAACACAGGCAAAACCATTGATAAGGTCGGAGAAAGTTGGAAGAAAGAATTGATTTCGAAACCACTCGCCGTCAAATATCGCAAATGTTCGCAACATTTGGAAGTTGCTTAGTAAATTTTCGTTCTCTATGTGTATTTGGAAAAGAAATATTTGTGGTTGGTTAGCACACGTTAGTGGTTAGCAATACATTTGCTTAGAGCAATTGAGTCTGAACTAAAAATAAATTCGGCTTGAAGTGTCTTCTGCTTACCGAAACGGCTCGATGTTTATTTACTGTTTGAGAGGTCTTTTTCCAGTGGCCATCTTGCTGTGAGGTTGGTTTCTCTTAAATTTGTGCAGTTTAATCCGTAGAAATCAATAAAATTGACGGCACTCAGACACTATTACGTGTTTGAGTGAAGCTATAGTTATTCATTTCTCACGAGAAAGTTCGTGTCAAGTCATGGTGCTATGTTACAGTTCTACAAAAAATGGTGTTCCACACCACTATGCTAGTATCCGTTGAATCCAGACACGTTTGGGTATTAGGAGCTATATTGAGTTGGCCACGTTTACCGGTTAATTTGTTTTATATCTCATTAATAATTTAAGTATTACTAATTACTTGTAGTTATCAAAGGAAATGTCACATTCAAATGGCTCCTTGGTGTTAGCAGACTTCTATAAATTTTCGCATAGCACTCGAATTCACGTGTACCTTAAGATACCGTGTTGTGGTCGGTTCGACTGTCGTATGCCTTATAGAATGATGGTGTACATAAGAGAAGGATTCAGTGTGAATGTGCTTTATAGATTTCGCCGTTAACATCTTTTAGTTCGGACAAAAGAAGGCTGCTGTTGGATACAATGTTTGACTAGTGCAATATTTAAGATAATTTCTTTTTTTCGTTTTGAACGACTGAACGTCTCGTTTGAACGATGAAACGTTTGATTTTAAGCTTCAATATTTAACATTGGTCCTCGCAGGATAATTTCTGCGCATCAACTTGATTACTTACTTGTCATTCTCTCTCTATTCGACTATTACAGCTCGAAAATGAAGAGAAACCAGTTTGTGTCTTCTTCACGACGGGTGGCCCGCAGGCGCCACTTCAACGCGCCATCGCACATTCGCTGGAGGATCATGTCCGCGACTCTCTCAAAGGACCTCCGTCAGAAGTACAATGTTCGCTCGATGCCTATCCGTAAGGATGATGAAGTACGTACCATCGTTTTAGCCTAGGATAGTGTATTTTTGAGACAAGTTGCTTCTTTTGTGGTTATGAGCAGGGTAATTATATATGTATGTACTTTTTCGATGTTCGAAAATGGCGGAAGTGACTTATTACAAATTTCTGAATTCGTCCTCGATGTTCTTTGTCACGAACTAAAATGTTGTTAAAGTGCGTGTCGTGTTTGAGGTCGTACCTACATCAGTCAGACACGATTGTGGCAATGTTCAAGGCAGCACTGGACCAAAAACTCACAGCATTTATTCAGATGTTATTGTTAATAACCTATTCCCTAATTCAACATCGACAGTAAAACACAACCGAATTGTAATGTAACAATTTCATGTGCTTTAAAGTTTGTGGATTTTTTTCATTTACTTACTATCTGTCAACAGGTTCAAATAATGCGTGGGCACCACAAGGGCCAACAAGTTGGTAAAGTGGTGCAGGTGTATCGCAGACGATATTGTATATACATCGAGCGTATCCAGCGAGAAAAGGCCGACGGCAACTCCGTGTACGTGCCCATCCACCCGTCAAATGTCCAAATTGTTAAACTAAAGCTTGATAAGGACAGGAAGAGCCTACTTGAACGTAAGGCTAAGGGCCGCCTGGCTGCGTCGGACAAAGGCAAGCACTCCGAAGAAAGTGTCAAAATGGACACCGCTTAAACGTTGGACGTCAATAAAAACCAAGAGTTTATTGTGACGTGAACGTCGGCAAATTTTTGTGTTTTTATTATAAAGCAGCGACGAGAAACTCAATAAAGCGTGTCCATGTTTGTTTATGCTGGGAATATCCTAGAGTCGTTTGACATCTAGTGAAAATATTCGTTTTTATGAGAAGAATAAATATTGGTACCGCAAGTGTAAGACCCAGTATGTGTCGCTAAGTTACAGGTCGTATCACCGATTTATTAGAATTCTCGTAAAAACTATAACAGATTCCATGTAGGGTTGCTTTGGCAAACCACATTAGATAGATACAGCAAAATGTCCTATGAGAAAGCGGATGACAGGATCTGTGCCAGGGATAGGCCAGCTTCAGCTAAGCTCTACTGGTTCAAATCAAATATGCAACACGCTGGCAGTCGAAGTTCCATATACAGTTTGCAGAAAAAAACACTACGCGTTCAATATAAAAATAACTTTCATGTTAAACGTGTACGTGTTCCATAAGTGCGTAGGACATGCATAAAAGGTGTAGCAATCGACAGAAGCAAACGATATTCTTAATTTGAGTTCGACGTGATGAGTGCCTACCTGGAGGAAAATATGCAAACGACATATAGACCGAAACCTTAAGTGAAGCGTCAGGTTTGGTAAAGAAATAGTTTAAAAAGGTAAGGCACGGATGAGCGGAAACTGCTTGAGCATCTCCTGGTCGCGTCAAGCAACGAGTTATAAATTAAAACCCTACATAAAGAGCCGCAGTTAAAAACAGGTAATGGAAAAACTAGTTTGAAAAAACACTATGATTATTCTTCATTATCAACGATTACATTAGAAATTATCTCATTAAAAGGCAGAAATCGATGTACATCGCAAATCAAGAAGTGAGTTACCCCAATTATCTGTGATGTAGCTTCCAAAACTCCCATCAGGAGCTTGACCAATGATGCAAAGATTCTAATCAGTTAGACAAACTTGCTTAGTTTAGGATCTTGGGATAACATTACACTAAAATAACTTAAAAAACAATAAAAGACAACTTGTGCCATGCTCAAAAATATGAAAAGCAGAAGCAACCAAACCGTATGCTTTGCAACCATCCTCGGCGTACTATATCCCCTCTGCAACGAGACAGAAAGAGAAGACAATTTAACAACCGGACGCCCTGTTTATAAGGGTCGACCTTCTTATGTCCAACCACCTCACACAAATGTAATTATGTTCAGTCCTACAAGAATGCTTTTAGTTAAATACAGTATCATTATTTTAAAATACGCCTAATGTAATTTGGAATGGAATAATGATAGTAGTAATAACAAAACAAAGCATGATAAATGATAATCAAATTAAATAGTCTGCTTAATAGTAATTTATTTATTCCCGTAATATGCACCTTTTTACAGTTAAACATTAGCGGTCTTCTTCATCGTTGTATTCAATGCTTCAATGCTGTATACCAAACACGTTGGTCCTAGTGTAAGGAAAATAAGATACAACTCTTTAAAAGTAAACACACTTGCAAAGCTCGTCAAACACAAAGTTGGCGTGCAGGGGCACAACGCCTTGAAAACCCTAGCTCTTCAGAGCTTGAAAACGCTCTCCAAGCGCTGCGAGATCCTCTTCCTCCTTTGAAGAACTGGCAGGCTCTTCTAAATTTCCGTGAACCGCGGCTGGAGCCGTGTCTAAAGCTCCTGTGAATGAAACGTAAGCCAAGACAAAATCGAGCCTCAATTAATTGACGAAAAAGTATGGTAAAAAAAAGGCATTCTTGAGAGATGGTTTTACTAACTCGTGATAAATTAACATAAAGAATTACGCCTTGTCCATGGTCATGTAGTTGGTTGCCAGATTATATGAATAGCGTTATAGTATCGAAACGAAAATACCAAAGGGCGAGTGTTTGGTTGCCCTATAACTATTCACGCCGCACACTTGCCTGCGGTAACTTCAAATATGACTTTGTCAATTTCCTCCTGGGCCTCTGCCTCCATTTCCTCATTGTTATCAAGTGTTTCATCTAATGTGTCTTGCATTATCTGCAACAAAGATAAGCGGTCAGTTTGTAAGATAAGAGTCTGAGAAACAAGATGAGATGCAAGATATGGTTAAGTATAATTGAAGCTTAAAAAAGGTACTTTAATACTCTCGAAGCAAGCATATGCCGGAAGAAATCATAGATCAGCCGGACTACTACACTACTTTGAAAGGCATAATAAAAAGTTAGTCATTTAAATTAATTTCATTTTTAAATTTAAACTATTATGTTTCGTAAGTGTCCATCGTACCTCTTCAATGATGCCAGCTTTCATCATTTCCTTCGAGAGTTCTTGCATCGTCTGTGCAACTTCGGGAACTTTCACTAGCGACTGCATGGACTTCATCACATCCGTGCTCTTCTGCAGCGATCCAGCAACACGAAGGGTAGCTAGAAATATCAACAATGAAAAGATATTATTACGCGTTCAGAACTCGATTAGCTAACCGATTTGCGTGACATGTATTTGAAAAATTCCAAAGATTTACTGCAATGTTGGTACCGGTGGAGAACAGATCTACCGTCTAGAATAAATTTAAATACGCAACCGAGGTCACGCTCTTACCGAGCTGATGGTTGATGCCCATGATCACTGAGTTGATTTGTGTTTTCGAAACATGTATTCGAGCAATGGCTTTGCGCGATCGGACCACTTCTCTTGCTAGAATATTGCAAACATCTCTATCGCCCTTTTTTGCAGCCTCCTTGAGACTTTTCTTGATCTTTTCCTCCTCGCGTTGAATATCTACAAGAAACATAATAGAAAATCAATTGGCGCTCAATCGATGTAAGAGTAAACGATGTCACGTAAAAAGTCAACTGAGAACCTCAAACACGTACGATTATGCATATATCACAAGATCCATGCAAAATATAACCATACTTCGAATCTGCCGATCGAGTTGGTATGTCTCCTTCCGTAGCTTCGAAATCCATTCTCGTACCTATAGAAAAATAGAAAAGAAAATTATACAGTTAACGAAACTGCAGATATCACTTGTGAGTAAACTTTTTCTTAGTTTCTAATGATTTAAGGACGGCTAACAAGACCTGAAACAAAAATAACAGAAATTTTTACACATTCTATAACCTTTTTATCTTGCAGTTGTGTATAGTTGCAACTCACCTGAAATATGTTTCTTTATTGCTCAATCACATTTTCCTCTGTCATAGATTTTTGCAAAATATAACATGAACAACGTAATGATTCTTTCTGCGCTTGCATTAGAACTGAACGTTTTTTACTGATATACTAAAATGGAGTCACACATCTACAATAATTGAATTTAACATTACGAAAGTTGATTATTAAATAATGTCTTTACCAGCTGGAAAACACTTCGTCCCAAGAGCAACTCAGGCTAGCTGTAAAATTATAAAGAAATAAATATGTACTCATTATAGATGTTGTTAGTATCACTTACCTGATCTTTAGGTGTTTTATCCTTTCCAAACAGACCCATTGTTTGTCAAGTATCGAGTGTGTTTAACAACCAACCAAGTTTTCCCAGCAGCACTCGTATCCACGCTGTGTGCGAGCTTGCGCAATAGTCGCACAAAAATTAAACAGATATCACAGTTTCGCATCACATCGAATCGGATATGTTGACTAATACCAGATTTTCAATCAAACGAAAAATTTTATGATTGATTCGTCCGTAGCTCGTGACACCCTTTCTCCATCCATTCTACCCCGTTCGAAACAACAATAATATCTTCTCTCTCTGTTGCTTATTTGACAGGAAACTGGTGCTTGTAATATCTACCTTTCTACATAATGAAAATTTTTCTAATCTAAATTTTTCTAAGAGATGGATGTTCTGTATCGAAACATGTTAATAAGTAATTATACCGTTAGTTTCCCTTACGGAAAAATTTCTAAAAAATGTTAAGACCTAGTGCTAGAAGAATCATCTATGGTGTAACGTGTTGATCAAGAAGCTGTCTGGGATTACTTGAAAGATAAATCAGACACACAAACGTTTTGAGAACGCAGCCTCCTCGTGCAGTATTCCGAGTTCACGAGGAACATTGGAGAGAAGTCGTGTATTTTTTATCATATCTCCTGTCCATAAACTATGCTTGTTACGTAGTGGAAAGAAAATTTATTCTCAGTGTGATCGTTTTCGTGTGGTGACCACTCGTGTAATCAACGGCTCTATAGCCTGCCAAAAAAACAGGCTAAGCGGTAATATAACATATATCTCGAAATGGATGAGTACACGCGCGAACCATGCCCCTGGCGCATCGTGGACGACGCTGGAGGCGCCTTTTCGATGGGTCTCATTGGTGGTGGAATTTTCCACTCTATCAAAGGTTATCGCAATGCTCCAACAGGATTTAGCCGACGGTTAGCTGGATCCCTAACGGCTATCAAAACTCGCGCACCCTTTACCGGTAGGTGAACTCAATATCAGACTGTAAAAGATGTTGAAATAGAGCCTAGAATCGAGAACGGAAGATGAAGTAGTTCATTAGCAGCGGTGGCAACAGTTCCGTTACTAAGCAAACCTTATAGAAAGTCACATTTTAGTGAACTGTGCCTGTGACTGATCTTCCCTTGGGTTCACCTCAGCTTTCGGAGGACGGTTCCTCGGGACACTCCACCAGCAATGATTTTCCGGTACCTAGCACCGTCTGCGGAGGGCCTCCTTGCTACCTGAAGTCAGTAAGGCATAATGAGGAATTTAAATTAAAAAATATAAGGACTCTAATACCTAAGTTTGCGAAGGTCTAAAAATGGTTTATTGACCGAAACTTCTGTAGTTGCTCTTTTTGTATGTATGCAGTTGCCTCCAGGTTACCAAAATGTTTTTATAGGAAAACAAGTGCTCTGTTAAACAATAACTGTACTATAGATTGATGTCATTACTTCGAAATATTGGCTTTCCTTTCTATTTAGTAATACACTTTAGTTGACGGTGGGCCCGGAGAAGTCACTCACAAGTTTTCAAGAAAGCATCATTGTATAACAAAATTTGTGAGCGTATTTACTGCTAATCTTTAACGAAACTTGTGGATGCAGAAAATCTGTATTTGAGTGCAAAACTATTAAATGGACTTCAAACCTAAGACCCTTATAAAGAATATGTGCGGAAGAATATTATTTCCGATAGTTATCCTTTAGTTACCGGAAATGTAGTCAAAAAGGTAGTTTACCGGTCTTTGTCTCCTTGTACCTATCTCAACCAAATTTATATTTGGCTGAGTTTTATAACAGCTAAGAGGCCACTTATATTAACGTGTGTTTCTATTGTCTGTTTTTATAGGTGGTCAATTTGCTATGTGGGGCGGGGTGTTCTCAACAATCGATTGTTCATTGGCGCATATTAGGAAGAAAGAAGACCCATGGAATTCGATTGCGTCTGGAGCAATTACAGGTGGTATCCTCGCTGTCAGACAAGGAACAGGAACAATGGTGGGATCAGCTATTATTGGTAAGGCTAGTTGTCAACATCAGAATAACCAGCCCAAACTTTGGATCAAACGTAGTTTTACTAAATAGGTAGCGAGTAAGCAATAAATTAACAATGAGGAAATGAAATTTATTGGAGTAAGCTACTAAAAAAAGTAACAGCAGACAATACACATTCATACCAATTCAATGCAAATTCACTGTAGTGGAAACTGATTTAAGCAAACGACATTAATTAAAAGCTGCAACTTCTATAACATCCAGAAACATGTTTCGATGCACGCCTAGCTGTAGTACCGAAAGAACGGTGCGCTCGTTAACACATTGTTACAATTTTAACTAAACTTTCGCCGGACATTTTAAAAACAGTGAACTGATACACACTCTTGGCAAGACAAATTATATCAAGTAATTGTTGCTTCGACTTCATGCTAGTAAAGTGTTGACTGAATACCGTTACTTTTCAGGTGGTATTCTTTTGTCGCTAATTGAAGGTGCGGGAATCCTGTTCACACGTATGCAATCGGAACAGTTCAAACCCATTTCCCCATTAGACATGCCTCTAGAGGGTAGTAGCGAATCGGCAAACGCATAATGACGTTGTGTAATTCGTAGACGCATAGTTGTCGAACGATGTAAATGTGCTTTTAGCTTATGTTAAATATATTGAGGAATATCGACAAAGTCTAGGAGAAATGTCACCGAAGGCGTTGTTGTAGCGAATACTGTATATCTGTTATTCGCTTACACTATAAATGCGCTATAAGACTGCTCGAAGAGAAAGACAGACTGCTCGAAGAGAAAGACGAAAATAAAAATAATTTTATATATATATATACATAAGAAAAGTAGTGTTATATTTATTTAACATCAACTTTTATCTGTCATGTGTTACTACACACTGCGTTGGATGCTTTGAGTACCTTTGAAGGAAGTTAGTAGGAACCTGATTCAGATCATGGCAATATTACGGTTTGAGTGCAATAACGATATGCTAATTGACTATTCGAAAGTAAATAACTTCAATACGCATTTAATAGCGTTTTTTTTGTTGAATGGGTCATCGATAGAAAATATCAAATGCTGGATCAGCGTGCTCCACCGTAACGAGGACATCTTGAAACTTTTCCAGAAGCGCCATGAGTCTTGTTCGAGTTACATTTACACAGTATATCATATGCTCGATATGATTTTTGCCATCAAAAAAGGGTAATAATTTAAAGAACAAGGCCTGATCTTGCGGATCCTTAAACACTGGTAAATCTTCGATGAGTTTTCGTTGTTTGGGCTTCATAATCCGCCAGATTTGCGGCGTCTCTGATCCGTCGTCAGGAATCTGTTCATCTTCGATTGCAGTTTTTACAGAGTTCTCCCTAAAGTCGCTAGTTGAACCAGATGTAGGCCAATTCAATGTGTTTTCTGTTGAGTCGTCGGGCAGAACAAGATATACGTAAAGGTGGACCTGCATCAGTATTCGTTTCTGCAGCGACCACACAACGATATCTTGAAGCGTTTGCAAGTGGGAGGGTTCGTGAAGCTGAGGATTGTACAGGTGTGAAAGACTCGTCGGCAAAGAGAATTCTGCTAGCATAGAGGCTAGCGACATTTGTGGGAACTTGTTCGAAAACTCAGTTACGAGTGGATGCTGCAGCTTAGTAGGCGCATTTGGTGCGACGACGTAACGATTTGTTGGCTTAACAGGAAAAATCACGATGGCGTGCGCAAAATACACCAGTGGGAAAGCCATTTCTAGAACGGTATCGAGAAATATGTCGGTATCATACCCTAGCTCGATCATGTTTTTTGTAGCCGATGCGCACTTTATAAGACGTTCGAGAGCCCGTCGATATTCGCTTGACAATTGTTTGAGTAGCTCTTCGGGGGTCACAACAAGAAGTAATGCATGGTATGGCTTAATATGTTGCGAGATTTGGTCCATACACTTACGAAGCACGTCCGTGTGAGCTGACGTCGATGACGCATTCAATTTATGGGTTTTATGCACGACACAAAATGGCATGAGATTTTTGTTGTTAATTTTTAGGTACAGCGCTCCAGAATTGCACAACCCGATGAAAGCTTGTTGCAGCATGCGAGCTAGGTCGCTTTCCTGAAGAATGCGAGCGAATGGACTCGGTCGGGAAATTTCACCTTCAGAAGTGTCTGATTCATTTCCATCATTATCATGAATTTGGATCATAATACTGCATTGCTGCGTGAAATACCGTGACGTGGCTTCTTCCCTGCAAAAAAATAAACAGAAATTGTAAATTTAAGTAAAAAATAAATCACCAGAATGATATTAGAAAACATCCCGTTTCACAAACCTATGTTCCGTGTTTCACAGAGTAGATCCACTTCATCCTTTAAGCAAAAAGATTATATTAGAGAGTACACAATGAAAATGCAAAATAATTACGTTTAAATAAAAGAAAGAGTGGACGGCATTTGAGAGTTTTGTGCTGTTGCCTTAAGAAACTTACTCAACAATTTCGTCTATCAGCCGAATGTCTCATATTTCTAACCAAATAATCTCGTCAGTTTTATGCAGATGCACTGCGGCATGCGCCTTAGCAGCAGTGACAAAAATTAATATTTTAAATTTAAGAGAACACTTTTTGCAGAGTCCAATGTTTACTTGCACACTGAAGTGGCTATTTTTCGGCTCAAGTCATGGTATTGTTGTACGATTTCATGGCTCGCTTGCGCTTTGAGTGCAAAAACAGCGTTGAGCATTTGCGTAGGTGGCTCTTGCCCATCGACGTTCCCATGGCGAACAGCCCCACTAACCCCCTGCGAGTCGACTGGAGCTGTCTGCCGGGTACCTCCGGTTCCAGGACCCGCTGGCCCATGTCGGGGCCCGCCACCATCCGTTTGTTGAACCATGATAGGATGGCCCACAAAGCGTACATTGTTCACCTTCAGTTCAAACTTCTCGTTGCATAGACCCTGGGGACAGGCAAACAGGTTCGAGATCTGTTCATCTGAGATCCTGAAATTCCGTACATTTATCCCATAAGTATGGCTTTAGGATAATCCATTCTAACCTACTTACGAACCACCTATGGTAAATATAACAAGAGAAGTTTTCTTGTAATTTACCATTTAGTTGACATGAACGTTACTGAGCCTTTTTACGAAGACACTAGTTTCCTGATATTCACATTCGTCACTGTGGGATAAATGTAAGTTCTCGAATTCCCATGAAAGAGCGAGGATGAGAATTTATTGGAAGCTTGAGAACTCAATTCGTTGTTGCTCATGATCGTATCAATAACAATAACCAAGATCCAGGAATGAGAGTATTCTAGCTTGGCGCTGGATGCAGTACGCATTCGAACTTATTTTAACGAAAATCCTTGGCTTCGTGAAAGAAATCGGGCGGAAACTCAATCTACTTACTTAACGTAGTTTCCCTCAAAGACGTCTCCTGTCCACGCCGAACGCGAATGGAATAAATTTTCATCGCTATCCTCAATCGCATATGGGTTTCTTGGGCCAACTGAAATAATCGTTTATTCTAATAATAGGTTAGCTATGAGAAGAAATATCGCTTTCACAATTCATGTAACATAGGATTTGGGTAAAGCCGCAACCTGAATGGAACGAAGGCTTTAAGATCGCCTGGTAAAATGAATAAAACGAGAGCAGTTTTCTAGTATTTGGTAAGCAAAACATACCATCTGATCTTGGGTCTTTAGCAGGCTGAAAAGGATACTTGAAGAGAAGCCGAGACCCATTGGCATCTCGGCGGACAAGGAATACTCCAAGTGGCGAAAGATCATCCATCTAAAATGTAGGAAGCCATAGTTATTTGATACATCATAGAAATTAAACTGTGCGTAAAAAGGCTTATTATAAAGTTCTTTTATACGGCTTTACTATAAGACGCTTTAAAAGTTAAGAAAAAAACTGCGCCCACGTTATTTAGCTAGCTTTCACCATACACTTGCAGACATTTTGAAATATTACGATTTCTGTCATCCCGGAAACCACAGCAAATGCGTTTTGCTACCTTTATGTTATTGTCATCTAATTTAAAGCTTCGGAAAACACTGTAGTTATTACATGCATATTATAAAAATTTATATTTGATGCTACCTCTTATAGAAAAAGTATTACCCTGATATATTACGCTATGAAGTTAATACCTTCATACAATTAGACAGATTGGTATCCAAACACAATTCAAAGCGCAACAAATAATATTTCGGTAAACATTTCGTAATGCACATAGAAAATATTCCCCTAGGCATTCTTTCCAGACAAAAAATCCTTGGTTTAACTTAGTTACCTTATGGCTCTGTCGTCAATTTCTATTCTTTACGCTTTAGACACATTTCTAAGTAGAGATATTCATTCACAATGGAATGTGGTTAACTTCATACAAGAGCCCACTAGCTGCAATTATACGCGCATATTTTGAATATACATACATAGATGTGTGTATATTAATGTGTATAGCGAAACATTTTTTAATTTTAAGCGACCATATCGGTCACATGAGTGTTCCTGGACATATTCACTGGACACGCACATATACAATATTAGTTGTAATGGTTAGCAGCAGTTACTAGAGCTGATTAAAAGGCGTTCCTAACAGCACTTTTTTTTATTTAGTAGTGAATTAAATGCTTTTCGCGGTATCATTCACTCACTAAAGCATTCCTGAGAGTTATATTTATAACATAAAATATCCATGGTGACAGTTTGTAAGCGCATCAATTGTTTTTTCTCTTTCAGCAACTGACTCAACATGCTACATGATGCCAGTACTTAAGTCAATCGTATCCACCTTAATTAAAGGCAGACAGCCTTATTTAACTGTATTACAACTGCTTTACCACTTCAAATTGCGTCCATCATAAAAACGATATGGTGTACCTCTGCTCTTTGGTACTATCTATCTGTAGTTGACCATTACACTAACTGACCGCCTAGGTACGGGAGTGTAAAGCTCCATACTAACCGTCACTGAGCGCGCCTATCTACAGCAGCAGGAGTTTGACTTGATTCTCAACGACAGCTGACTCAGCAGCGGCTGTCGTGGTATGTCGCTACTGCGGGTACTGCAATAATAAGTGATATTGTTGCTCTCTTCTGGGAAGATAAATTAAAATGTCCGCAGCTTATGTCTGATTGCCGGAACCGCTCTAGCGGAACGTTGAAGTTCCCGCTTACTAACAGGCTGCCGCAATATTTCATCACTTAGATACACGCACAATCAAAATAATATACAAATAATAACACAATATAACTTTCTTGTCAATAGAGAAAAAACGGACAGAAAGTTTGGTGTAGTGCTCCGTGTATCGGCCATTAGTCAAGTCTCTTTAAAAATATTTTTTGTCCAGTTGACAACCTGTAGCTAGAAAATATACACGGTATCAACAAGGAAACCGAACTCAGAATCACCAGCCCTTGTAGAACAATCGCAATACTAAGGTTTTTCGAAATTCTACGGAGTCACTGAAGTAATCAGAATCGACAAGCTAAATGTAACGCAGTATAGGATTGCACCATCAAGTATGCGCGTCTGCTACGAAACGGTGTTCCGAGGCTGCACTAGTCAGCTGTTAATGCAGGCGCGTTTTGCAGGTCCGAGCAAGAGAAGAAATACTTGCATGCAGCTTTTTTACTGATGCTCAAATTTCGCTTTTCTTAGAGATCTAGTAGCTAGGAGTATTCGCGGAGATGGTGAGAGTGGTCTGGCAAGCGAAAGGGACGAAAATAAACAACAGGTGTTTTCTCTGTTTACATTCACTGTGGGTTACCATCAAGTCAGCGAACATTGTCGTTTCGAAATAGCGTGTGTGTTTGTGAATTGTGTAGCTGATGTTTTTGGTACTCCGGCTGGACTTACAACTAAACACGTGGTGAATTGCGGTCGACGCTCACGAGACCGCTCTATTTTGTGTAGACAAGTAGTCTTCTTTGAGCGCAGGCTGTTCTTACATAAGGTAAGCAATACACTGCTATTTGAGACAAATTACTTCGGGCTAAATTTAGATATGTTCCTATAAAGCTGTCATAGTGTTCACTAAATGCAGTTCCTTGCTGAATAAAAATATACTTTGTATCCGCGTGGCACGCGCCGGTTATATGCGCTGGTATATAGTTGATGTTTATAATTTTTTTTTATACCAATAGTATGAAAAATTGGGCATAGTGATAGTATGTTTGGGAATGTAGGTTAAGTCATTGAAAACAAGTTAAGGTTGGAACTGATGAGATACATATATCGCTTTTGCGATGCTTCGATGCTTCTAATTTTTAGCAACGCTTTAATTAAAATCGTTGTGAAAATGTTTAATAGTCATAAGGTACTTGTTATTGCATTAAGGGCTACTTAAATGCAGCTGTTTTTTTTATACATTCGATCCACTAGTAACCTCCGTGGTCGAATATATGCAACGGCATACTGCAAACAACTTGCGCGTCTTTCTCATTAAAAGACCTTATCCTAGCTTGAGATTACTGTAATCTTCATTTGTTTACTGTGACAGTAGTCGATGACTTTGTATGATTGACCATTATAAGTTATATATCCAAATAGTAGTTAAAAAAAGTTCCAAGAATTAATCGTGGGTTTTGATTTTAAAAGGTACCACCGTGCTTGAATGCATTATTTTAATAACTCGTTAAGGTACTATCGTCGTTCACAGCACAAACATGATTTTCACCACCCGAACAATATTTCGTTAATAAGACCTGCTGTACTAAATACAAGTAAATACATACTTATAATCGTATATGAGGGCGAAAGAAATTCATAATCTTTAGCGACTGTAAACCCAATCGATTACGTTACCATGCACTCGATCAAATAAGCAGCCTGTATATGTATTTTTAAAGAAGACATATGACCTTTTTTACATCTGTTTCCCAAGGTCTTTTTCACTGAAATTATTAACAACAAGTAAACGCTTTATATGTCGCACTTGTTGTGTTTCAGAAGAGTGATGTCATTCCGCGGAGGTAGAGGTGGTCGTGGAAGTGGAGGCAATGGAGGATTTGGGGGCCGCGGTGGAGGATTTGGTGGCCGTGGTGGCGGTGGCGGACGAGGCGGTGGCCGTGGTGGTTTCGGAGGTAGGCCAAGTTTCCAACAGGACATGGGCCCACCAGAGGAGGTTGTGCCACTTGGCTTTTTCCAGAACACAGCTCAGAAAGATATCGTTGTCAAAGTGACGATGGGAGACAAAGTCCCATACTTTAATGCGCCTGTCTATCTCGAGAACAAAGAGAAGATCGGTATTATCGATGAGATTCTTGGTAATGTCAAAGATTACTGGGTGTCGGTCAAGCTAAACGACGACGTAAAAGCTAATTCGTTCAAAGATAAAGAGAACTTTTACATCGATCCAGCCAAGTTACTGCCTCTCGAAAGATTCCTTCCAGGCGCACCGCAACAGCGTGGCGGCAGTGGCCGAGGAGGCCGTGGTGGAGGCCGCGGGGGCGGTGGAAGAGGTGGCTTTGATAGGGGTGGCCGAGGAGGTCGAGGAGGTGGTTTCGGAGGTCGCGGAGGCGGTTTTGGAGGCCGCGGTGGTGGTTCTGGAGGTCGCGGAGGCAGTTTCGGAGGTCGCGGAGGCAGTTTCGGAGGTCGCGGGGGTGGCGGTCGAGGTGGGTTCGGAGGTCGTGGAGGTGGACGAGGAGGACGCGGAGGGTACTAGGCGACATAAAGAGAAACACGAGGAGGCAAAATGGAATAAAGAAAAATGCGAAGAGAGAGACGACGGAAGCAAAGCCAACAATACAGAACATTACTGCTGGCGTTCAGTTGGAAGTACTGCGTTTAATGAGCATTTGTGCTCTTTAGGGATACTTGTGTAATGTGCGAGTAAGCGTCATGTATAGGGGGCGGGAAAAACCGATAAATATGATGAAACAAGAAATAGTAATAATAAGGTTAAGCGAAAAAAATGTTATCATGTATATATAACAAATCCATTAAGCAATCCTCACTATGAAAATACGTTGAAAAATAAATGTATATGTGCTGCTTAGAAGCGTAGGTTTTGCCGTGTCCTCATTTATAAAGCTTAGAGTGCATGAATACCACAAACGTAACAGCAGCATAGTTATGGCACGTATTGCGTACGAGCTTTCTGCTGAACATATTGAACTTTACTAATCATAATATACTCAAACATATTGCTCTAATATTCGAGGCATATAGAAGGATCCCTTGGAACTGTAGGTTACAACGAACGTGCCCATTTCTACTGATGCGACTCCTAAGCCTTGTATGATAATGAAGCATTGCTTTAATAGACATATGTAGTTAGACATAGTTCATATATTTCCGTGATGCCGGCACGAATCCATATGCGGGTATTTATTGAGAAAGGCCGCGCAAAAAGTACTTCGTAAGGTCGTATTCATTTTTTTTTTATTGAATACTTCTATCAGACATAAAATCGTAACACATTTTAGGTACAAAAAAATCCTCAAAATTTTAGCAGCTCGCCTCTTGTAACACGTTCTGTCGACAAAATAATAGAAATTTGTTGGATTGGCTATTATGGAGGTACATATCCTGAAAAACAGCGTCAAACTTTACAGGAAAACGAGGACGTGTATAAAATTAGCACCCGTGTCGAGTGAGCAACTGCAAATGCGCAGATCATTCAGAGAATTTATTTTAATTTGTCCACTTCAAGAACAGGATCTCCTGAAGTTTGCCGAAATTGATTTTAAGTGATTTAGTTATTTTTATGTTAGAGAGGTTACAAGAGTTGCTCTAACTCTACGGATCTTCTAATTGGTCGAATCGATTCCCAGTCTTACTTGAATAAAGGCCGGTTCGGATAAAGGAAAAGAAACTGGAAATAGAGAATGAGGCAAGCTTATATTTTAACATCTTTATACCTAAAATTGGAGATGCTAAAAATGGAGGATCATTTAAGCCGTAATGACGCTTTAGATTTTTCAATACTCGATGTTTTCGCATATTTTATTGGTTCATATGGGTTTAGTCATGTTCTTAGCAATGCAAGAGGCGAGCCATGAAATAACCTTCAGTTAATTAAAGAAGCTATCTCAATGACAGCTTTTTTGCTTTTTGCGGTTTGTCGCTGTTTACCTCCGCAGTCTTCTCTTTGTACGACAAAACTTAAAGGCAGGCTATAGGCGGCCAACATAAACATAAAGAAATCATTTATGTTCAAAATTAATAACACTTTATTGTTATTACACATATTGTTATTATTGTTTAAGATCTGATTCTTACAAGAGTTCATAAGTACATATTGGAACACTCGTAACCCACAGATATTTCCTATGTACAGTTATTTTCATATATTAGTGCGTCTTTTGCGTACTAGTGAAGTTACGCAATTAGTGCCTGTAGTAATTTATGGAGGCAATATACAGCTAGGATTTTACGAATTTCCTCGTTCTTTTAAATAGTGGCTGCGCTATGATCAAAGGTGATGCCCAACTCGCGGTTGTGCATGCTTGTGGGTAAAATTTTCTGATATTACTTAATATGTAGAACAATAGGACAGTGATCACTTCCCATTACTTTATCCCTAATCTCATTATCAATGACTTTGCTCACGAATTGTTCCGACACAATAAAGTAATCAAGGCGCCAGCCAATATTTTTCGCGCGAGCGTTCATCATGTACGACCAGAATGTGTATGCTTTTGTACGGTTTGGGTAGAGTTTGCGGAACGTATCGACAAAACCCTGCTCGAGCAGAGCTGTCAACCCATCACGTTCCTCCTGGGTGAATCCAGCATTACGTTTGTTGGTTTTGGGATTGGCCAGATCGATCTCCTGATGAGCCACGTTCAAATCGCCTGTCAAGATGACATGCTTTTTCTTTTTCAGGTTGCAAAGATACATTCTGGAAAATAGTCGAACGAGTGAATAGCGTCAATGAAGCATTTTGTTCTCATAAAAGCTAAACGCCTACACCAAACAAAACTTTCGAGTTTAAAAATGTGTGTTGCGATATATAAAACAAGAGCGGGTACCGGGAAGGTCTTTTGTCCTGCGCAAGTTTCTTGGAAAATATATTTAAAGGTATTACAAATATTAAAGAACTTTACAGAAAAGAAGTTGGCTAATATTTACGAAATATTTTAGGGCCCTATGATAGATTTACTAGATAAAGATTAAATACGTTCAGAGAATGTTTTATTTCGCATTCTTTGAGAAATCACGCATTTATGAAATCAAGCAATTTATGAAAGTAATGCTGTGTCAGCACAATGGCTATCAAACATACTTAAATTATGCATTTGCTTTCGCCGCAATCGGGTGCGTTCACGGTACCCAACCATAGATACAAACCTGAAATCTTTGTCCCATTTCATTCTGTAGTCCAACCTAACAAGGCCCCGACCAGCATTGGGGACGTAAGCATTAATCAAGAAGAAATCTTCAAACTCCATCGTGATCACCCGACCTTCAGCGTCGTGTTCGTTCACGCCAATGCCGTAGGAAACGTTAAGGGGCTCTATTTTGGACAGGATGCCCACACCAGAGTAGCCTTCCTTGTCTCCGGCCAGGAAATAGCTTTTATATCCTCGTATCGATTCTAGTTCCTTGGGAAGCTTATTGTCTGAACACTTTGTCTCCTGAATGCAGAATACGTCGGGAGCTTCTCGATTAAGATACTCAAGCCCTCCTTTTGGTAGCCACGCGCGAACTCCATTGATATTCCACGAGACGATTTTGAGCGAGCCTGAAGCGTAAACACGTTTGTAGGGTTGGTTGAAAAAAGATCAAAGAAAAACTTTTGATATGTTGATTTGTTACAGTTATTATTTGGTCAGGTCGATAGTAGTAAAGGATAGCGGAGGGTGATACTTTATCTAAGCACATAACTTATACTTGGCAGCGTTTTAAGATATATACATCTTCATTTACCTCACAAAGATGTTTTTTATTAAGCTCAGATATCATTATAATACGTTCTCAGGCTTTGGAATGATTCACTACGCTTAATAGGTTTAATATCCTCCGCTGCATATTACAGTGTAGCTGGATTCAACGACAATAGTATAATCGGAATTCCATCAAACTCAATAGCTGCTTCCGGTGTAATTTTTGTTACCTTTTTTATCGTAGTTAACAGCAGCATTGCTTTCGTCATCTCCTGCATTATTTAAATCCTTAGTTTTTACGACCTGCTTGTTTGTAGTCAACTTTTGCTTCGATCCATCGGTAGAAGGAGAGCTTTTTTTAAAGCTTCGTTTAGGTTTCGGCTGTTCCACGTCTTCAGATGAGCTGTCAGATTTCTTCTTTCGTTTGGAAGTTTTTGGAGCTGGTTTCTCGTTGGAGTTCGACTCGTTTTTATTGTCACTTTCTTTGTAGCTTTGTTTCTGCGCTACTCTTTTGCCTCTGGTTCTTTGATCAACTCCTACTTTGTCAACCTGATCTGCTGTTGAGGATCCGACAGCCGAGCTAGCCTTGACCTTTTTGGGAGGCATACTTATTTTATAGGAAGCCTGAACGAGGAAACCTGACAAACTGACAATGTGTAATGGGGCTTTCGGCTGAAGAACAGACGAAGCCAAGCGAACGCTAGCGATCAATGCGCGACAAAGCATAGCCAACAGACGGTTTCATCAAAACATGGCTTCGACAGGAATTGTTCTTTGCTGCAGAAGCACAACACGGCGCACTTGCTCTAGGACAAGGCCATGCAAGTGTCTCGCAGAGAAATGGCGCGAACACAGCTTACGAAGTAATCGTTCTCGCGGGCTTTTAATGCTGACAAAGAACAAATGGGATGTTTCCCTTGGAGAACAGAACAGGAGCTTTTGTAGTTGTTATATTTACTTTAGTTTATGTATATTATGTTGTTAATATGTTGCAAGTATCCAACGTAATTGCAAATTTTACCTGCTAGTAACTTAAGTGGAGTATTATATATGGCGCAGATACGTAAGATGGTAATAACTAACTTTCTATTTTAACTAATACTCAGTTGCCTGATTTGTTGTTAACTTACAGAATATGCAAACGAGACACCAACATACAAAACTATAGAGAAAAGACATCCCAATAACGAAAATTAAATTAAGTACAGTTTTTTAAGTAGATACACCAAAGAGTATTTCTACAGTTCACCGCCGTTCCATTGGGGTAATTTAGCTGGGTAAATCTCTGCTCGAAAAACTCAGGGGTTTTTAACTTGAGCCCATGAAATCAACGTGTGTTACCGAAAGAAAGCAGCAGATATATCGTTCGTAAACAGAGAAATCCGTCTCATATTCGAACAGTGGTGGAGGCCCATAAAAAGAAAAAAATAACTAAATAGGAAAGATTAGTTTCTTTGAAATCCTAGCACTGACTTAAGTGTGCCAAAAACGAGATTACCTTTCAACCAACTTGATAGTTCCTTTATCATGCATTTGAGCTCCGCATTTAGCCATGTACGAAACGTTTATTATGCAACAAAGATGCGCACTGTATTTTAAATTTACACATGTAAAGGCGTTGAAATAAACTGAAGTATCTGTAAATATGTCGACGTATAATTCATTACACGAACTCGTATTTAGTTTATTGCTGTGAGCTAACTTAACTGCAAATACGAGATGTCCTAAGATACAACACTTATTTATTTCTCAACTTTTTATATAGTACCTTAAGGTTTTTGTAAGGATTCAAAATATCTTTGGTGAAAAATTATATTAAACATTGTTTTATTTGCAGGACAAATTTTCTTTTCTTCCAAGCCCTTTGTACGTAAACTCAATCTTCATGAATAAATATAGGCCTAGGCAAAATTCATGGTTATATGAATATTCCTAAAAAAAAAAACTATGAAGAACTTGAATCGAATCCTACCATGATACCATTTCGAAGAGATACTTCAATACAAGTGGTGTTGGACTTTTTGCGAAGATTCGCACAATTTCGAGAGGCACTCGCCTGACGGTCTCCATAATGATGAGACTATTATATTATCATTTTCGTTAGTGTGAATAAGGCAAGTTACTAATGTCGGCTCTGTGGAGCTAACCAATCCTTCGGGAAGTTTCTTTATCGTCTTTTTCAGGCTCCAGTAGCTTCTATTGAGTACCTGAGAAACGCTTGTCTTATACCAACCTATAAGATCGGCTAGCAAACTAGAGATGTTTCATGCTCCAAAATATTTTAATACACTACTTTATTTGACACTACCCCTTTAGTTCAAAGGCTTTATCGAATCGCTAGTCCTTACCATTGGGGCTTAAATGTGGAGTCCACATGGAGAACCCGGTGCCTGCAAAAATCGCACTGCGCTTTTCTTTACAGACGGGAAAATGTTTGTGCGAGGTTAAAAGTTTTTTTAGCCATCATCAATCATTTATTTGAAGGGTCAAAGCGATGCGGTCGTCAGATGATTTGTTTCTTAAGCGGTTTTAGATGAATAGAAAAGTAAACAATGTTGCGCCAGGTGCAGTTTTATTTTGTTACCCAAAGCTGATAGATAGCAACGTAGATAGCTGATGTACATTTCGATCTTCCCATTGAGAATGTATGATCTCTCATCGATATCGAGATCTTACAATGGGGTAATTTTTTAATTGAGTAGCAACGTTACAAAACCAAATTGGCAGTATTGCCTTCAGGGCGTCGCTTCGATCATCTATTTAGCTTGATTTTTAATCTGCTGCGTTCATCGAAATCATATTGTCAGTATAATCGAACTCGATGGGAGGTTTAATAGAAAAATAAATTATTTGTTTTTTTATCATAGAGCCGAACCTACGCACTACGTATTGAAAATATATAACAAAATATTGATAACTACAACAGAAGCAAAAATTTCGTACAGGGCCGTTGTGTTAACTGCATATACGCTATAACTGCATGCATTTTTAGCTCACACTTGTGCTTGTACCTATATGTATTGGTCTCTCTTGGTTGCAAAAGTTGTCTGCGTTTTTCGCACTTGATTCTGATTTCGGCAGATTCGCGTAAGGCTTCGATGTGACTTGTCTGCTCTATATGTACAGAAGCATATGGATCACCAACACCATACAAAAACTGTCGTCAGTACCTGGTGGTCTCTGTTCGAAGTCCGAGCAATTGATATTATACGTTATAACATCCATATAAAAATACAAAATGCATGCCGTGCCGTCTACGGAGGAGTCTTATGGCTGATATGTGAACGTGTGCATGCGTGTAGATACTTCGGCGGAGATAAGAACATCGCCTAATGACATTTTTACTTCGTACAGTTTATAACGCGTATAGCAAATGTTCGTGGGCTATTAACCTACTTTCAAATGTCATTTAAGTTCTGTCACCAGCCATGTTTTCTACAGTTGCTGCGGCAAATTTGTGCCATGCGACCTTTTTCCGACCTCCCAGCTGCTCGCCTTTTGACACTGAGCGTCGTGTTTTGAATAAATGTTGCCGCCTTCGGTCTTGTCTTATCACGGAATGGCAAAGAGGCTTCGCGCCTTCTTCGATACTCGTTTCCGTTGCATAGGTTGCTGTTGCTTAGGAAGTCGACCAATTCCCATTTTAAAGCTTAATACTGCATACTGTACTAGTTACATTTTTCTATAAGGTATATAAAGACATTGCGCTGGGGCTTGGTGCTAGACTTTATTGTCTGGCGAATATTGTCTCCCTTCTTCTTGGTTCCCTTGACGATAATGTAAGGTTTCGGCCGTATGTCGATAGCATTTTCATCTGATGATACTCCGCCTACTCAAGGCAGAATTTTACCCGTTTCGTGGTCCGCAGGAAAGAGTACTAAAATAAATACCCGGGTTTCATGCCACCTTATATGCTGACAGTTAGACGGTAACTTAAAGGAAGTTTAACGGCGTCGAAACGTTTGCGCCCGACTACACGGCAAGCAATTCGTTAGAATCTCATTCTAATTGACTGTGACTATCGATAGATAATTATGTGTATGATGCTTAAAGTATCGTGAAAATTGCCCTCAGTCAATCGTTGCAGGTTTAATGAATGTACTTTAGCCTGCTATGACTCTGAGAAAAAAAAATTAATTAAGAGCACTAAGCCTCTGCTAGTATTTATAACAACAGGAATGAATATATTGGATTGATACAATAAACACAAACAGATTGGAACCCTATCATCAAGCGCCTTGACCTCACCGTGTGTGCTATCAGCATCGTGTGTACTCTCTATACATCTGTTGGCGGAATCAAAGCAGTAGTCTACACAAACGCATTTCAGTTGGTTGTTATGCTCATTGCGATGATCGTCATTGTGATCTCTGGATATGCTCACCTCGGCGGCTTCAACAGGGTTTGGAAAATTGCGGAGCGTGGGAAGCGAATTCATTTTACCGAGTTTGTAGCTGTTCCTTTAAGAGTGAAGTCGTCACGATGATTTGCTCTTGTGATATTTTTAGATTGGCTGCAGTAACGGTCCCTTTCATACTTTAGCCTTACGTAGGAGTGTAATGAATAAAAAAAAAATGGTACCATATACCTTTTGTCAAAGGCAAATAACTAATGTACATTACTTATTTGCTTAATAGATCTCCTGAGGTATCACCTGAGGTAGTTTGAGGCCCTTCTCTCTCCCTATGTTCTGTATTTAAGTGCTGTTTGTAACAGTTGGCTCCCGGTGTGCCAGGGCAACAGTGCGGGTTCGACTGGTTTAAAAGTTCACAAAACCATTTAGAGATCACAAGAGTTCAAAAGATCATTTAGAGATGAACATATTCATCTTGGATATGATTAATTCGTTTTAGAAAATAATTACATTATAGTTTATTTAAGGACGCATTTCAAATGTCGTTCTACTTTCTTCCGTATTGTTTGCTGAAGAAACTGAGGTTATGTTCCTAAAGACTTCACATAATAAATCGTTATGCTAAAGTCGAATGTTATAGCACTCTGGCAATGTTAAGCGCTTTGTAGAACAAAGTTCAAAGAATTCAAGTGCATTTACATTTTAACGGCCTTCGCGGGCATCTTCTGTGCAGAAGCATAACATACTATTATTTATATGTAAAAGCATGATCCAACGTTCGAGACTTATACAACCCGTATACTCTATCGGCGCCCATTAAGGCGTTAGTAGGTAACCTGAATTTGATCTGATTTCCAACTTTTATTGTTATTTATGTATCTATATATTGTTGCCGACACAAAGTAAAACAAGTTATTATGCACATGTACATGGGCGTACGGTTCATGTGTGTAACGCTGTCTTTTCCTTAGACATGAATTGCCCAGGCATCTCACGATGAAATGCAGTTACGAGATGCGTAAGCGATTACTGAATTCTAGTACCACATAAACTCTCAGCTGTGCTGTTTGTGACAGTTATTATGCCTTTTTTGCGCCGCCATTGTCATGTTTACTGTGATTAGTCGGTCACGGGTCGTGTTACATTCGTTAATCTTTGCTTTAGAGCAACTATTTTACACAGTAAGTGACGACATTTTCGGACTAACGAGTTTCTCGTAACGCCAGTGTCAGCCATCGCTTTAATCTGCTCTGCCTTCGTGGTGTCTTACTTTCGATGCGTGCCGATCTTCCTCATTGGCACGCGTCTGCAGCTCGCTAAGATGTCATCTATCTTAGGCAGATTATTGCATTTCTACTTGTTCATCACGCTGCCATTTCTACGTGCACCTCAACCTCTGCCCAGTTTAGTCGAACCTCTGCCAAGTAGAATTTGTTTATTACCCTGAATCGTTTTCTTTTCTTTTCAATATTCATCGAAGGGGTTTTCGCGGGCGGATACATCTTCGGCTGTTGCTTTTGTTTAGCCATAATGGCGCTAATTTTCGCCTGTGCTATAAAATC